AAGAAGACCAACTTTCCAGTTGGCCGAACGGCGAGCCGGACGGGGTACGTACGGGATTTGCCTTGAATGGACGAATGGGGACTTGGACGGGACTGGGACGTGGACTCGCCGCCTTGAGAGCTCGACGAGCTTCCTTGTAAAGCGACTAACACCAAAAACAGCCACTAATTACCTACCTACGAATACCATGTATTGAGTACAGGTACACTACCTACCTACTTCCAGAGTACCTGGCTTTGGATGCGGGTGGCCGGCGGGGTGATGACTCGGCACAGAAGCCACCTCACCAGGCTCCAATTCCGTCAGTACTCACTCAGCCCACCGGCACACGTCGAGAGTACGAGAGTCTACGGATACTGCAGTGTACAAGAAACTAGTTCCAGTGATTCCAGCCCTGGCAAGGGATCCTATTCGTGGTAAGGATCACGGTGCAGTTCAGGCCGATGATGCTATGGAGAAAAGGAACCTCCTACCTATCGTCCAAGCCTATTGGCGAATGCCTTGCTAGGAGCCCCGCAATCCCGCCCACTCGCTTCGTGCTGGTACCGTTGTTCCGTTACCGCGTTTCTCCGTTGCCCCGAACCACCTGCGAACCCTCCCTCCTCCCTGCAACCCCTTCGTATCTAGGTTTACCCAAGACCACCTTACTGCATCGTCTAGTCAAAGACGAACCGATAACCGACATGTCTCTCCTTACCTACCTCCACCATGCCGTCCGCGCCTGGATATTCCTGGGCCCGCCGGTTGGTCTATAGATGTCTGCCCTAGGAGAGGGAAAATGACTGCGTGCTAGTTGACTGTCTTTGGACGGGTAGGAATACCTGGACCACGACGAGCCAGAGCCGAGCTGCATCAGGTTATTTGGGGTCCGCCCTAGTTGACCAGCAGACTAGTAAACATGACAACTCTGACTCGGACCGGCGGATGGGGAGTCTGTTACTGCGTTTGCAATCGAAGAACTTTGTACCGTCACCAGCAGCGCGACGGCGTATTGGTATTATCCTATCGGCCGGCTGAGAAAAAGGAGCGATCTGTCGTTTGACGCCCATAACCGAACTCAACCCCGGGACGCCAGGCCATGCCAAGGGCAAATGGACTTCTGGGGAATTTGTCACCACGACCCGCAACTTGGCGCCGTTGTCAGGTTGGCTTGGTGTTTATGCCGGTGAGCAACAGAGAGATTGCCCCTCACCTGCCTAGACTTCCCCGCAATCCGTCCCAAAAGTGTCAAGCTTGCGCTCGGAAGGCTTCTGGGCTGACCGCATCGCGCCGCGGTCCAAGACGTGGTACAGCCATCACCCAGTGAGCTGCGTGCCAGCCCAGGCCGATGGATGCTGATCGCGACGCGCTACCTATGAGGGCCGTGACACTCCAACCCCCGTGATTGGCTACAACCCTCAACAATGACATGGCAATGACAGTGAGCTCCGACTTGGCTCTCGTGACTTTGAGATGCTTCAGTGTCAACTAGTGGTGGCTACGGGTGTTGGTTCTGCTCCGACTAGATGTCAACTTCTCTGCGTTGCTGCATCTGACGAGAGGGCTACATCGTCCACTAACAGAAAGCAAAGCAGCGTTGTCGCATCCGGCAATCGTACCCGTTTCAGAGTCTGACAATGAATCGGCTGGGACTCAACAGAGCCTCGCTGATTCTGGGGTGGAATCCACATCTGCAGTCGCAAGTTGCAAGATACACGTACACATTCTTTCCTGGTCGATTGTGGTGCTGATACGGGCCTGTGATCACTGTTGATGACTGCCGTCCTATAATCGACGTCGGCCATGGCCCACATAATAAACAACCTACATGGGCAGCTGCAATGTACACTTACCCACTCGAGTGAATAATCGTCGTCGTCCGAAATTCTAATGAGTTTGGTACGAGGTTGCTTTCGAGGCTGTTTCCCAGGCTGCTGCTGGTCCAGATGGGACAGCTGCTGTGTCACTTTGACGAGGTGCTGAGACTGCGTTGCATTGTTCTGATGGTAGTATAGAGAAAGACGTGAAGGCCATGCTCTCTACCACTGGGACCATGCACGCGGAGAAGCACAACGGGTATTGGTATGGGTATGACTATCACTACTGTAACGATGAGGGTGGATGCATGTGGTTGGAGGGGTCGAACGGAAGTTCAGCCCCTCTTGGCCCAGGTGGAAGGAGACATGGACCTCGGGTAAGGTTGGAGTGGTGAGAAAGTGCCTTTCGTACCTACGTACCTACGCATGTACCTGACATTTGAGAGCGTGTCTCGCCCGCCCGCCCGTGTACCTACTTTTAGAGAGGTTACGACAACCATGCGATTATGTCTAGACGAAGACCGAACGGCTGAGAGTAGGCTATCTAGTGTAATTAGGTAGCACGAGCTACTGATTTGGCATTGTACGGCCAGTCTCTCACAGCCGATTTGACCGTATGTTCCGCAACTAACCTTGCCTCCACGTTTTCCCCTCAAAACCTTCATTCATCCTTGAGCTTCCCGCACCTTTACCCCATGGGTACCCGGATTTCTGCGTCCGTGCTTGCGTTGCGCTGTCTTACCGTAGGTACCTAGTGTATCCGTAGGTAGTCTGTCTTGCTGCGTATTCCAGCAGGCCGGGTTCCTTGCTCCTACCCTTCCCCCGTGGTTCCTTGCCAGGCCCTTGTAGGCAGGTCGCTTGTCCAATCTTCCCTGTCCATCCAGGTCAGGCTACATGCAGTCGTCTCATAGGATGGACGAATGGAAGTGTAGCCTTGGCGTACCCGACATCCGCGGGGAGGCTTGGTGCGCTTGGAACGCCTCCCGCCGTCGCCGCGCCAGATGGAGACCTGATTTGCTGGTCCTCCGCGAGCATCCGGACGAAGCATCTTTCTCCTGAGCGGCCCACATCTTGTGGAGCAAAACCCGCTGGGCAAGCAAGCTGATGGCCGGGGTTGTTCGTCTTGGAGAATCGGCGTCCTCTTGAACGGAGTATTTGGGCAAAGTCATGGTTCACATAGACATGTGGGAATTTCCCAGTTTGTTGGGGCTCTTTGATGACGGATTGTTGAGCACCGCCCCCTTCCCCCTAAAAAAAAAAGGAGGAGCCGCCTTACCCGCTGCTTCATGGCTAATCTGCCCTTGCGCTTCTTTTTGACCTGCACAACTGCACTGCACTGCACCGTCGTCGGATGTTTCCTGAAGGGTCTGGGCCTTGCCGCAACCTCTGCCGATCGGTAAGGCCCCCCCCCCCCCCAGACCACGGGGTTCATTCAACTGAGGCTGTCCGCCAATCCGACTTGTGGCTAGACGACAAAGGTTCCAGCTGGTTGGATGCCGCAAGGCGGACTGTTTGCATTCATTCTGGCACTGGTCTGATTTGATATGACAATTAATTACGCCCGACACATGCCGCCAAACCCCTAAACGCCTACGGATTGTGCCCTTGCTCACAAGTCCATACTCATCAAGTACATTTCCATGATTCTCATGAATTTGGCTACAAATGCCTCCAGGTGGAATATGACCTTCGTGCCCATTTTGATTCGGTGCTCATAGAATGCCGACCACTTGATCACCTCAGCCTTTAGAGCGTCGTCAATCAATGGGATGAGCTTGAAGGTGAGTGTTTTGAGAATCGTCGTCGGCGGTATGCAATGCGTCAGAAGGTCGTACAGCTTCGCCCGCACTTGGAGAATCCGGGATGGGGTATGTTCATCGATGATCTCCCGCGCGATCTGGCTGATCAGAGCCTCCCAGTCCGGTGGGGGGATCGGTGTGGTATCCGTAACTTTTTCGCTGTTGCTTCATTAGCTTCGACTCCGCAAAGGGTAGGGAAGCCATCGTACTTTTGTGCGTGGACAGCCTCATACATGAGCAGAGCTCGTCGCAGATTCCTGTCGCTGTCCTGTGCTATCCTCATGTGCAGACCCTTGACCATTGGCCAGTTCTCCTTCTTCGCCGACACTGCCAAGACATCACAGATCTGTTCATGCGTTGGCGCAGCCACTCGGACGAGGAGCGTTCTCGATCGGATAGGTGCAATAATGTTTGCCGTCGAATTGGCAAGGAGAATCAGTCGCAGGTTGGGAGAGTACTTCTCCATCGTCCGACGCAGTGCCGCCTGGGCGTCTCTTGTGAGGTGGTCCGCCTCATTGATGACCACAACCTTGAATTTTTGCTTTGCTGACTGGTCAACCTGCTGTGTTTGTGCCACCTCTTTCAGCAGGTCTTGAACGACTACCCTGTCATAGTTTCCCACGTCCGACGGTGTAATCTCGAGGTGGTAGTTCGACGCGACGATGTTGAACTCGAGCTTGCGGTTGCTTGATGTCTGGAATACACGCGCGTCGATTTTGATCTTCTCTACGCCGGGCCCATACAACTCTTTCAGGGTAGCGACAATCCGTGTCTTCTTGCCGGCTCCAGACGGGCCGTACACCAACAAATGGGGGAAATCTCCGCTCTGAGCCTGCGAGATGTCAGTGCCGCCACGAGGGAGGCGTCAAAGGGTTACCTACGAGAGAACGAAGTCTTTCCGAAAGCTCCTGATGGTATGTCAGAGCCTCCAATGACTTTGGTCTATGTTTATCGACAATAAGCGCCATTGTGGTTGGTTTCAATGTTAACGGCGCTGTATCTGAAGTTGGCTGGAGACGTGGGACTTTTCCATGATGTGCTTCAGTATGTGGCAGACGCGTTGTCGCGTTAAGTGGGAAATTCTATCAGTGTGGCTTGCGCGTCATGGCCCGTGCTCGTCTCAATGTACGCCACACCATGTAATTGTTCTAGTGCATCTAGTCAAGCAGGCGGAAATCCGCATGGCGCTCGCCCAATTGACACCTTTCTTCAATGAATGTCTTAAATAGCACAACTATGGTCAGATCTGGTGCAGATAGAATGTTCTTTTTTTTGTACAGCTCCTAACCCATGTTGATCATCCAACATGATCATCTATATAGTACAGCCACTCCATGGTGTCGAGACTACTCATTGACTGCCTCGCCATGGATGTGATTATGTTACAGCCCGGCTGTCGTCAGCCTCAAGGCTTAGTAGACGGCGAAGTGGTAGATGATGCGCTGGTAGGGTTGCTTGTGGCCTCGGCCAGTAAATCCTTGGGCGCAATCGGCTTCCTTGGTTTCTTCAGGTCCTCCAGCGTAACGCCGTCAAGCTTGGTAATACCGACGACAGGTGCCTCTCCCTTGTGCACAAATTCCCACTGGCCTAATGTAGAGTCAGCCAGGGCCGCATATCACGCATCTATACATCGACTTACCGGGCAACTTGTTGCCTGCCAAACGAAAGGCGTCCTTAGCAACTGCCTCGTGAAGCATTCCTTTGACCTCGAAAACGATCTGGTTGACAGCCACACGTGCCGCCCAATGGTCGAAAGAACCTTTTCCCTTACCCATACGCATCTGGCTTGACGTTAGCACCTGCGCATCGCCGCCTATTGCCAATATTCCGCCTCACCTCATTGCCCGACACATAGACACCGACGTTGCAGCACACTCTCTTGTACAGACGGTATTTTTGACCACGCAATCTCATCTTGATCGTGTCTTCCGCGATCTTGAGTTGCTTGGCGCTGATTCTGCGGTGGTGGTCCTTCATCCGAAGACCATAGTCACCCCAGATCACAGTTGTACCCTTGGTTGAACCTCCAGTAGCCACACGGGGCCGTCCTTTCATCATCTTCTTTGTCCGGTCGATCGAGGGTTCGAGCCAGGTGCCTTGTCTCGTGGACGTCGAGGAGAATGGGCGAGCATCACGGAGGATCTGGGATGCGACCAGCGACTTGGTAATTTGTGGCCGGATCGCAGCACCTACGGGGCTGATCGATGAAATCGCAGATACTCTGAGGCCTTGGAAGGCGCTGAGAAGCGCCGTTGGAGCGTGAGGCCTCATGTTTGCGACTTGCCGTTAAACGTCGTTGATGATGGGATCTCCAAAAAAATGTCCCTAGCTTCACGGCGACATGGGTGTGGCTGATGTGGCCTGAGAATTCGGGCGCTCGTTCTATCGAGGCTGGAGCACCCACCGATTGCTGCGCCACACCGGTCCACTCTAACGCGTCAGTTTCGCGTATCAATCCATTACGTGCACGCATCCTGAGTGCCAGGCACGACGACCTGTCCGGCCTTCTTCACCCATCAACCTACATCAACAGCGGCACAACGGTCTATTGAAGCCTACAAACCTCCTTACTGTCATCAGGGGAACGGCCTGCCGTCGTACTGCACACAATGCCAGACATTCGGTCCTTTTTTGGGCCAAAGGGAGGCGCACCGCCTAAGCCTCAAACGAAAAAGGTTGACGAACCTCCGAAGGGTCGAAGAAGCAGGAAAATCATTGAGGATAGTGACGATGAAGATGAGCCTGCTCCTGCACCGTGAGTTGGCACCCGAAAATAGGCTATCAAACACATAGCTGACCCCCTAACAGAAAATCAGCACCAAAGGCTGCTAGGAAGACTACCAAGTACGCAAATCAATCGTCTGATCCTGATGTAGTATAAGCTAATAATAGTTACTGAAGCGATGCTGTAAAAGGCACTGAGACCACTGCAAGCGATTACTTCTCTAAATCCGCCAAGGCTCCCAAACCCGCGCCCGCAATCAAGGCAGATCAAACCACAAAGGTGAAAACTGAGCTTGAGGTTCGGACCAGCCCGCGCAACAAGAAGACGACTGCGAAACCAGCAGAGCCCCCCAAGGGTGGGAGCGCAGCTACCAAAAAGCGAAGCACCACAACATACATCAAACCCGAGTCGGACGACGATGGCGATGCCTACAAAGACGATGGCGATGACGGCGATGACGACATCTTCGCTGCTGACGTCAAAGGTCGAAATAAGCGCAAGAACGACGACTATGCCGAGGATGAAAGTGACGACGAATTGCTGCCGAAGCCAAAGCGTGTGGCTTCTCGGAGTGCTACCACTGCCACCCCAACCAAGAGCACCAGAGCCACAGCGGGTACGAAGAGGCGCAAGACACCCGAGCAGGACGAAGAAGAGTCTGAAGAACAGCCACCGAAGAAGAAAGCCCCGACCAAGCCGCGTGCCACCAGAGCGAAGAAAGCCGACGCGTCCGAAGATGCTGCGTACCAATCGATCCTAGACGACATTCCTACTGTTCGCCCCCCTACACCTCCGGCCAAGGACCCGGACACGAAGTTCGACTGGAGAAAGAATGTCGGCTCTGGCGGAAATAGTAGTGCAGTTCCTCCGAATGCAGGCACGGCTGAATTGCCTGAGGGCGAGGATGAGTGCCTTTCGGGCCTGACATTTGTCTTCACTGGTGTGCTTCAAACTCTCGGTCGTGAGGAAGGCCAGGCGCTAGTCAAGAAATATGGCGGCAAAGTAACTGGGGCGCCGAGTAGCAAGACGAGCTATGTAGTTCTCGGAGATGACGCGGGCCCCAGCAAATTGAAAAAGATCAGAGACATGAATATCAAGACCATCAACGAGGAGGGCCTTTTCGAACTAATCAGACGACTGCCCGCCTATGGCGGTAGCGGCAAAGGTGCTGAGAAGGCCAGAGAGAAAAAGAAAAAGGACGAAGAGGCTATCAAGATACAGGCCCTGGAAATGGAGCGAGAAGAGAAGGCCAGGAAGGCCGCAGCAGAGAAAGCGGCCAAGGAAGCTGCTGTTGCGCGCGGGACCGCTGCGGCGCCAACCTCGACCACTACTCCGGTGCAGCTCTGGACCTCCAAGTATGCGCCCACTCAACTGAACCACATTTGCGGTAACAAGGCGCAGGTCGAGAAAATTCAGGCTTGGCTCAAGAACTGGCAAAAGGCGAGGAAGTACGATTTCCAAAGACGCGGTGCGGACGGCATGGGTGGTACACGCGCTATCATCATCTCGGGACCTCCAGGCATCGGCAAGACGACTGCTGCACACTTGGCTGCCAAACTCGCGGGGTTTGATGTCATCGAGAGCAATGCCAGTGACACCCGCAGCAAAAAGCTTGTCGAAAATGGCGTCAGTGATGTCATGAACAACACGTCTCTTCTCGGTTTCTTTGCGGGAGATGGCAAGAAGGTGGATGGAGAAAAGAAGAACATCGTCCTCATCATGGATGAAGTCGACGGAATGTCAGCAGGAGATCGTGGCGGTGTTGGTGCACTGGCCAAGTTTTGCAAGAAGACCGAAATACCCCTCATCCTCGTCTGCAATGAGCGGAAGTTGCCAAAGATGAAGCCTTTCGACTTTGTGGCTATGGACGTTCCTTTCCGACGGCCAACGGTAGAGCAGGTCCGGTCCCGTATTATGACCATCTGCCACCGCGAAGGGCTGAAGCTTCCTGTACCCGTTGTTGATGCTCTAATCGAAGGCAGCAACAAGGATATCCGACAGATTATCAACATGATCTCTACCGCCAAGCTTGATCAAGCGTCGATGAGTTACGACAAGGGCAAAGCCATGACGAAAGCCTGGGAGAAGCATGTCATTCTCAAACCGTGGGATATTTGTCAAAAGATGCTCGCTGGCGGCCTGTTCGCTCCATCAAGCAAAACCACCTTGAACGAAAAGATCGAGCTCTATTTCAATGACCACGAGTTCAGCTACCTCATGATTCAGGAGAACTATCTCAGGACGAAGCCTATGGCACTTAATAACAGAGGTTACAACAAACGGGAAGAGAACCTCAAATACTTGGAATTGGTGGACCAAGCGGCCGAGAGTATCAGCGATGGCGACCTGGTCGACCGCATGATTCACGGGCCTCAGCAGCAATGGAGTCTGATGCCTACGCATGCAGTCTTCAGTACAGTCCGCCCCTCAAGTTTCGTGGCCGGTCAACTCATGGGTTCCAACTTCACTTCATGGCTCGGCAACAACAGCAAGACCGGCAAGCTTGGCCGGTATGTCCGTGAGCTGCATTCTCACATGAGACTTAGGTCTTCAGGTGATGCCAACGAGATTCGCCAGCAGTATTTGCCTGTACTCTGGGACCAGACAGTTCGCCGCTTGTCTGTCGAAGGCAAGGATTCTGTCGACGAGATCATTGCGCTGATGGATAGCTACTATCTGACACGAGACGACTTCGATGCGATTCAAGAGCTTGGCGTCGGCCCGCAAGCTGAGGGTCGGGCTGAAATTGAGTCGAAGACAAAAGCGGCATTTACGCGGACGTAAGTAAAAGTCTCCCCTGCTTTGCTTTCCAAATGCTAATAGACGCCAGTTACAATGCTATGTCCCATCCTATCCCCTTCATGAAGGCCAGCAATGTTATGGAGCCAAAGAAGGCTGCGAAGCAGGCTCCGGACCTTGAAGAAGCCATCGAAGAAGAAGATGACGCTGATGTCATTGAGCCTGCCGAGCCAGTCGAGGATGACCAGCTCGACTTGAAGGGAGATAAATACATCAAGCAACCGAAGCCCAAAGCCAAGAGGGCTCCCAAGAAAGCCAAGGGAGACGATGATGAGGGCGATGCTGATTCCAAGCCGAAAAAAGGCAAGGGAAGGGGCAAGAAGTAATGCAGTATGCCACGCCGCAACAGTCACATTGGTTTTGAGTGTGCTATAGCAATAATTGTATGCACATGGCTAGGTTTGGGGAGATTGATGGATGATATGAGGCCTCTGATCCGCCTCATTCTCGTAATTTAGCCGGTGTACTAAATTTCACACAACACAATATCATTGCGGATGAACCCGTTAATATGCGATCAAAGTGTGAGACTGAGCCATGAACACAGCCACATTCTCGTGATGTTGGCGAGGCGATGACTGCATATTAACAAGGCGTCCCTCAAGGAGCAGATAGTGTATACTTTCGATAAGTTCCTCCGAGGTATTGACTTTCTGCAAAATTCCATGGCTGTTTTGTAGCCGTTGTGAAGTATCATCTTCCAAAGGAGCGAGTATTCCGCAAGCCTCAGTTCACATCACACCCTTTCTTGCTAGAGACTTGGGCAGCACACAAGATTCCGAAAGCTTACCTTCAACCGATTATGTGTGACACAAAGACAAGTTAACGTTCTCAATACTGGCCATTTTGTTTGCACTTCCCTTTACCAAATGGTGCTGCAACTTATGCAGGGTTTCACTTCCGTGCAGTCCACCGTCTTATTCCTATCCATTTGTCCCAGCTTGACCGCTACAAGGCATTTTTCTTGGTTTCGACGAAAACTTGGTCGACTTCGACATACCCAATAATGGAAAGAGCAAGAGCGGTTCAAAGGATAAGCTACAACCAGTGGCTAAGGCTTGGAAAGGTAAAGGGATTTTCCCTGCTGGAGCACTCTTCATGATCTCACGATCCTTTATGTTACACACACTTGCTCACTTCCTCTACCTCCCTTCGCCAAAATCCATTGTTCACCTGTTGTGTTCCACCCGAGCCACCAGAACAATTCAGTATTTCTAACCACTCCAAGAGATTCGGATGTACTACACTCTCCCCTCGAAACAACTCATCACTCGGCTTCTTCCCCTAGTCTACCATTACTCATTGTTATTATTCGCAGGACTATTTGAAAAGATTCAATCACTACCGAAGAGTTAAATTAGGTCTACTCCTCTCTCAAGCGTTTTGCCGCTTCCCATATGGTCTCGCGATATGGGCAGGCCGCCCAGGACTCGATGGCCAAGACAAGTAAGACTCCCGGGATTCACAAAGACCTCTTCGAGTCTGAATCATACATGTCATCGGTTTCCTAACCTGAAGAGCAGTTAATACGGACTCGATTTGCGACACTCAAGCTCACAGCCCTCATTACCTCTCAATGATCGAAGAGGCCTCCCAAGAGTCTTCCAGCTCGCCAAGTAACGGTAGCTCTCTGAACCAAGAGCAGAAAGGCCTTCTTGATATTCAACAGACAGAAAATAACCACATAACAGAGTATGAGCAGATGGTTTCCAACGTTGGACCACACGGAACCCAACACGTGGCTGCCACGAACGACACCGCGGACACGGTTCTGTACGGCAATTGGGAACAGGACAACAACATGCAGGAGCTCAATTGCACTTCTAGTAAGTATAAATCTATCCAGCGTTTTCCAATGCGAAATTCTTACAAGGAAAAGCCCCAGATACAGTGGTGCGTTTCGACTATTATGCATTCTACGGCGAGGACGACACCACCGAGACAGACTCGTCCTCGCGCTCAGTTGACCAAGGTATCAAGTACTCTCTGCTATTTCAGACCATTACTGGTTCTCATGTAGCGAACTTTCATAGTCCATCTGATACTCTCGTACCTAAAGGATCTCAAATATCCAAGCCTCAGTTACCAAGACATCAACTAACTATTCTACAACTTCAGAGATTTCAGCGGGCATCTCCAATGTCGAGACTCTCCCGACGACCAAGGACTGGTCCATTTTTCAGAGCAATCTTGTCGACTACGGCCCCGACGAGCCCAGTCCCAGGCTCCCCGGCTGCTCGGCTGGCCACCCATACACGAAGATGTGGAAGATGTCGGACTCGGCGATGATCGCGTACGGCGCAATGCGCGGCTCCATGATGCAGACAAACGACCCTCTACGCTCTTGGATGGAAGTGAAGGCGTATGAGGCCGCTACACGGGCATTGAATACTGATGGTATAGTGGCTGCTTCGAGTGATCACTCTTCAGAGCAGAAGAATCTCTCATCGTTCTCATCGCCAGAAGGTAAGGGGAAGTCCGTCGCCGTCGGCAGCCATGGAACCAGCCAGCCTGAGTCGTGAGTTATTTGTTCTGATCAAAGTCACGATCCAGGATCCTCTAACCCAATTGTCTCCAGAGCCATCAGGGAGCCGTCTTCTTTCGCCAATGAAGCCACTACGTCTCCCGCGCATAGTACTGGTGGCAGACGGGAGGTGGGTGGGGACTACATCGAGTGAGTCATTCTGATATACGCGGTATTCTGCTTGTTATTGACCTTGTCTAGAATGCTCAAGGAAGCCAACATGGTTGCGAAGGAGTATGCTCCAGCTGAGATGGATAGGAAGTCAACCTACGACGTCCCCCGTCCCAGGTTCCTTCACATCTCGCCCAAGTTCGAGGGCTTCAAGTTTGAGGATTACCTACCACCCCACGTCGATGTCCCAGAGCCCTCCTATAAGCAGCTCTTTGACCCGAGCCGCGATTTCGGTAAGTCTGGTCTGTCCTGTGCGTTGTGGGATCAATGCTTAATGCCGTCTAGTGAAGGAATACGACGTCTCGGATGATGAGGGCGATCCAGTCTCTGGGCGAATCTCCCCTTGCACATTCCGCCTCCTAGCTGAGGGTTGCGCCAAGCGGGATCCCAAGGCGAACAAGGTCTATATGGCTCACGATGTAAGTTCCTTCATGAGCCCATTTCTCAAAGTTTATGCTGATCAGCATCCAGACCCAACGCATGCGCCCCCCGACCCCCTTGGACGACTGCCAGAGATGTCTCACAATTGACCGCCTTGCTATATCATTTGAGCTTCAGCGAGATGCCAACGATGGCGGCTGGATCACGCCCTGCTACTCTGTTGAGTCTGAACCCTCCATCATTTACCACCCCCCCGGTCAGCCTCTCCCCTACTACCCCGGGTTCTCAGATCACTAACCTCGAACAGGCGTCACTCTGAAGCACAAGATGCGTAACTGGTGGTTCGGTCTTTTTGACCGTATGGACCCCCTGTCAGCACGTCGTTTCCGCAAGGTCCAATTTCGCGAGGCCAACGACCCCGTCGCGCCCCTTGAGACGGCTACCGAGCACTCTGTCCCGTCCACCAACTCGAGCGAGCGCAACCATGCATACACCGACACGGAGGTCCTCGAGGCGCTACACGCCGCCGGCTCTCGTCGTGTTGCTGGTATCGCCCCACAGAACGCGCCGCTCATCATCTCGCAGCGCTGGCAGACGGTGTCGCGCTGGAAAGGGCAGGAAACGGAGCTGACCCGCGAGAATGACGGTATGCGCTGCGCCATCGAGCGAGCCAAGATCGAGCTGCGCGAAATCCGCCTGTCGGTCAACCACCTGCTACAGAAGAGGGCGGCCGAGGAGCTTGCGATACGACAGCGGAAGCACAAGCGCGTCCTGCGCCAGGTGTCGGCGCACTTGCATGAGCTGCGGTACGAGATACAGAGCAAGCTCGACGCTCTCAAGTGCTCGCAGACGCTGAATGAGAGCATGAAGACGGAGCTGTCCATGTTGCAGCTCCAGATCAGGGAAGAATGCTCAAGGGTGGACATGGCCAGCCCCGACGAGGTACGGAAGGCCGTCTCGCAGCACTTCCGGGACAAAATGGCTGCCGTGGAGCTGGCTGACTGCTTCTGAAGCGCTTGCTCGCTGTCTTGGTGCCACGATGCGAGAGGATCGTTGCTCCGATGAGCTCCCATGGCCGCCTACACGACCAGTCTCACCATCGGGTTGCCCATCGTGGCGAGGAAGTGTTCTGCGTTGAACAGGGGCAGAATCTGATTAGAGACTAAACCAGGATAGCGCTCTATGGTTTTGTTTGACATCGTCCATTCCAGTTTGGGAGAAAAAGCAATAGGGAGACTTTACTTCCTCGAGACTGCAATATCCCTCCACACAAGAAAGGTACGAAATTAGGCACACCTCTTGAGTCGAATGCTCGGCTGATGCCAAGTTCTAGTTTACAGTCAGATACTTTCAAGGTTTCTCCCGGTTTCTTCCCGAAGAGGCCCAGTGCCGAGAACCCAACTTGTTCAATATTGAGATGTCTCAAGCTGGAGTAGCTGACTATTAGGTACTGCCACGCTGTTGTCATCAACGAGTTGGACAGTTGTGTCCCTTCCATAATACTTTGGGTGCGTTCGGCCCAGTGTTTTGAGTACGATATCCTTACTGCGTAGAGATTAATGAGGCCTCTTGAAATGTGGATTAGCTAGCCTAGAGGTTATGCAACGCGGTTGGGCGCCGGTGGTGTAGGTAGTAAGCAAGAACACCCTCATCAATATTGGTTTGATGCATGGGAAATGAACAAATGTATGTGTGTGATAAAGGTACAGGGAGATGTACGTAGATCTCCTAGGCGGTGATTAAATTGCATCAGAGCTTCGAGAAAAGCGATCAGACCCCGAAAGCCGTTTCCGGGGTCTATGTACAAAACCTTATCCGGATTCTATGCGTTTCTTCTTTTCTTCCAGCAAGAAAGGCCTTCCCATTTGCCGCCCCTTAATTTTTCCCCCGCCTTGCTATGGTCACATCATGAGAGGAGCATTATACACTGACCAGAACGCCCAGTTCGCTGTTCCGGGAATCGACAAAATATCGTAGAACATAATGATACAAGAGGAGCTTTACAAGCTGCCGACGCCTCCAGCAGTCAATCAGCAAGCCCCCATGGTTTTGAAACAAGACCTCTTTTGTTGAGAGGTCGATTTTGGAGTCGAGATAACAGTCATGGAGATTGCCTTTAAGCATTCTTGACGACGCCGACCTTGGCGGCACGCATGACGCGACCGTTGAGCTTGAAGCCCTTCTGCTGAACATGGAAAACGGTGTTGTCCTCCTTATCGGGCTGGGGCGCCATGAAGGTAGCGTCGTGTTCGTTGGGGTTGAACTTTTCGCCCTCGGGGTCGAAGCGCTCAATGCCGTGCTTCTTGAGCGTCGACATAAGAATGTCGTCGGTCATCTTAAGACCTTCGTACAGGTTGGCAAGATCCTGCAGGTCGCCCGTCTTCTCAGGGGCGTTGATCTTGTCCTTGGGCACCATAGAGAGGGCGCGGTCCAGGTTGTCAATGCTGTCGATAAGGTCCTTGGCGAACTTCTGTAGGGCGAAGTCGCGCGCCTGCTTGACCTCGCGCTGTGTGCGGTCCTGAAGGTTGCGGAAATCGGCGACGGTGCGCAGGCACTTGTCCTGAAGGAAAGAATGTTAAAATCTGATGACCGATTACGATGGCCGACATCGGTCGGCATGATGCGGACGAACCTTCCAGTCGGCAGCCTCCTTCTCCTTAGCCTCCAACTGCTTCTTCAAAGCAGACTCGGCATCGTCGGCGGGCTTCTCACCCTCCTTGGGGGCCTCGGTGGTCTCCTTGGCATCGCTATACCATCTTGCAACGGCGGGTTGTGCGGCGCGTATCCTGAAAGCAGGGGAGCTCTGAAACTGGTTTTGGAAAACAGACTTGGTGGCCTGAGTACGCAAGCCGGACCGCATAGCGCGGGATGAAGTAGCGATAGCTTGTCTGAACATTGTGGCTATTGGAGGGTTGCGGCGAGGGCCTTGAGGGAGTCGAAGCGTGATTGAGATCGGGGAGGCAAAGCTTTTGAGAGAGTGAAATTTTATCGGAATGGCCCCAAGCCAAGTGACGAATTGCCTTCCCTTGCCCCCGAGCCTGGGAAAGTTTACGCCCAATCAAAAGATTCTATCAGAACTCCATCCCGGGGCGGATGAATCAGGGAGCCGGCAAGAGCTTTATCGATAGCGCCAGTGCCAAGACGAGGCCAACTGACACGCCTGCCTGCCAGACGCCTGCACCTTCCAATTGGTAATTGGGTCAGTGGCACCTGCGACGTGCTTTCCCTTTGCCTCTGGTCGCAAAAATATCCATTTCAGCCTCCCCTCCAGCGGCCGCCAAATCCTCCCCCGTTCAGCCCATTTACACCCTCGGTAATTGCGATTCCAACGGCGTCCTTGCTTTGCACATAAACAAACGATACTCGGGATTTTGCCGCCTCAGGGACTCGCTTACTTGCAGGAAAATTGACCGAGTCTCGGCATTTGAAAGGAGAAAGACGGCGCGATGGATTACGAGCCCATGTTGCTGGACGGCGAGTCTGGGGGACCGTCGATCAAGATCTCAGGGGTACTTGATTCCTCCTCAACACCTTCAGTTGGTGGCTTGAAGACTGACAGCCTGGCACTCGCTTAGGCCGACAATATCCACGTTAACTTCGACCTCTCCAACTGCGACCTCTCCTTCGCCAACTCGCTGCGTCGCGTTATCCAGGCTGAGGTCCCTGTGATCGCCATCGACCTGGTCGAAATCGAAGCCAACACGTCCGTCCTCGCTGACGAATTCATCGCTCACCGTCTGGGGTTGATTCCTCTCCAATCCAAGGACGTCAACAGCCTTCTCTACACCCGAGACTGCGACTGTGAGCAATACTGCGACAACTGTAGCGTGAAGCTTACCTTGCATGCGCGTTGCTCATCGGACGATACCATGAAGGTATATGCAAGCGATCTCATCGTCGACAGTTTCAGACAGAACGGCACCGTAGGAAACCCGGTCATTCTCGACCCGGAAGGACAGGGCTCTTTGATCTGCAAACTGCGTAAGGGACAGGAGCTCAAGATCTCATGTATCGCCAAGAAGGGAATCGCTAAGGAGCACGCAAAATGGATGCCAACGTCCGCCGTGGGCTTCGAGTATGACCCCCATAACAAGCTACACCATCTGGACATGTGGTATGAGGAGGATGCCAAGGCCGAGTGGTAAGTGATAGCAGTACGGTCCGGCGATGCGCGCATCAACTTACTTCCGATCCAGGCCCGATAGCAAGTACGCGAAGATGGAGGACCCCCCTCAGGAAGGGGACCCGTTCGACTACGACGCGGTACCTGGCAAATTCTATTTCGAGGTGGAGGGCGTGGGCAGCCTCGAGCCCGACCAGATTATCCAGGAGGGAATCAAGATTCTCCAGGAAAAGCTGGCCCTGACACTCCACATCCTCACAGGCGAGGCGGACGACGATGGCATGGGTGACTTTGATGGTCCTCGTAGTCCTAACCTGGATATGGACGGCGGCAACCCCTGGCAAGACCAGGGCTACACCACGCCCTTCAACGGCGGTGGGCAGAGCTCGTGGGGGGGCAATGCGACAACGCCGTACGCCACCACTACACCCTACGGTGCATCTGGACAGTCTGGCTGGAACTGAGAGAGGGCGACGAAATCAAAAAAGCACAAAATGGCGTTTATGTACGAGACCAAGTAAAGAATGGGGTGGCAACTGGAGTTTGCGAGTTTTTTGCGAAACAGCCGACTTGAACACCAGTTGGTCAAGTCAATCCGGCAAGAAAGTATCTTGGGTTTGCTGTATCAAATATGGACCGGATCAGGTACGCAAGCACATGAGGTAAAGCAGGGGGGGAGTCTTCCTGATGCATGATCCAGTTTTTCCGGCGTCATTTACATCTGAGCCGAGACTGGCTCATAAACGCCCGCTAGGGGCATGACGCCAGGAAAGAACCTCAAAAAGCAGAAGTGGCTAGGGGCCAAAGGAGAAGGGAGGGGACAAACATCGCGGTATACGGGCCGACGGGCCCATATACCTTTTAATACAAAAACCACGCATATCAAAACGTTTCAGGAGAAAACACAAACAAAACCCTCTATATTTAGTGTCTATGAACCATCCAGGACTCCTCTCAAATGCAGCAGATTGCCTCTATCCAACGCCTGCTAATCATGCCCAAGATGCTTGTGCTGTCGACAAAGGCGCAGCACCGGTCTATCAAACCGCTCGATCTATACAACAAGCTCCGTGCGTGTGTACTCTACTTTTTTGTTTTTTACCCCTTAATGGACGGCTCCTCGTTGTCACCAACGCTGGTGACTTTTCTGTAGACCTTGCGGTGCATTTCTAGAAAGATGAATGTACAGATGGTTTGACTGGGCGATGGAGTTAGCGTTTCCGTAATGCATCGCGAGCATGAGAGAGAGAGAGAGAGAGAGAGAGAGAGAGAGAGAGAGAGAGAGAGAGAGAGAGAGAGAGAGAGAGAGAGAGAGAGAGAGAGAGAGAGAGAGAGAGAGAGAGAGAGAGAGAGAGAGGGAGGGAAAGAGAGCGCGCGCGCACGAATGAGAGGAAAGGGGGAAAAACGGGGGAATAGGTGGTTCAAGTGAAATAGAAGGAGAGGGAGAGGGAAGACGGTAAAGAAAGACGTACGGTCCAAGGCGGAGGAAGCTGGGCACCCAGCCTTTGAACATCCACCCGAAGCCCTCGGCCTTGTAGATCTTGGCCAGCGTGAGCGCCAGCCCCTCCTGGGTGGTCGCCGACATGACGCGGGTCTTGATGACGTCGATGGGGCTTGTCACGGTGGCTGCCATGACGCCGGCGAGGAAGGAGGCGGTAAAGTGCGTGGTGAGGTTGTCCCCCATAGGGGTGTGGCCGATCAGCAGGCCCTTGAAGGTGTCGTACGAGGCGAGCTGAGAGGCCGTCATGGCGGCGGCGCGCATGCTATTGGGCAGCACACCGCGGAACCAGCTTCCAAGGCCCTCCTCGCGGGCCATGCGCAGCATACCCTCGAGCGCGTTGCCGTAGTTGCGGCGCTCGGCGGCGGGGAGGGCGGCGTCCTGCTGCATGCGCACGTTGAGGACGTCGGCAGCGTTCCCGGAGATGCCGCCGACGAAGCCCGAGGCCGAGGCCATGGCGACGAGAACGGGGAAGGACGGGGCCTTGCCGCCGTTGGCACGGGTCGCGCGGACCTTCATCTCCTCGTAGGCGCCGAAGCGGACGGTGGAGTACGTCATCTGCCGGAGGAGCGAGGCCGAGAGGCCGTTGTAGAGGCCGGTCACGCCGTGGTTGCGGAGGATGTGGGCGAAGGTGCCGCTCATGTTCTTGGGCGCATCAGGGCGGCGGACTTGCAGGCGGACCTAGAAGCATTGTGTAAGTATTCTTGCATTGGTACCGATTTTTTTTCCTTCTTCCCCTTCTTGCCCCCCTCATTCTTTACGGCTTCGCAGATCCATTCGCGATTGTAGGCCGGAGTGGAGGGGTTATGGTGTTTCCTGTGATAACTGCGCGTACCTTGACTGTGAGACATTGTTAGCTCTACAGCTCCGATATCGCAGCATCGCTATCGGCCTTTTTTTTTTTTTTTTTGCAGCTCTGTCACGCAGAACGCAGTGTGAGGCACTTACCCAGATCTAGGGGATGGGTTACGCAGGCGGCCATGCTGCTGGCGCTGCCTCCGAACCAAAAGGGGTATCGCATCGACGGCTGCGTCGTCTTCTTTTTCGTCGTCGCTGTCGCCGCCTGCCTCGGCTGCGTTTGCGGCTTCTCCTGGCCCTCCATCTGTCCCACCTTCAACGGCGACGGCGCATCGTCGGCCGGTTTGCTGGCGATCATGTTGGCGGCGGCGGCGGGCTCCATCGTTGCAGCAGCTATGCAATATCCTCTACCGAGCTCATCCCGCTGCGGCGGCGCAAAACTAGAACCTGCGTCGCTACCAAGGCGGCAGACTCGGGTTCAATGGGGGGAAGAGTGGCAGTCGGTATCCAAGGTTGCCCTGCGTCGGCAATTGTGTAAAAGGTCGCGGTCGGGCGGCGTTATGGACGTCCCTCTTCTTTTCTGTGCGGTGATGTCGAAAAATATGAGTCCGATTTCGAGGGAGGCTTGGTTCTTGTTTTTCCTTTTTTATTGATTTACTAAAGGTTTTTGCTTTGGCACGGAAAAGAAGGCTGACGAGGAGGAAGAAGCCAAGTGGTTCCCAGAATCGGCTCGTATCGCGAACTTTTTTCCGTCGTTATTTTTTTTTCTAGGAGCCGAGTCGGCCGGATGACGTTTCTGCTCGGCTTAAAGATAATAGCCTGCTGCTTCGGCTTATTGCTGCTGCGTCATGGTAGTAGCGGCAGAGGGGTTAAGTATCATGCGCTAAAGGAACCCCTGCGCCGGGTCGGCAGGGCCTGACGCGTGGGTAGCTTTTTTATTCGGGGTCGGATTTTCCTGTGATGTTTAAGCTCCCTTTTTGTTATTCCGCGGCTTTTCAAACCACGTCGAGACACCTAACAGAGAAGCTCCAGTGCCTGTGATGACAACGTAGCGCAAAGGCCTTTGTATCTGGACAAAGGCATAGACAAAACACCACACGAAACCGCCCGACAATGCTCGTTCCCAGGTTGGCCGGCAGACAATTGCAGCGAAGCTGCTACCGTGGCGCCACCTGTCGCGGAGCTGCTTCTGCTCGACAATGGCAGACGCTGGCTTCGCTGTCCATGAGCAGCCGGCGTGTCTACTCCTCAGGTCAGACCGAACCGATCCTGGACCCCTTACCCGCTTTCTAAACTGTGCATTGCAGAGTCCCCGACCCCGAGCAACAAGACCGTTGAGGTCAATGGCCAGACCATCCCGACTGACGACTGGTTCAACGTTCCCAAGACCGTCCTCGACGCGGCGTCGCGCAAGCTCCACCTCCAAAAGGACCACCCCGTGTACATCACCCGGCAGATCATTGAGTCGCAGTTCCCGGCGCCCACGTACCGGTACCACAACACCTTCGACCCTGTCGTCACCACGCACCAGAACTTTGACTCGCTGGGCTTCCCCGCCGACCATCCCGGCCGCGCAAAGTCCGACACCTACTACTTCAATAAGGACACGCTCCTGAGGACGCACACCAGCGCGCACCAGGCGCAGACATTCAAAAAGAACCTGAGCGAGGGATACCTCATCAGCGCTGACGTCTACAGGCGCGATGCCATCGATAGGAGTCACTACCCCGTCTTCCACCAGATGGAGGGCGCCCGCATGTGGGACAGGACCAAGGTGCCCAACGGCGACATTGCCGCCGCCGTCTGGGAGGACGTGAACAGGCTGCCGAAGCACAACGTCAAAGTGGAGGATCCCCATCCCGCCTACGACGCGGAGCGCAACCCCCTACAGGAGGGCCACCACTCGCCCGCCGAGGCCGAGGCCATCGGCGCTCACCTGAAGCGGTCTCTGGAGAACATGGTCGTCGAGATCTTCACGAGGGCCAAGGCCGCCGCTGCCAAGGCGGACCCTGACTACAAGGACGAGCCCCTGAGAGTCCGCTGGGTAGAGGCGTACTTCCCCTTCACGAGCCCCTCGTGGGAGCTCGAGGTCTACTATGCCGGGGACTGGCTCGAGGTGCTGGGCTGCGGCGTGGTGAAGCAGGACATCTGCATCAACGCGGGGGTGCCGCAGCAGCTCGGCTGGGCCTTTGGCATCGGCCTCGAGCGCATCGCCATGCTCCTCTTCCAGATCCCCGACATCCGCTTGTTCTGGTCGCAGGATGAGAGATTCCTAGGCCAGTTCAGGGGCGTGTCCGACCAATTGGACTCGATGAAGCGCTTCACGCCCTTCTCCAAGCACCCGGCCTGCCCCAAGGACGTGTCTTTCTGGCTCCGGAGCACGTCCGCGGCCGGTGGGAATACCAAGGCCAACACGCAGGACTTCCACGAGAACGACTTTATGGAGCTGGTGCGGGATATCGCCGGCGAGAGGGCCGAGGACGTTCGGCTGGTGGACGAATTCACGCACCCCAAGACGGGAAGGCGCAGCATGTGTTATCGCATCAACTACCGAAGTCTGGAGCGGACCCTGACCAACGAGGAGACCAACGAGTTACACAGCGAGGTGACCCGTAAATTGGTGGAAAAGCTAGGCGTTGAAATCCGTTAAAAATGACCTTTAGTTGACGCCGGTAGCTGAGGGGTAAGGGGGCTGTGCTGCCGACGCTTTCTCGCAGCTCCTCAGACGTTACGTTACGGCTCCGGGTTGAGCGAGTCCACGGGCACGGCATGGTTAGCAGACCCGGCGTAAGCTGTGCGCCTCGCTCGGTGTGTGTTGCGGGAAAGTACACTGCCGAGCCGGCGGGCGTAACTCAACTCCGCGCTGCCGAAGTGAAGAGAGGAGGGTTTGGCATGGAGCCCATCACGCCATGTATCATAGAACGACTTGTACTATAACGCCGTATGGTGACCGAGGTCAGAGCCTCGGGTACCTTTTGCGGGCTGAGCCTTGGACCAGAAGTTCAGGGTAATTACGGGGACTCGGGATTTTCTTGGATCCCGCCTTGCAGCGGCTTTGTTTTGATGGCTGTGTTTCGTTCTCGGAATTGCTTCAAGAGGCACAACCGTGATGTGCGCCGGCATCGGGTGAAAAAAGAGCATTACTTATGACGGTTGGAAACAGCTCAACGCCGAAAGAGCGCCCGACCGCCACCATGGCCCATGCCCGAGCAACGAGCATACCAGGCCCGCCTTGCCAAGGGTTCTCGAACGAACCCTTGCCTCCCACTTGGGCGCGAAAAGAATCGTCGGAAGGTTCTGAAGCAGTGACGCTGCGGTTGCAGATCGTTGTGTCAGGCGCAAAACCTACAGGCACAATGCGCCCGCCGTCCGAGACAAGTGCATTAAGTTAAGCCTTGGGGTGGTGGCAGGGAAGGACGGGCAAGAGAGAGTCTTGACCCGTCGTCCCAACCACTTGGGACGGCTGTGCATATCGGTTTCATGTCCTTCTTTTCTTTAAAGATGGGGCCAACATCAGCCCGCCGCCGCCCAGAGGCCTTGGAGGAGTTTGAGAGTCGAAGTTGGAGAACAGAGTTGGGCACAGCCACGCTCGCGATATTAAGCTCTCTCGGTCGCAGTGCATCATTCTACCGGTAGTTAGTGTAAGCTGTGACTGTCGCAAGTTTATGCTGACACCCTCCTCCCCCCCCTCTTCTTCAAGCGGTCGCTTGCAATGTGTCCAAACGGATGAGATGGGTCTGTGATGCTTCAGGTTAGACTAAGCAATATCAAGTTTATCGGGTGGCATTCTTTCTGGGCAAGCATTGTCTTTGTTGCAGGAAGTCCCCGGAGGAGGCCGAGATAAGGTCAAGTGCCACGAGGGTAACAAGCGGTGGTGTCCCAGTCGTTGAAAACAGCAGGATACGGTTCAAGGCGTAGCCGTACCCAGACAGAATCTCGAGTGGGTTGAAGGACGAGACTTCTACGTCGGAGGCGCAACTTAGCCCAACAGGGCAATCGTTTCCCGGCGCGAATTCGCGCCTACATCGGTTACTGCGTATGTACTATGTGAGTGCGTATGGAGTACGGATAATCAAAAGGGCAACGAGGATTGGAAGGAAGCGGGGGGAGGGGGGGGGGTGGCAGCACCAGCAAGCGGAGCGCAGGAATGCAGGTCTTGGCCCAGAACGGCGTCTGGGGAAGCCGATTGCATCGCGCGAAACATCAATCTGGCAGGTCGGAGGTCTTGGTATCCAGCACAGCCTCGTTTCCAGGTCTCCAGATACCAGCGACCCCCGCCGCGTAGCATTCGGGAAGGGGTTTTTGCGTCGAGCCGGAAATTGGGTCGAAACATATGATGAGTGGCGGCAAACACAATGCGGGAAACGAATTTTCCCGCATTGATAGGAATATTGGCTTTCAATTTCGTTTTTTCCCCCCCCGACCTCCATTTCTTCTCTGCTGTGCTTGGAGATACACATTTGGGGGGCAGGGAGTTTGGGGTCAGATGAGCGCACTTGTCTTCGGTTCGGCAGGCAATGGAAGGGGCTGAGGCTTGGTGTAATTTGCCCCAAGCTGGCTGAGCAAAGACAAAACTGGTAGGTTGACTCGTAGCAGACGGGCGGAGTTTGCGTCGCAACTTCAACCACATGCGAGGCTTTCCGCGGTCCCATTCCCACGATGCTCCTCACGCGAGGCGGCGAAATGCCTTGCCCCTGTTTCCAGAGGGCGTCGGTTCATGGCATGAAGCGGCGAGGCAGGCTCCGTCGCGGTTGTCACCCCAGCGCACCTGACACTGTGGTTGTTGAGAGGGGCTTTGCATCGTGAGCACCACCTCTGTTGCCAAGCCGCAGCCCCGTATGATTGATGCTGGGGGCTGGAAGAGTTCGTGAGCCAAGACCAACGAGACAACAATCCATCACAAACGATCGAAGGTGGGCTAAAGATATCCGAAAACGTTTCGGAGAGGAGAGCAAGACCGAGCAAGGGTGGCTTCTCAGGAGACTTGAGGAGACATTGTTACGTTACCAACCAAGCCTGACAGCAAAGCACAAACCCCAAGTGTCGTAGATACAGTAATCAAGCAGCCAAGCAATGGCTAAGTAATCAATCGTGTGAAGACAACAACTATTGCACAGCCCCAGTCCCTCTATCAAACTTGTCAGGAACTTGCCGTGCTGGGAAGTCGACTCGGGACCCCTGGAAGAAAGACCCTTGGTTGGAGCAAAAGCGGGGGGTTCAGTTGTCGAGTTGATACCTAGTAGTAGATCTCGAATGGCAAAGCAACAACGAACAAGTGTGCGCCTGCACCATGCATCTGTAGACTGTAGGTAACGTTGATGTTCGGAGCATGCCCGAGTCCAGACTGGGTGGGTTTGTTGGTTGATTACGGAGTAGAGCTGCAGGTGTCGACGGATGCACGGGAAGCATGCATGGCAAGACTCCAGACCTCGGAAGAAGGCGAGAATGAGGGCGGTGCCGGTGGCCGACGGCGTATTTGCCGTAGCAGGCCGTGTGCCTCAGTTTTGTCATGTTTTGTTTGCGCCGTGTCTCGCGTACCCGGGAGACGTACGAGAAGGGAAGCAAAGAGGGATCCAAGGGCGAGACCAAACGACGAGGTGAATGTGGACGTGGAAGGATACGGTTGACAGGGGTGAGGGACGGGCGATGCGCGCGGAGTGTTGTCGCTGCGGCGAATTAGCGGGTCGGGGCGTTGTTTCCCCAGCAGTTGAGAGAAGTTGTTCGTGCCCCGGGCGCCCTGCTGTTGTTGAAGAGAGAGAACTGAGCCCGCTAAGCGTATGATGTGGGGGGGGGGGGGGGGGAGGTAGCCACCGTAATGACAGGCCGACAATGGTCGTGTCGTGGACGAATACATGAGGAGGCGTGCGAGGTTTGAGCTGGCAGCAACGACGCAAGGTCCACGCTTGACTGAAAGCTCAAAAGACTCTCAGACAGCACTGCCCTGGCGGCGCACGGCAAAGTCATCACAGTGGAAATTAGCGACTGAGAAATGGCAACGCTACCGTAACAGTACGTACCCCGGTCCGGCGTTTGCTTAGCTCATCCGTTAAGATGCGGGATCAGGGCGCGTGACGGCGTTGTATCGTAGGCAGGCAAAACGACCAAGGTGGCGAATGGAATTCTGGACAATTCGACTCCAAGCGGGGCGACCGAACCACCGGCCCGTCGATTCGTCCACGGCATGGAAAGGGAGGGCGGTATATTAGACTACCTTAAGGTATGCTGGATCGGTAGTGCACACATATTGAACTCCGGCAGGCACTCCTTGGAATGCGTCTGGCCACCAGACGCCAAGCCGACTGGAGCGGGCAGAAAATAGAAGAAGAAGAAGAAGAAAACCCTTGGTTTCCTCTGAATTTTTTTCTCTTTACTTTTGCACAGCCTCAGGTCAGCAAGTGCTACTAGTCCCTGCTTGGCTGCTGGCTACTCAGTAAAATGGCCCGACGCCATGTACCTTCTGCGCTCTGTGCTCGCTTCCCGCTCGTCCTCGCAGTTGCATGGTAGGCATACCTACCTAGTAGCTAGTAGCATGCATTGATTGCCATGCATTCCTGGGTGCCTGGCAATACCTCGCATTCCGCGAAGAGTTACTAGACGAGGTAACACAAGCATTCAATAGAGAAAGCCAATCTCTACATCGCGATGGAAGGTGTCGCTTCTCATATGATCCCGACAGTTCCTCGTCTGCGCCAATCAATCAACCTTGGCAAACCATCAAGCGCCTTGCCTTACTGCACCATCCCTCTCCACTTAGACGCTGCCCCGGTGCACTCTCACTGCGTGACCGCAAAAGGAACAGATAAATAACGGAAGGCGTATCGCACGAGTTTCCAGCCTCTCTAAGCCTGCATGTACACGTATTGCTCGAATACGCTTCATAGGTAGGTATTGCTGCGGCGGCTACAAGGCGGCGAAACTCCAAACGGACCCCCCACGAGTCCGTGTGGCCTTGCCGTTTCATCACACAGACCAGACAACTAAGGTACTGACTGTACGGAGTATGTATCCGTAGTTTAGGTACTACCGTACGCAACGCCACGGGCGGGCGGGACTTGCACACACCCTTCACCCACCGTACCTAAACTTACCTGCTCTCCGAGTCCACCTTGTACCCTGCCCGCGCACCCCTCCCCTCCCACCACTCTACTCAGCCATCCACACACACACAAACACCGGATACTCTGTACGCTAGCCGCTGGGCAGTGTAAGTAGTGTATGGATGCTATCTCATGCTCCACCCGGCCCAGTAGTCGCCAATGGCGACAGCCAAGCCACCCTCATAGGTACGCCCAAACATATAACCAAGACCACCGCCCGCCAACCTCCATCATCTTGCATTCCAACTCCAGCACCAAACAAACAGGACGCATATACATCTACTCTGCACATTGTTGAATGCCAACCAAGAAGCACACCGCATCATTAACGCAGTAACAAGCCTTCGTGGTTCTCGCTTTCTGTCGCATCCGCCATCACACCGTCACACTCCAACCACATCACACACACACACACACATACAACCGCTCAAAATGGAGTCGCCCAAGTCTGACACCCGCCCCATCTTCTCAAGGCGGTCAACTGGCTCCAACAAGTCGCTGTCTCTCGACCTCTCCTCCCTGCCGCCTCTGGTCCAGCCGACGCCGCCCACCAACACTCTGCTCTTCACAAACCTCAACGACACTTCCATCTTCCGCCCCGACAACCTCCAGACCATCCGCGACCTCGTCCTCAAGACGGCACCCATCCACTCGTGGGCACCCCTCAAGTCTTTCCGCCGCATCCTCGTCTCCTTCTTCTCCGAGGACGATGCCATCGCTGTGCGCCGCGTTTGGGACGGTGAAGCCGTCATGGGCGAGCGCGTCCGCGTCTACTTTGGCCAGCCTACGCCCGTCGAGGTCACCGACCGCCACCTTGCCCTCCCCGACGCCGGCAAGCTCTTCTTCATCTCGCCCCCTCCCTCGCCCCCCCACGGCTGGGAGATGAAGCTGGAGGACGCTCCCAACAAGATGGTTCACGCCGATGACCTCGCCGAGGCCCTTGCCAAGCTCCACCACCGCCCGACGGGCATGCAGACCCCCGTCAGCCCCGTCGATGGCTCCCGGCAAACCCGTAGCAGGAGCTCCACCCTGCTCTACCAGCCCGACGCCAACGGTACCAGCCCCGACCTCCCGGCCATCTGCCTCGAGGACATGACCGACGAGCCCATGGAGTTCAGCCCCATCGACAACCAAAAGACCATCATGGCGCACACCTCTCGCCCGCCGGTTGAGCTGATGCACGACGCATAAGGCATTCCTAGCTTTTCATCTTATTTTACAAGAGTTATCTCGCTCGGGCGTTGAGGTACTATATGGAGTACGGTGACACGGGCTTATGGCACGCATCTAGCATCTTGACATGGGTTTTGCGACGGCGTTTTGGGAAAGACTACGGCACGTATACTGGACAGGGTATAGGGAGGGCCGTTATTATTATTATTACATTGGATGGGTTCGACACTACACACTGTCGCTTCTGATGGCCGTGAAGCCAGGTCCAAAAAAGTTTCTTATCTTGCGGTGTTGCCCACAAGCACACCTTACATGTACACTAGAGCTGCCTTCCGCGAGCGGCCCAAAGGCTGCGAAATCAAGAAAGCTGACTGTTATCACACAAGCAAAAAGAAGAAAGTCTTATGTGGGCCCTCATGTCTCAGTGTGCGGTTCTTGCGTGTTATGCCTGGTACCCCCAAGAATCTGCGGCAAAGACGTTTATGCCATCGGGGCCGTCATCGTTACAGCGTTCTCCATAAAAGACGCCCAGCCCCAGACTGTGTTTGATCTTCGCACATAATTGATCTGCGCCGCGAGGCCGAGTCGAGAGGGGAGGGGAGTCGGGTGCCGGATCAAGTCCGATCGGGATCAGCCCGTGGCCCACGCTGCTCCGACTTGGTATGGAGTTCCTGGTTTCGACTTGGCATGACGTGTCTCTACGCATATAATCACATGTGTGTATTGTCTTAGAGGTCAAGTGAAACCATTCCAGCGGCCCTCCTAAGCAGCGCCGAGGCGCTCCGTACGCCCAGCCAGGCGAGCAGCCCCGCCACGGTGACGGCGACCAGGAACACGACGAGGCTCCGGCGCTCGGTGTTGCGCACACGGCGGCTGGCGAGGGCGGGACCCTGTACGGACGGGGTGACGTTGTGGGACCGGGCGGCTGCCTCGGTGGACATGACGTCGAGGGTCGGGATGTACTTGAAGTCAAAGTTCGTCTCTCTGCCAAGAGCGCCGAGCTCAGGTTTGTAGACCGTCAGGTTGAACAGGGCTTTCTTGAGTCTCTGTTTTTTAGTTGTTTCACGAACGGTGTTAGTCGAGGTTTGGCCCGGGAAAACCCCGAAAAGGGCGGGGGACTGGGGAGGGGGCATTCATTCACCTCGTTCCGAGACGTGTCCCAGTGCGGGAACAGACGGCGGGAGTAGCACATGGCCATGAAGAAGATGCAATGCCCGACGATGAGCAAGGAGTAGTAGAAGGGCGGCCGGGCGACGGCCAGCGCGCGGGCGAGCTTCGGGCCGTTGAGCCAGTATGTCTCGGCGGCGAGGAACTCGCGCGACACGTACGAGGGCGGCTGGTCGCACAGACCGGAGAGGACGTTGTTGGCGAGCACACGGGAAGTATCGGACGGCTCGATCTCGGACGCCAAGAGGGACTCCATCATGGCCCGCGCCGCCGACGGCGACGCGAAGGCGTCAGTCGGCGTGCCCATGATATGGGCGACCCACCGCCAGAGCGCGAGGTAGTCGGCCTCCTCGGCGCGGGTGGGGTAGATGCCCTGCCGGGGGAGGCCTATCCAGAGGAGCGTGGCGGAGAAGGTGGAGATGGTGCCGATGCAGTCGAGGTCGTTGACGGGCACGCCCCAGGCCCGGACGTCGTAGTACGAGGGCCGCTCGGCGACGAGGGCGAGGATGCGGCGGCGCACAGCGGCGTGGAGAAGGCGGACCCGCAGAGACGAAGCGAAGCCGTCGCCACCGGGCTGGATAGAGGCGAGGTCGCGCGTCACCTGGAGGATGTGCTGGAAGGTCTCGAGGAGGCGGCGGCGGGTGACTTTGACGCCGAAGCCGCCGGTGCGGGAGAGCGTCTCGACCACCCGGCGGCTGCCCATGCCGCCGACCAGGGACTGGAACGTGAGCTGTGCGGTGTTGATGAGATTCTGTGTGAGACGGACTTTGGGGGGGAGGGGGGCGCTTACAGCGAAGATGGCAGGTCCGGCATAGCGGAGGAATACCTCCTGACCTCGCTCGATCTGAGCCCAGTCGACCCAGTCGGGTATGGTGTTGACTTCGCTCCATAGCTTTCCGAGGGTCTCATCAGAGCCCGCATTGTCTCTCAAGAGAGCGTAGAGGTCTCGGTTGGGCTTCGGGCCCGGAGCAATGTCGACCTTCTCGCTAGGTGGCGAGGGCTTTTCCGGCGGCGATATCTCATCCAGTCGGTCAAGTGCTTTTGCCCCCAGCTCATCGTAGGTGTAGATCATGGGACGGAGGTCGTCGCCCGTGAGATGTTGGTCGGTCCACTTGAACCAGTAGTCCCAGACGGATCGCCACTTCTCGCCTCTATACCACAGGATACCAGCCATTGTTGCCCTGGACTGTCCGAGTAACGGTACTCAATAGTATGGCCAGGGTTGTCAACCAGAGACCGAAGAGCAGGAGGACTAACTACAAGGCTTTGACTGAGACTAGATTTGAGGAAAAGAAGGTTGATGAGACACGGCAGTGTAGGTGGACGACACAGTGAACAGGGACAAAACGAAGATAAGAGCGGAATGATTTTATCGAGTTCAAAGAGCGGATACTTAAACAACAGTCTCAAAACTGCTGATATAGAACCAACTAGGTTCCCTTCCAACTTCAAGGTCACCAAGCCCAGATATAGGTTTCCCTATGTCTAGGTGAACAGCACCGAGGCACCCCGCACTTCTACTACGAGCAGAGCGAGATAGTTACCTTTTCGGGTAAGGGAATGAAACACGGCTTGCTAGCGAATAAGGGATTGACACTGACGCCTAACTGACATTGCTAGGGAATGGCAGTAGTCATAAGGTTGGGAAGAGAAGGTCGGCGGTATACGGGTTGTGAATCCCCGCACAGCGAGAGGCTGCCGAGAACATGGATGATGCCGTGATGTTTGTACGTGCATGATCTCGCCACCACCCCCTTCCCCAATCCGACATGGAGAGCGGAAGTGGCGTCTATGAAAGGCAGATGTGCCGGGCTGATTGAGGAAAACCCAAGAGACAGAGTAAGAGAAGGTGAACTAGCTAGCAACTAGTTGCGGTGGGCCCATGACGAGCCGACAGAGTCCGAGTTCGAGTCCGGGTCAGCTATCGCGCAAAGTGAAGTTAAAAACGGGAGGGCGATCTAATTGGCTTTGGCAGCTTTCCGTCCAGAGCTAACACCAGTTGCTTGACAGCCCCTCCTCCCTGCAGTAAGTACCGGTGGCGCCCGGCGCAGCGGCACCATTCCCCCGGGCCGCCCCTGCGATGGCCCCATATTTCCTCGAGCCCCGTCCCGTCGTTCAGAGGCGCGACTGAACTAATTAGTCTCGAGCTTGACTTTTTCGCAAACGCCCCCTTTGACAACTTCACATCCCACACCCCGACTCTCGACATCTCCCATTCCGATCCGAGTCTACGAGATCCCGCAAGCCAACCATGTTCTGCTCATGTAGATTGAGCCCTTTAAGGCTTTTCTTACAGGGCGTTTCGCAAACGGTCGCCTCCGAACCCGCCGTCGCAACGAGATTTTCCCAGCACCTTAAGAACCCCCACGCTCTGCAGCTCGGCCAGAAATCAACATTCGCGACCTCGACGGCCTATAGTAGACATGGCGACTGGAAAGGGCCCAGAAAACCCGTCACGGTGCTCCCGGAGAGAAACCACGCAACAAAGGACAGGAGGGGAAGGGACGGCCTGGCCGGCGAGGACGACCCCGAGGACGGCGCGAAGCCCAAAAGAGAACCCTGGCAGATCCAGAAGGAGGCATTGAAGAAGAAGTTCCCCGAGGGCTGGAACCCGCGCAAGCGGCTCTCGCCGGACGCCATCGCGGGCATCAAGGCGCTGCACGCGCAGTTCCCCGAGGAGTACACGCTCCGGACGCTGGCCGACAAGTTCCAGGTGTCGCCCGAGGCGATCCGGAGGATCCTCAAGAGCAAGTGGCAGGCGTCGCCCGAGGAGGAGGAGGATCGGCAGGAGCGCTGGTTCCGGCGCGGCGTCAGCGTGTGGTCGCGGTACGCCGAGCTGGGCATGAAGCCGCCCAGCAAGTGGCGCCGCGAGGGCGTCACGCGCGACCCGTCGTACCACGAGAACCGCAAGGCGGCGATCCAGCGGAGGAAGGAAGAGGAGGCGGAGGAAGACGCCGGGGAGAGGTTACAGCGGAAGCTGTCTGACACGATTCTGTAGTCGCCAGGGGCGCCGAATCTCTTTCTCGCGTTCGCACGGCTCGAATACCCCGATGACCATCCCAGCTCTTAAATACCGGGCGGAAATGGAGCCTCGAAATCCAATATTGATCGAAACTATGCCACAAATAATAAACAGAAATCATCAAGTTGTATTCTGGTTTGATTCTGGTTTTCATACTCATTTGACTGTCAACGGTTCCTTCAGTCCAGCTGTTTTATTTTCTTCCACCCACCCGTCTCCTATTGTATGGTCCGCTAAGGACCCGAACCTAATGTCGAGCACCATTTGGAATCTCGTCAGCCTGGTTTGTTGTTTCCGGGGTCCGAAGCTTCATGTTCTTTCTGACTGGCACATTTCCTGAAGCCATCCCAAGGTTTCTTCGCCCCCCCCTGCACCGTGACGCCTGGTCGTACTGCAGAGAACTAGGGCCCTTGGAGGCTATTCCTGCATTGGCCGTTGCGCTGCTCCTTAAGTGGCTTGGTTGTGGAGTCTTGGACGATATGGCAAGTGAATACTGGCACTCGATCAGTGCTTGGTACCTAGCGCCACTGTACGCCCGATCACGGCGCTTATTCTCCCGTGTTGGTCCTCGAGTTTTCACCAGGCGGTTGGTTGAAAGGCAAGGCAACCCTCGGCGGGTACAGACACCGGAGTATCTTCCGATTGCTCGGTGAACCACTCATACTCGACAAGCTCCTTCATTGTCGGTCTGTCTCGGGAGTTTGGTCTTGGGACCTGCCTACTCGTTATCGGCAGGAGAAATTTCCTGTCTCGTCCACCCTTGGAGTAGCCTCTGCGGAGGCCCTTGCTCGTGAAGGAAGAGGATGACCTCAAGGGTTTCCGGGTCAATGAAGCCGGCAATCGACAGCGGAAACGGGCCGAGATATTGATATGTTCGCTTCAGAATTGTGATCTCATAGCTTTGGGCTTCTGATTTGGCTTTTTCCCAGCCAGGGTCGGAGTGGCGGCAACCGCTTCGGTGCACCAAACTGGGAACCTATGACAGTTGAGCTGAGAGAAGTGACGGCGAGCCGTATGTGAAGACACGCACAGCATTTCCAAAGGACCATATGTCCCGTCCATGTGTCCCAAGGAAGTCGGAAGATGGACTCCAGGCTACGCACGAAGGCAGCTGGCGAGCAGGCAAGGAGATCGTCACAAATATACAAATCGGAACACAGGGCTTGTTCATGTATACCATTAAGAGTAAGAACTCTTTGCAGGTTGTCGTAACATAAACATATTGACACGATGACCGCCGTGGCTGCTACTCATGTACTCTGTGAGCGCGTAAATGACTCGACTCTTTCAACAAGGCAGCTCAGTAAGTTGGATCGGAACGACGACGATAACACGCCCTTAGGGCTGCTGAGTGAGCTGTCCCGAGAAGGGACGGTCAAAAAAGGATTCTCAAGAGGAACTTCAAGGACCGACCGCGGTTCGAACGCGGGGCCTAGAGATGGTTGCTGTCTAGGAACTGCAATCTCTCGCTCTACCACTGAGCTATCGATCCTTGCGAGCGGGACGAGTGCTTAGTCAGCTGAATCGCTTGACCGTCCGGTCACAATGTGGTCTCATGGAGGCTCTCGCGCATGCGGAAAGCAGAGGTGCGAATGTGCATCATGTGGTTGGATACCCACGCATGCAGGGCATGCTCGGTGACGTGGGGCCGGAGGCTTGATTAGCAAATTGTGCATGTGGCATTGTACTGACAAGGGGTCGGGGCAGAACCGAGCTAAACGTCGGAGCATCACAGCGAGACAGAGGGAGAGTGGTTTGGATAACGCGAGAATGGCATTTGAACACAAAAGTGATATTTGGGCACCCAGTGCTAGGTCCTTCAACCTAGGGCTATGTTAATTAATGTACAGGGCGAGGCCAGTCCAAAACACGACGCAGGAGTTTTAGATACCCAGGGTGAACTCGACGCCGACGTCAATATCGCGTGCTGCAAATCATCTCCGTTAGCAATGCTTCAGTGGATTCGAGGGTTCGTCGGGAGGGAGAGGGGGCCAAGACTTACCCATCTTCACAACCTTGGACAGCTGGACGGCCTTCTCGGCAGCGGTCTGGAGATCGTCGATGGAGAAGATCTTCATGCTCGAGTTGTTGATGATCTCGTGGGCGGCCTCAACGTTGGTACCCTGCAGACGGGCGATGATGGGGATCTTGAGGTTGAGCTCCTTGGAGGTGTTGATGAGACCCTGGGCGATGAGGTCGCAACGGACGATACCACCAAAGATGTTGACAAAGATGGCGGAGACCTTGGGGTCGCTCGTGATGAGCTCGAAGGCCTCCTTGATAGCGGCGGGAGTGGCACCACCACCGACGTCGAGGAAGTTGGCGGGCGTGCCCTTGTTCAGCTTGATAATGTCCATGGTGGCCATGGCCAGACCGGCACCGTTGACGAGGCAGCCAATGTCACCGTCGAGCTTGATGAAGTTGAGGCCGGACTCGGCAGCGCGGACCTCGTCGGCGTCCTCCTGAGTGGTGTCGCGCAGGGCGAAGATGTCCTTCTGGCGGTAGTCGGCGTTGTCGTCGAAGCCGAACTTGGCATCCATGCAGAGGACCTTGTGGTCAGAGGTCTCGGAGAGGGGGTTGATCTCGATCTGGGTGGCGTCCTTCTCGAGGAAGATCTTGTAGAGCTTCTGGATGGTGTCCTTGGCGTCCTCGATGCACTGCTCGCTGAAGCCGAGCTTGACGGCGATATCGCGGGCGATCTCGTCGGTGACGCCCTTGTTGATGTCGATGTTGGTGGTGATGATAGCATCGGGGTTCTCCTTGGCGACCGTCTCGATGTCCATGCCGCCCTGGGACGAGGAGACGATGACGGGGGCCTGGGAGGCGCGGTCCATAAGAATGGCGAGGTAGAACTCGCGGCGGGCGAACTTGCGCTCGCAGATGTAGACCGAGTTGCAGAGCTTGCCGCCAGCGCCGGTCTGCTTGGTGATGAGCTTGTGGCCAATCATCTGCTCGGCGAACATCTCGGCCTCGGTAGGGGAGTAGATGACGCGAACACCGCCCTTGAGGCCGTTGTCGAAAGTGCCCTTTCCACGTCCACCAGCGAGGACCTGGGCCTTGATGACCATGTCCTCACCACCAATCTCCTTTGCGATGGCCTTGGCCTCGGCGGCAGACTTTGCGACGGAACCCTTGGGGACACCGACTCCATACTAGATTGACGGACCAGGTCCATACGTTAGCCATCGCGATCGTCCATCTACGAGTTCGTGGGAAGCTCTATTGAAAACCTGGCCTCTCCCAACGAAAAGGGGAGTGGGGCGTTTTCAATCGCGGGTGCGGGTATGGGTGTTTACCTGGCGCAGGAGGTCGGCAGAAAGGTACTCGTGGATGCTGAGGTTTCTTCTTTGTTGCTGCGCGAGACCTGGGAATCTGGCAGGCGAGGCGGCGACCCTCGAGGAAGTTTGGATGGCAGAAGCCAAACGGCTGCGTCCGAGCTTGAACATGACTGAAGAGGTTTATGTATTCGTGTCGCGAGCAAGGGGTAAGGTTCTTCGAGACCGAGGACTCGAGTAAGAGGAATAGAGGTGCGCCGTCAATGGAGTGATTGAATCGGAGATCCCTACGGGTGTGGGATGATGCGGCGCTTCGTAGGAGGGGAAAGGAACAAGGACCGACAAAAAAAGTCCTGTAGGTTTGTGCTGTGATGCAATTGGATTTGCAGGAAAGCGCTATCTCCAAGCAATCTCAAACTGGAAAACCGAGTTTCGGGTCCGCAGGAAGGGTCCGCGGAAATTCCCGGTGCTGTGGTTATTCCTTCAGCCGAGCTAGTACACCAGTTAGCCGCCGCTTTTAGGCTCTGACTACTCTGGCGAAAACCGCCTTGCTCACAATAAAACCACAGAAATTACAAGGCTGATATCTTATGGGCTTAGAAAGATCTAGAACAAACTCATCAGCCGTAATTTTTTCTTTTTCTTTTTTTTGCACTTTTTCTTGCAGGAGGCGCGTCACTTTGCCCAAGAGCCGAAGAACGGGTTGGCTCCGTGACTTTCCGGAGGCCATCCGGTAAAAGCGGCTCTACGTGGCTCGAGCTCTGGACCCGTGCATCTGTCAAGACATTCGCACCAACCGTGAGCCACGTGTCTGTAGGAGGCGCATCTGCAAGCTGATCATGTGGCGTCAATTCTTCACCTCGCTTTTTTTCAGACACTGTCACGTTCTCCTCGAGAAACGCCGTGTTCTGATCTAGAGGTACAGGCATTGGTTTGGTCGATGAAAAGCCGACTCACAGACATTCTCTGGCAAACTCATCTCTGGCCAGACCTTGTCCTCATCCGACTTCCCAAGATTTCAGCCCTGCCAATCCATGTGCCAACTGAGACAAATATTGGTACATTCAGGGTGACTTCGCCACGCCCTCACAAGAGTACACGATATACTCTGGCTGACAGATGGATTCCAACTCTCGCTGAAATATAGTCTAAAGACTCTCAACTAGTGCAGTCAGCGAGATGTCATGGGTTTCAGATGTTTCCAACTCAGGCTAGGGACTCACCAGTCGAATCGCCCACTTCTGCTGGCATAACAACCTACAATGACTGCTGACTTTACCTTGTTCTCTGAGAACTTAATAGTTGCTCAAAAAGCCGATGGTCATGTTAGTTAATTCGCCCTTCATGATGGGGCTGTGAGGCAGGCTCGTAGCCAAATCCTGCCGTATCAGAGCCATCCTGATACACCGACCAGGATCGGCATATGTGCACCAGTGTATACGTATGCGGACTTTTCGTCCTCAAATTCCGAATCACTGTCAGGCTGATAAGTATCGCGAAGAAGCTCATGACCAGTCGTAGAATATGCAGCCGAAGCCCTCTACTTGAATGCCACCATATGCCGATCTTGCCGCATGTTCGGTGCTTGACACTCATTGCATTCATCGATGTCGTACCAAGCTCTCTTTTGGCGTTGTCTACCATGGCAAGTACGATTGGAAGGACTGACAGTAATCGGCTTGGTAGGCTCGGCATCGCTTCGCATTGGGAGGTGATATTGGGCGCGGCGCTCCCGCTGACAGCTTTCACCGTGGGCGACAAGGTGTAGCAGGATACCTGGAACGAACGGTATTCCTCGGTATTATGCGTTTCGGTTATGACTCCCGGGACGCTGGGTGGTCGACTGAAGGGATTCTTAGGTAACGCAAGCTGGGCGTTGCATGCGCTCTGCGAACCGTGATTGTGCCAGGCGGACACATGGGGCCAGTATGTAGAACGCTGGGAAGCATTCATTGCATTTCCAAAGAACGAGGCATGCGAGCGGAAAACTTTGGCTCGATCCGAAGTCATACCTGCCCAGCATATATGTGGGTGCTGGTCCGTAATAAAGCTGGGATGGCTGAGGTTGTCCAAGCATGAAGCAACACTTCAGACGAGTCGTCGGCAAAGGCGATCATCATGCGGACCGCTAGGCTAGATCGACAATTGAATCCATGAGAAGGATCGAAAGGTCAGGCCTGTTCCATGGAGAGCGATCCCCTTCAAGATCAAGGGCCACTCGCCAGTTGTGGCGGTCGTCTCGGAATCGGATTCCTAAAGGATGTACGATGTATTACCAACAAACAATGATTGGATTCAACGGTGCTGCTGTGGCTGATCGTAGAGATGCAAGGTGCACTGCATGGCCGTTCTTTGTTGCGACTTTGGGATGACCCCTGTCTTGGTCTTTCGTGCTGCTCTCATATTGACTCAACAGCACTTATTGCTCTGAGGTGTGGTGCACTCTGTCAAGAAAGAGAAGAGGGGGAGGGGGAGGAGGAGGAGAGAAGAGGACGGAAGAAGAGAAAAGCAAACCCCGCGAAAGACATATTTGTGTCAACGCGTATATCTCATATTTGCTGATCAGGCCATTCCACTCCGCAACCCAGACCCAACCCCGAGGTGCCTCCACATACAGCATCCGTCGGCCCAGAATGGAGACCCATTCGGCTATTGCGGTTCTCGGATGAAGGGCATCCACAACGGAGGTTCTCCACCGTGAGGTTCGATAGCATGTTGCCGTCCGCGTAAAAAGGGAACCTAGGCCCCCCGTCCTACACCCCGGCACCGGAAATAGCGTCCCCATGTACTCCGATTCTGTTTTCTCCCCTTCATGGAAATTTTCTAGCTTGATGCTAGCTGGAGCCCTTCCGACGGATACATGCCGACAGTCTCCCGCATGTGCAAGGGTCCATGACGCTACCTGTGGTTTGCTCCATGCTTGGGCCTCGACGACGGGGTCGGTCTGGACTTCAGCACCGTCGTCGGGAGGAGCCGCCATTTCTCCTTGCTATTCATTCCTGGCCTCCACTCTCAACCGAACCGATACAACGTGCCTTTTCAGCGTCTCCTTCGACAAAACAATGGTGATCTCGGAAGAGTTTGCATAGTTTCTACAGCCAACATTCGATCGACAGGATGATCCTCACCTTGCATGGCAACAGAGCGCGTGTACTGCACCCCCTGCGCCCACAACATTGCAGCAAGATGGCCACGAAACATGAGGCACCGGCCAGCACAACATCGGAAGCTCTCGAATTCCTCGACGGAAAATCCGATTTCATGATAGCAGAGGATCCACGTCGTATGTTGAAGATAGGAAAATGAAGAAAAGCGGGTACAAACATTGCGAAGTTCTCCGAATCAGTTCCGAGCCAACAAAACCAGTACGTACCAATACTTACTCTATTTGTAGGCCCCGAAACCGGGTCACAGCCATATTCTTTGCTACTTTTTGTTTCTTACCATGTCATATTTTCAAATCATCTACTTTATAGGGGGTTCGACTGACTCTTGTGGTATGCAGAGCAGCAACAGAGTCCTCGCCTTACCAGCAAGAGACAACCCGTGTGTGGTGGCGCATTCGCATGTGCGCCGGCGGCGGTAGCCAGCTGTGCTAGGCAAGCCAGTGAGGTTCTCGTCCAGATCTCGGCGTCAAGCCTTGCAAGTACAAGGCCGTCGTACACCCAGCTGCACATGCAGGCCATAAGTAAAGGGTCCCACAAGCCGTTCTCTTTGACCCGGCTCGGCGCCACTGTCTCGGAGATCTCGTTATCGTGTGTATATAAGTTTACCTGTCCCCCTCCCCAAGAGCATCCCCCTCTCCCCGGGTAGTTTCCATGCCCATTCCGTTTCTTGCCTTCGTATCTTGCCTTCGTGTCAAGGGCACTTTATCTTTTGCAACCTGAGGGGACACCGTTCGACTTTTGTCCTTCCAGTCGATCCCTACTTGTACCCTGAGTCTAGACTTGGTTCTGCGGTTTCTTGATCTCTCACCTTCACTTGAATAATCTCGTCGACACTGCCACTTCACCCATTCGCCCTTACAATGTCTTCCGAGCAGAAGCCCCTTAGTTGGTGGAAGCGCCACTGCACCCCGCCGCCGGCCATCAACCGCAGCCCCCAATGCCCATGCTCCGCCTGCTGGAACGGCAACGGCGAGCATTGGAAGACGACCGCGCCAGAGGCAACAGCTCCGACCTCTGCGCCCACTCATAACGTTTTGAGAAAGGGGAGCCAAACGTCGACCCTACGACGAGGGGCCGAATCAGACCTCGAACCCCTCCGCCGTCAAGCGACGTCCTCGACCGCGAACCTCAGCGTCTATTCTCGAGAAAGCAGAGCTAGCTCGGACGGAGTTTCTGTCACCAACATTCACCGCCTGGTTCGAGAGACGGAAACCGTCTAGAGGAAGCGGGTGCGTCGACACAACGCGGCGGGCTGACCAGATCTGGGCCACGTTACCACGGCAGCCTCTTGGCGCATGGGGGTCTGGACTGTTCCTTTCTTTGCCTCTCTCTCTGTCCGACAGGCCGGCGGCCCTTCATTTCGGGAAGGTTGGAAAAACCCCCTCAATCCTGCCCCGGACGCCAAGAAGCTGACTCTCGTTGAGAGTCTGCTGCCGCAGTAGCGCAAGTGCGGTTGACAGTCTAGATTTAGGGTTTGGGATGTAGATAAAGGGTCCTTGGGTCGCAGTCGCTGGACGGTTTAGGACGCACCGGCGGGCGCCCTGCCGGGGGAGACTGTTCCGTTGGGCTGGTGCAGTCCTAAGTCTGGGGAACTGATAGGAAGGGGACAACTCTTGGAACCATGTGGTTGGCGTGCTCGCTCTTGGCCTGGGCTTGGAAAGTTGGGGGAAAGTTGGGGTACTGATAGGGGCCGAAGGCTGGAATTTGGCTCCCGCTTGTCAGCCGGTCAGGCGGGATGGGGAAGCAGCCAAACAGCGTCTTCTTAGGTTCTGTTCTGGTGGCTGCTGAGGGAACTATGCCTCGAGACGGTGCTTCGAGATGAGGATGAGAGCGGGTCTTTTGATGTTGGTGTACTGCGGACGCCACTTGGTGTCCCATACGAAGTAATGGTATGGAGTTGGATTCCTGGTCGATTTGACGATAGATTATGGCTGTGCAGAGGCGCTAGAAAGGAAATATCATACGAAAGATACTATTTACGCATTTCACACGATACACGACGTGGTTTGTCCAATCTGTCTTGAGGCATGGACGGAACGTGTTCTCGGCCCCATCCCGGCGCCGTTCTTCACAGTCCCGCACACACTGGGGCCGGATTCGAAGGCCGGGAATATCAAGGTCAAAAGCATGTAGTAGGTAACACGTTGAGGCAGGTTTACCCACAATAAAAAAAGCACGAGGTCAGATAGATGCATGATACGTGAATGACGACTACATGAAGAAGAGGAACAAGTCACGAAAAAGTAAAAGCCAAGGACCGACCGCGGTTCGAACGCGGGGCCTAGAGATGGTTGCTGTTTAGGAACTGCAATCTCTCGCTCTACCACTGAGCTATCGATCCCGATGGTTATGAAAAGTTGACAGGGCAACTCGAAAAAGCTCTCAAGACGGCCTGAGTTGGAGAAATGGTGGTAAAGATGGTCAGAAAGTGGATCTGTGGTGGGGCTGGTGGTGTGTCACTGGTGGGTGGTGGTGTGTGTGCTGCAGCTTGTTGTGGAGGCCCCTTCTGATTCTACGTCACCCGAAGCTCATCAAGGGTTGAGTTGAGCTGCTGGTGTGTAACTGAGCTTAAGAGCTCTCTATCAGCGGTGTCAATGCTCCAACCTTCCGCATCAGATTGAGAAACATTTTGTCTTATAAGCAATGGCACCCAACGTAGATCCGGCACTCATTGAAGCTCTCCATCTGGATCCAGAGCAGACCAAGATTGCGTCGCATGGCGCTTCTGGCTTTGCGTCGTCGTTCAAACTCACATCCGTCGTCGATGGCCAGCCCGTAAACTTCTTCGTCAAGACGGGGATGGGGAAAGATGCAGAAGTCATGTTCAGAGGTCAGTTTGACTCGGAAGATGATGCTACCCAGTGTGGGATGGACGAGCGTTGACAGGCCGCAGGTGAGCATGAATCGCTAAACGCAGTCCACAATGCCGTCCCGAACTTTTGCCCAAAATCGTACGCCCACGGAGAATGCCAGGCATCGCCGGGCAAGCATTTCCTGGTGACGGACTTCCTGGACCTGGGGTCATCCGCAGCCGGCGGCTCCGGCCTCTCCCTGGCAGCGAAGCTCGCCAAGATGCACACGACCACGGCGCCCGTCCCGGAAGGCCTTGACAAGCCCATGTACGGCTTCCCGGTGACGACGTGCTGCGGCTCGACGCCGCAAGACAACTCGTGGAAGGAGTCCTGGGCCGAGTTTTACGCCGATAACAGGCTGCGTAGCATCCTCCGCGCCGGAACCGAGCACAACGGCTCCGACGGGGAGCTGTCCAAGGCCGTGGAAACGGTCGCCAGCAGAGTCGTCCCGCGGCTGATCGGCGACGGCCACGTCAAGGGTATGAAGCCGGTGGTTGTGCACGGGGATCTCTGGAGCGGGAACCATGGCCGGGGTCGCATCGGCGGCAAGGGTGGCGCCGAGGAGGTGGTGTACGACTCTTCGGCCGTGTACGGGCATTCCGAGTACGAGCTGGGCATCATGAAAATGTTTGGCGGATTCGGGAGCACGTTTTGGAACGAGTACAACAAGCTGGTCCCCAAGGCCGAGCCGAAAGTGGAATGGGACGACCGGGTTGCGCTCTACGAGCTGTAAGTCCACTCGCCCACCTTGCGTTGCCATGGTGACTGTGAATGAATGCCCCTCTCTGACATGTCGCAGGTATCACCACCTCAACCATTACGCCATGTTCGGCGGGGGTTACCGTAGCGGCGCGATGGCGATTATGAAGAAGCTGATTTCCAAGTACAGTTGAGGCCATCATGCGAAAAGTGTTGGATGGCTTGCACGCCAAAGTCGGCCCGCGCCGCCGGAAACCATAACTTTAGTAGTTAGCATTTTGACTAAGTACCTAGCAACCACCAGAATGACAGCTCTTGGTTGCAGGGCCGAGTGATCTCGGGTGATGTTCTTGATCATCATTATGGAGTGGAGGTGATGGCGTGCCCCATGATAGGGGTCGCAAACAGTCACTGCTCGTCACGCCCTCCCCACGTTGCCATCATGCCGTCCGATGATTTTCATGGGATTTGTAGGGGGGTGTGGAGAGGATTCACATGCCAGGGGGGGTTGCCCTGAGACGGAGCCTATTTCTGGCCACTCGTTGGGGGGGACTGCACGGACCAACCATTTGTCCGGCGCATTTGCGCTCTAAAGCCAGCCCGGCCTGGTGGGAAAGCAAGATTAACGGCCCATGGCAGGCCAGTTGATCAAGGGTTGTGATCTGGTCACTTCCCTCGCAGCTGCCACCACCTCTGAGCGTACTTTCGCCCCTGTTGCTTGCTACATTGCACCCGACACCCCGACGGCGAAGACGAAAAACGCTGGCCCTCTCCCTTTTCTCTCATTCTTTCTTAAGAACGACAATGAGAAGATAGCCCAACCGACTCTCGCTCTCCACAATCATTTGCGTCATCCGTTGCTGCAACCATGAACGGCCACTTTGCTGGTGTCGGCGAAGAGCTGGATGCCAAGAACTACGAGCATGGCATCCAGGTTATTGACGATCAGAAAGAATTCAAGTACGACTCGAGCTCTGCCGACCGTGATTGAATGCTAACCCCTTACTTCCCAGTGATAATGTCGCAACATATTTACAAAAAGTGCGCGTCGCCGAGGCGGGGTTCAACTACCACCTCATCTCCGTCTTCGGCTCCCAGTCTACCGGCAAATCGACACTGCTGAACAACCTCTTTGGAACCGAGTTCTCCGTCATGTCCGAGACGATGCGCCAGCAGACCACCAAGGGAATTTGGATGTCCAAGAACAAGAAGGAGGCCGGCATGGCCGAGAACATCCTCGTCATGGACGTCGAGGGTACCGATGGTCGTGAGCGTGGCGAGGACCAGGACTTTGAGAGAAAGAGCGCCCTTTTCGCCCTGGCAACCAGCGAGGTACTCATTGTCAACCTCTGGGAGACGCAGGTCGGCCTGTACAACGGCGCCAACATGGGTCTTCTCAAGACCGTCTTCGAGGTCAACCTGCAGCTTTTCCTCAAGGACAAACAGTAAGTCATCTGGGCAAAAAAGAACAGAGAAAAATAAAAACGTAGACTGGTAGCTTTCTGACACGCCGCCTAGGTCGAGCCTGAGATCTCTGCTGTTCTTCGTCATCCGAGATCACCTCGGCACGACGCCCCTTGCGAACCTGCGCAACACGCTGGTGCAGGACCTGAGTAAGATCTGGTCTTCCATCTCCAAGCCCCAGGGCCTCGAAAACTCGCGCATCGAAGACTACTTCGACTTTGCGTTCGCCGCGCTCCCTCACAAGATCCTGCAGGCCGATAAATTCACCGCCGAGATCCAGAACCTGGGGAGGAGGTTCACTGCGGGGCATCGCACGCCTGGAGCTAGCACCCAGGAGTTCGAAGGGGGGGTGTTCCTGCCCGAGTACCACCGACGCATTCCCGCCGACGGTTTCTCAATTTACGCAGAGGGTATCTGGGACCAGATCGTCAACAACAAGGATCTCGATCTGCCGACGCAACAGGAGTTACTCGCCCAATTCCGTTGCGACGAGATCTCGCGCGAGGTCCTGATCGGCTTCGACAATGCTATCGTGCCCCTCGAGGAGAATCAGTCTGAGGCTGCTCGGTCCGGCAAGCCCACCGTCCTGGCCGATCTCGGCAACACAGGACGTGACTCTCGCCAGAAGTGCCTGAAGGCATTTGAAGTGCAGGCCAGCAGATACCACAAGGGCGTCTACGCCCGCAAGCGTCAAGACCTAGAAGCCAAGATTGACGGTCGGCTCAAGACGCTTTATAACGCACAGCTGTCCGCAGCGCACAAGTCTGGAATCGCCTCGTTCAGCGAAGCCGTGTCTGGCGCCGTCAAGGCTGGTCAAAAGTCCGGTGCCGCTTACGAATTTGCCGAGATTGTGACCGAGCAAAAGAAGAAGGCGCTTGGGTCATTCCAGAGCGAGGCCGAGAGCCTTGTCATTCCTGGCGTGGCCTGGTCCAACTTCAAGTCGCAGTCTGGGCTGTTTGAGAAGGAGTTGGACGATGTGAGCGGTAAGCTGCGCAAGGAAGAGATGCGCCGGTTGGCCACGAGGGTGGAGCGATGGGTCAAGTCCCGTTTGGGCGATGCGATTGGTCTCGAGTTCAACAAGCTCGGCTCTGGTAGGGCTGGCTCCGGCGCCCCCGAAACGGGCGAAAAGCCCACGGAGAAGGATCTTTGGGACCGCATCTGGACCGTTTTCGTCGACATCGTCAAGGACGCGCAAAGCAGGTTCACCGAACGAGCTAAGAGCTTCGAGGCCACCGAGGATGAGGTTGAGATCGGTCTCTGGCGACTCAGACGCAAGAGCTGGGTGGCTTTGCGTGAGAGGATTGAGGAAGAGGTCATGGAGGGCAACATCCTGTTGAAGCTGAGAGAAAACTTTGAGGACAAGTTCAGATATGACGACGCCGGCGTGCCCAGGATATGGAGACCCACTGATGATATTGAGGGCATCTACACCAAGGCGCGGGAGTCTACGCTGACCCTCATTCCCCTGTTGTCAAAATTTAAGCTTGCCGAGAGCTACAGCCCCCCCGATCTGCCTGCGTGGATCGGCAACCAACCGCGTGGCGTTGAGCCGAGCGACGAGGAGGACCTGACGCCGATTGGCGGTGTCGATGAAGAAGACGGCAAAAGTCTCGAGGAGGAGATGACTGTCCTCAGTGAAAGTAAGCGTCAGGATCTTGTCATCAGGTTTAAGAAGACGGCCGACGGCGTCTATGTTGAGGCCAAGCGCAGCGCCATCGGCGGTGTCGCCCAGGTACCTCTGTATTTTTACGCCCTGCTAGTGGCGCTGGGATGGAACGAGATTGTCGCTGGTGAGTACCCCCTCCATGACACGCGCCCATGGATCATGCTGACATGAGACAGTGCTACGCAATCCGTTCCTCTTTATTTTCCTCATCCTGCTTGCCGGAGGAACCTACGTCGCCTATACGCTCAACATGCTCGGCCCCATGTACCAGATGGCCAACGCGGCCGCTAACCAGGGCGTCGAGATCGGCAAGCAGAAGCTGCGCGAGTTCATTGAGAACTCGGACACTGCGCGGCAGGCGCTGGCGATGCCCGGTCGCGACAGCGACTCCATCAGCTTGGATGCGCTCGACAGTCGGGGCAAGAAGAAGAGAGCCGAGGATGATATTGATGACATCTAGATTACTGTTGGTGTTGTCTTGTTCATGACAGCTGAAACACGCGTTGCGGTCCGGACGCTAGACGAGCGAGCTCACTGAGGGCATGAGTAGGGAACAGAAAGGATATAATGTCTATACGTTGCACTTACGCCCGCGGCCAAGTGAATGTGATGTACTGCATGTTGGTGCACAGCGATATACGTCTAAAGGTGGGACGCTGACCCCCGAACTGCGAACCCTTTGGCACACAAGCTCGTCTATACCTGGTGCGGGAAGACAGCTTGAAGTTCAATGTGCAAATGACTGGTTGCCGGAAGGCTGACCCCGAGCCCTCATTATGTAGAACTGTGTGGCCGTCGAATCTGCTCGGAAGCAGCATCACTAGGGAGTCCATAAGCTCCAACCTTTCTGGCCAGAGACGCGGTTTGGCTTTCAGACTTCGCTGGGCGCAGCCGTCTCTGTCTGACCTGGGCATGAGACCTGGCACAACCCGGCCCGGGTCGCGAGCCCACCCATCGAAGTTCTGGAGCTCGTCGAGTCGTCGGTTGTTCTCGTCTTTGGCTCCCATGCAAGCGCATATTATGGTTCATCTTGGTATGATTATGCCGCTCGATGCAAAATGCCGCTTACGCCTCGTAACTGTCCTAACTAGCTCATATCACAACATGCCGCGTCTGCACGACTCTCCGCCCGTCTCCCACTGGCTTGCCAAGCCCACCCTCCTTGCAGGTCGTTCGTACGTTGGAGGACGACCATTGCCGCCGCTGCTAACCCAATCCAAGAAAGAATTTACTGAAAAAAAAAAGACATGTATAAGAACGAGGGAGCTTGCTACGAAGGAGGACATGGATATCTTGCAAAACACACGCCGCCAGTAACTGAGACCGGTGAAAGAGAGAGCCGCCACCATATTAGCTGCCCGATACCTCCATCAGGGTATCAGCGCTCAACCCATGATGGTTGTGTCCTGGGAGCCGCCCGCTCCCTGCGACAGGCCGTTGCTAATCTCACAACCCTGGGCAAAGAAGATGCGCGCGGGCGTCTCATAGTCGTTCTCGATGCTGTAGTAGTTGCCTGTACGATTGTTAGCGAGGTGCTCTACTTCATGTGCGCAGATGTGAGAAGGACATACCCCTCGGCACGAACCACATTCCGCCGGCGCCGATCCTGAACTGGGTCTCATGAACCGTGACCAGGACTTTGCCTTGGAATACAAAAAACACCATCTGCATCTTGCGCGAGTTTTTGGGCCGCTTCTCCGCCCCCGGCGGGAGGTCGACGACGCCAGAGCCGAAGAAGGGCAAGCTGAGCGTCTTGGCAAAACGGAACGTCGCATCTCTAATGTCGCGCGTCTGGATAGCCCCCGCCGCCACAGCGATCCGGTCCTCATCGACCTCGACCTGATCGTTGATGGCGGGCGGGTTGAATTCGTGCTCGGGCTGCCAGACGACGATCTCACCTTCGATGCTGCCGGGATCCTGCTCCCACGGCTCGGGCGGTTCCTCCTCGTTGTCGGAGTCAGCGTGGCGCCGTCTGCCCTTGACGGCGGCCTTGCGGCCCTTTGATTTCTTGCTCTTCCGCGCCTCGCGCTCTTCCTCCTCAACGCGGATGATTTCCTTGACGCTCGGCAGCAGAAACCTGCCACCCTTCTTGCCGTCCTCAAATGCCTCGTCCTCGTCGTAGGTAACGTGTTCATTCTTCCAGAAGGCGAGTGGACGGTATGACTGGCGGCCGGATCTAGTTTGAGTGACTGCGTGAGGGTCCTGCTGTCGTTTTTGCGAGACCAGGCCGCGTGCCTTGGGCATGGGCGGCCCCTTTTGCACGACGCCGAGAATCGAGTCGTCGCCAAGAGCGGCTTTCGGTTTGCGACCGGGCTTGCCCTTGGGTTTCGGGTCGGCTTCGGCGCCCTTGGACTCGCCTCCCTCTTCCTTCCTGGGATCGGCCTTGGGGCGTCCGCGCTTTCCCGTCGTTGGCTTCTTGGGCTCTGTGCGTTGTCTTTTCGATGAGCGGCCCTCCGCTTCTTCCTGCTCGACCTCATCTGCGTTAGAATTCCGTGAGCGTCTGCGCCTAGAGGCGCTGGCCTCTGCCTCGGGCTCCTCTTCCGGTTCGTCTGCTTTGGCCTTGCCTTTGCCCTTGGCCGGGCGACCTCTTCTTTTGACGGGTGCTTGCTCTTCCGATTCATGGCCGGAGTCTGCAGGCGCCTCCTCAGCCTCTTCCTCCACGGGTGACTGGGCCTTGCGCGGACGACCCCTGCGTTTGATAGGCTGCGGTGCCTCTGCTACCGACTCCTCGACGTCAACTTCTTCAGCATCCGGCGCTCCTGTCACCGACTCAGGTTCTGGCTCATCATCCCCGTCCATGCCGACCATCTGCATCGACTCTTCATCGCCATTCTCCACAGGCGATCCGTTCTGAGCTTGCGACACAGCATCCTCGTCTTCCTCGTCCTCCGTCGAGAGAGCGCGACCATTCACTCCGTTAGGGCCTCTGGCGCCCTTGTCAGGACCACCGTAATCGAGACGACGAGATACCGAACTACCACGGTTGGGCGGCAACCGAGGAGGCGATCCTCGGTTGGGCGACAGCCGGGTCGGCGATGACGAAGGCCCGAAGCTGGGGTGCCGCATCGCGGGCGATCCGAGGTTGGTCTTGCGTGGGGAAGTTCCCCGGGGTACAAGGCGAGGGTGGTTCTTCATGATGGAGGCAGGTCCAGGGCCGGATTCTGGCACGCAGGCATCGTTAGAAAACGCGCAACACTGTAGTCTCGTAGACAAACTCACCCGATTCCAGCTCCATGTCCTGCTCGCCGCGCGTCATGTCGTCGCCGGGCGATCTATTGTCCTTCTCCGGCGAGGAGAATAATCCGTCGATGGGTTGCATGCCATGTTCGTCACGTACGCCGGTGTCGGGCAGTTCAATTCCAGTCTTTCTAAAGGGATGTTAGTTCAATCTCGGGCGCGACCTGCGTTTATCACAGCTCTCGAGCGGGCGCGTGGCGACGTACCGTCCCTTCACTCCAAGCTCGTGGAAGTCGCCTGTTGACGTTTCGCGACGCCGGACGTTGCTCTGACGCGGTGGTGCCATCACGACTATGGAGCTTTTCAGCAATTACTCGATTTTCCACTAGGTAGAAACGAGATATGCGGCCTGGTCCTGACAGCCGGTGGGTATTGTTCCAAAAAAAAAAAAAAAAAAGAGCGACGTTGTGAACCCAATGGTCGCCGTGTTTACCCCGACAAGATGGTTGGGTTGCGGTAATGTTGAGGCGCGCAACTTTTAGACGGTGGAACGCGCACCGCACCGAGGTGCTCCTGCTTCGAGGGACTACAGTGGGCGCCTGGCGGATTTGGGCTGACAGGGGTGGAGAGTGGACCGGGCGGCGCATTAACGGCTCGACGCGTCTCCATCAATCTAGACGCGCCCAGAGCATCCGCCACTAATAGTTCTCACCCGTCTAATCCAAGGTTACGGATACTCTTTGAACAATTCATTCCACGACTTCGTTTCTCGCTCGTATTCATTTACTTTCTAGATTTCTGGTGTGCTGGACTGTTAAATACTGGGATACCCGCAGTGCAATTACTTGCCCCTCGACGACCTGAGACCTACAGCTCCAGACGCATCGCGGTCCTTCAGGGCGACTTCGGTTCACAATGGAAGACTCTCAAATGGCCGAGGACATCGCCCTCGAGACCCCGGTCGCGGATGTCTTTATTCCCCCGTCCATCAACGATAAGGCGATTCTGTCGGGTGACTCGTACACATACTTCTCTCTGGTTCCTTCAACACTTCTCCCGCCTTCTTCATCACCAACTAAGACTGCCTCGGAATCACCAGCATCCGGGACACCGGTCTGCCTCGGCGTCGATGAAGCCGGTCGCGGTCCCGTCCTTGGACCCATGGTTTATGGCGTCTTCTACCTCCCTATTCCCCTCTCTGACCCATTGCTCCGCGAGACCCACCACTTTGATGACTCAAAGGTGCTTACACCAGCCGTTCGGTCTCAACTGATGGCGGCCCTCTGCACCGCCGGCTCAGATTTGGCCGAGTCCTGCGGTTTTGCCATTTCGGCCCTTAGCGCCCGCGACATCTCATCGGGCATGATGCGCCCCGGCGCCAACTACAACCTCAACGCCCAGGCAATGGACGCCACCGTCGAGCTGATCAAGGGCGTCTTCGCCCAGGGCGTCAACATCCAGGAGATCTACGTCGATACTGTTGGCCAGCCGGCCGCCTACCAGGCTAAGCTCCAGCGCTTCTTCCCCGCCACCAAGATCACCGTTGCGAAAAAGGCAGATAGCCTGTACCCTTGTGTGTCGGCTGCCTCTGTTTGTGCCAAGGTCACTCGCGATGCCGCGCTAGAGGTCCTCTACAAGGCACGAGCCCCTGAGTCGGTGGTGGAGGAGGGCATGGCTTGGGGTTCGGGGTATCCGTCAGATGGTAGGTGCGTGTCGTGGATGAAGTCTAATATGCATCCCGTCTTTGGATGGGGCCCCGAGTGCCGATTCAGTTGGGGCACGGCCAAGGACATGCTTGAGGGCAAAGGGGGTCTCAAGGTAGACTGGCCGGTCGAGGACGACGACGATACGGCACGGATGACAGACTTCTTCATTTCGGGCGATAGGGAGCAGGATGGCGATGAGCTGGGAACATGGTTCGGAAGGCCGGCTGGCCTGGAGGCGTTCTAGAGGTGACACATAATGAATAGAGTATAAGAACCATCTTCACCTGTCCTGCTTTACATTCTCTCCGACGGCTTCTGCGGCTTGTGTACGACGATATAGAGTGTGTATGAGTGGATGAGAATGACTTTATACTATTGATCCCCTCCACCCCCTCGAAAGCAGAGTTCATGACGCGGGCCTGAAACTACTGTTGTGGAGATCATTTCTGAGTTGAGACTGTTTCCATAGCTTTATTAGTATACTGGATGCCTTTCCTATATCAACTCCCCGACTTCTTTACTCATGATCATCCACCATTGTTTCAGCACCGAAAAAACGCCGTCTCACTGAACACACCGCCCTGCATCTCCGTGACCTTGCTAATCATAATCGGTGTCTTCCAATACTGACCACGGCGGCCAGTAAGCATATCTTAACCGAAGGCCTCCTGAGTCAGAGCAGCCTTCCCGGTGGGCGAGAGAAGCTTAGGGCAAGGGATACCCTCCTCGGGAATAAATGCGCGGATCTTCTGCTCGAAGAAGTCGTATTCAAGGGTGCGAAGCATGATCGGCCGAGCATCGATGAGACTTTTCGACACGCCGCCGGAATTCTCCTTCCGCTGATAGATGAAGGTTACCAGGACTGACATCGCCTAAGCCCATCCCTTTTCCAAATCACTTTTTCTCCTTGTTGCGGTGGATGGGCACCAGCGACTTGTAGTATGTCGGATCGACATCTTACTTGAGGTGACGTGTCTGGATGTTGCCCTCTGTTTCCACGTATTCAGTTCGATGTACGATTCTGAGCGCTTGGTGCCAGCCGTCGAAAGGTCCCATGTCTGGTAGGGCAGTGTAGACATGGTGGTGAACAGCGTTTGCATCGTACATGATCTCCACCAGCGGAATGACGTAGTCACCGTGCTTGACTTCCCAAGGAGCTCCCGCATTTTCTAGAAGAGGGATGTTGCTGTGTGCGGTTGGGGTCAGTAGGGTCAGCATTGCCTTGCATTCCGTGGCGGGCCCCTGAAGATCCAGTAGTGAGGTTCTCATCCTTGTCGTTAACGAGAGTTCAAGTCCAAATAATGGCTTCGGTGTGGAACGCCTCCATGACTGAACTGTTGATATTGAGACCATGTATCATATCAAAGATGACATTGGGTCCAAAGTTTGGGAAAAGAGCCGGGTTTTGCGAATTCTCTGTTTTTGTCAACTTCATGGAGATGTCTGAAAGCAGCCTAAAGATGTTTCCAGACCAGAACGGGCCAGTTTTAATGCCTTTCTCGGGCTTGACGTTGGTGGCTAGGTGATATGAATGGCCAAGGGCAATGTCGGCTTGGTGCAACCATGTGTACCAAGATCATTCACCATACGCGAGATGGCATCCTGTGGTTCCAGCAGCGCAAGTTGTTCACTACTAACCCCAGAAAGCTCTAATGGCTCATTGTTAAGGATGCAGGGTTCAAATAATGTAGTGAGAAGGGATGAGAATGAAATTTGGGACTTCTGGTCAGCCTTGGTAATATTGAGAGGGTCGTGAAGACCGTAAATGGCAGGGTATTGCTGAACCGGATGTCCCAGCTCGAGATACTGCTCTGGCACAAAGATGGTACCTTTCAGCCCTTTGGAGGAGAAGATGGAATGCCGACCGTTGGTACCATGGATCGTGGGATCAAAAATCATGTACACTTTTATATTTTCTGTCACGTCTGCCCAGATAATGACCTGTTGCAGCTGGCATGGAATGGCTGACAAGTCCCTCTCTTCGCAACTGCGTACCATCTTTTTCAATCCAGTTTTGAATAACCTTGACTTTGATAGCAACAGACATGGCTTCTGATGGCTGATGAGGGGTTTGTATAGCGAAGTAAAAAGGGAAAAGCAAGGTGCTGATGTGGCGAAATATAAGGGATAAAGTATCAAGAGAAAAGTGAAGTGCTGATGCAGCAAAGGGTGAAGGATGAGGGGAAAAGAAGAGAGGATGTTTGGTTTGGTGAGGATAAAGAAGATTGGGAGAAGGAGGAAGAGAACAAAAAAGTTCCAGCAAGGCAAAACCAAAGCAAAAAGGCAAGAGTGATGTGTTTCCGAACGAGGAAGGAGAAAAAAAACCAAACACAAATTGTGGGTATTGGGTAAGAGGAATATTGAAGTGAGAGGGAGACAAGGAGATGAGAGCAAGCTGGACGGCTTTGGTTAAAGTAGAGAAAGAAAAGCACTCAGAGGACCTCGTCAAAAATTTAACTGATATCAATTTCCATTCGGCGTTCCTAGTATCCCTTCTTGCAGTCCACATGTATTCATCAGAGGGGAGTAGGACAACAATAGGTGCCAACAGGCTGGGTCATACGTAGAAGCAGCGTGATTGACTTGTAAACAATTGTGCTGCTAGGAAACTAGTTTTCTAATTTCTGTTTCCAGCTTGGTATACTACAAGACAAAAATCCGTTTAGAGAACAAATCAAAGGCGTGGGAAATGAGGTCCACCCCCTGTTTTTTTATACGCAAATGAACCTGATGATGAATGAGCACATTCTGGAACATCTGCCCAGGTATACGCTCCTGATTTTATAGGCTTCAAAAAGTCACAAGGCAAGCTTTGTCAACGTAGGTAGTCACTGGTTCGAATAGAGGTCAGACATCAGTCATCCTAATGCGCCATAATAGCCTAAACACTATGACGGGCTAACTGCATAAAATGGGGCCTGAACTCAGTGAGAACGAGAAGCATCAAATGCATAATTGCACTAAATACTTTGCCACTGGGTTTTCTGTCCCGTCTGTTCTGCCTGGCTGTCATGCATTACTAACCACGTGCTGACTTCGGATCCGTGGATGGACCCACAACCGCGGAAGCCGACAACACAGCATAACACGGGAAGCCAATTGCACCGGGCCGGATCCGGAGATATGGGCCCACTCATTATTGGTCAAGGCGGCGCAAGGGTTGCTTGCCAGTTTTGTTGGTCGATGAGCTTCCCCTCCCTTCCAATGCCCCGCGGACATTGGCGGGGTTGTTGTCTAGCTGTTGTTGGGCGAACACATGCAGATGCAGATAGTATGTGAAAAAAACTCATTTGTCGCATTTAGTTGGGCTGACAGGGCAACGTGGAAACCAAAATTACAATTTTAAATATGCATCAAGGCTATAGTAATCTTAAAATGGCTACAGCAGAACTCCTGTTCCAGTTTGTTTATCTAGATGATGAATTTGAGCTCTAGGCTTGATTGTGCACCGTCTGTTCCTCCTGTTGTCTCTGTTGCTCTGGTCACCCTCCCATCTTCACCAATGGATATCGTATCAGCGAAGAAGGAAAATAGGGCCAATTAAATAGTTGTAGATATTTACATTTAGATGCTTCGTGAACCAAAGCTGGGTTGCGTTGGGCCTCGTACACTCGTGGCCTAGCCTAAAATGATATCACTAGAAATTCTCTTTTCTGGAGCGGTGTGGGGTTTCGATCAGAAGAGGGGACAAGTAGAGGATACCTCGAAGAGGCCAATTTTAAGGCGTGCTTGAGAAGGCTGCCAGGGTACTATGACAAGGGGCGCAAACGGGATTGCCCCTCCATAGATTTCGTAGAATCTTATGATGTCAGCACATTGCCTTCAGCAGAATCTTCGATGTCGCCATGTGCACCGCTGGAGGTGGCCTGGACTTGCTCGAATGCTGAGAAAACCGGAACCTTGCCACCTGAAGAGGCTGGGATTATTCTAGTCTTCATTTGATCCTTGCATTACAACCCAGGCAATTTTCAGGCGGCTTCTGGTGCCTTGTGGAAGCATCCTAGCTGGGCCGCAGCGTCCTATTGTACCCCACCAATGGAGGGCGGGTGGAAGGGGAAAGAACCATTTCGAATTTTTGCGGGGCTTCGAGTCGCTCCTGCCTTCAACCTTTTAAGTCGTCAAACACCAACCATCTCATCCTCCAGTTCTTCACTCTTCACGCAATCAACTTTCACTCTTCATAATACCCCCAATCGCCAGAAGTGTCAGCGCATTTCTTTTTTTCGACGAATTCTTGATCGCCGATATCTTTGCCGGGAAACTCTTCTACCGGTTACGCGCACTCTGAAGATACCCCAAACCTTCACAACACCACACATATCACCAACTTCCCGCACATCACATCCGGCACCATGGCTTCCGGAGGCAAGGCCGTTGGTATCGACTTGGGTACCACGTACTCGTGTGTCGCTTACTACGTAAGTCTCCCCACGCTTGCTTCGCTGCGGTGGACCTTAACCATTTCCACACTTGACCATGACCACTAACACACCACATAGTCTAATGACAAGATCGAGATCATCGCAAACGACCAGGGTAACAGAACAACCCCATCTTTTGTCGGTAAGTTTCACTGTTTTCGATATTTTCAAATCTTTCGAATTGGACTTTTTGCTGACCGTTTTCCACAGGTTTCACCGACACGGAGCGTCTGATCGGAGATGCGGCCAAGAACCAGGTCGCAATGAACCCCCACAACACCGTCTTCGACGCCAAGCGTCTCATTGGACGCAAGTTCAACGACTCCGAGGTGCAGGCTGATATGAAGCACTTCCCGTTCAAGGTTGTCGACAAGAACGGCAAGCCTGCCATTCAGGTCGAGTTCAAGGGTGAGACCAAGACCTTCACTCCCGAGGAGATCTCTGCCATGGTTCTCACCAAGATGCGTGAGACCGCTGAGTCTTTCTTGGGTGGCCAGGTCAACAACGCTGTTGTCACCGTCCCCGCCTACTTCAACGACTCCCAGCGTCAGGCGACCAAGGACGCCGGTCTTATTGCCGGCCTCAACGTCCTTCGCATCATCAACGAGCCCACTGCGGCTGCCATCGCCTACGGTCTTGACAAGAAGGCCGAAGGTGAACGCAACGTTCTCATCTTCGATCTTGGTGGTGGTACCTTCGATGTGTCCCTTCTGACCATTGAGGAGGGCATCTTCGAGGTCAAGTCCACCGCTGGTGACACTCACTTGGGTGGTGAGGACTTCGATAACCGTCTCGTCAACCACTTCGTCAACGAGTTCAAGCGCAAGCACAAGAAGGACCTGTCCACCAACGCCCGCGCTCTGCGCCGTCTCCGCACCGCTTGCGAGCGTGCCAAGCGCACCCTGTCCTCGTCTGCCCAGACCTCTATCGAGATCGACTCGCTCTACGAGGGTATTGACTTCTACACCTCCATCACCCGTGCCCGCTTCGAGGAGCTTTGCCAGGATCTGTTCCGCTCCACCATCCAGCCCGTCGACCGTGTCCTCACCGACGCCAAGATCGACAAGTCCCAGGTCCACGAGATCGTACTGGTCGGAGGTTCCACCCGTATCCCCCGCATCCAGAAGCTTATCTCCGACTACTTCAACGGCAAGGAGCCCAACAAGTCCATCAACCCCGATGAGGCTGTTGCCTACGGTGCCGCTGTCCAGGCCGCCATTCTGTCTGGTGACACCTCTTCCAAGAGCACCAACGAGATCTTGCTTCTCGATGTCGCTCCCCTCTCTCTCGGTATCGAGACCGCTGGTGGCATGATGACCAAGCTCATTCCCCGCAACACCACCATCCCCACCAAGAAGTCTGAGGTCTTCTCCACCTTCTCCGACAACCAGCCTGGTGTCCTCATCCAGGTCTACGAGGGTGAGCGCCAGCGCACCAAGGACAACAACCTTCTCGGCAAGTTCGAGCTTACCGGCATTCCCCCCGCTCCCCGCGGTGTTCCCCAGATTGAGGTCACCTTCGATCTTGATGCCAACGGTATCATGAACGTCTCTGCCGTTGAGAAGGGCACCGGCAAGTCCAACAAGATTGTCATCACCAACGACAAGGGCCGTCTCTCCAAGGAGGACATCGAGCGCATGCTTGCTGAGGCCGAGAAGTTCAAGGATGAGGACGAGGCTGAGGCTCGCCGTGTCTCTGCCAAGAACGGCCTTGAGTCTTACGCTTACTCCCTGCGCAACACCCTCAGCGACTCCAAGGTCGACGAGAAGCTTGACGCTGACGACAAGGAGAAGCTCAAGGCTGAGATCGACCAGATCGTCACCTGGCTCGACGAGAACCAGCAGGCTACTCGCGAGGAGTACGAGGAGCGCCAGAAGGAGCTCGAGGGCGTTGCCAACCCCATCATGATGAAGTTCTACGGCAGCGCTGGCGGTCCCCCTGGTGCCGGCGGCGCCCCTGGTGGCTTCCCCGGTGCTGGTGCTGGTGGCCCCCCGGGCGCCTCTGACGACGGTCCTACCGTCGAGGAGGTCGACTAAATTGATACCCTTGATGAATTCTTTCCTTAGAGTCACAGTCATCGGCGTGGCAACGCGGAGGTTGTTACAGGGTTTCACGACTAGACTTCTGCTTTCTTTGCATTTATGAAATCACGATGGGAAAAGCACGGTTATGGGTCAGAGATGTATTCTAGTTTGGCCTCCTAGGTTTAGGAAGCCCCAATACAAAGAGTAAAATTATCTGTCTTCTTGACATTGTGACATGTTGCTGTTATTTTGCAAAAAATTCATGCCAATGATACTAAACAATAATACATGATAAACATTAAAAGAATAAGTCCTTGTGCTATACACATCACGCTGATTTGATTCCCAAACCTTCCCTGATCTGCCGCCGCCTCTCGATTTCCATCCTCTGCCATTCCTCATCGTCCAATGTGGGCTCGTCAAACTTCTCAGTAAAGGCGGTGCCAGGCGATACCTTGGTGGTCCTCGCCTGCCAGACGTCCTCGCTGCTCGGCTTCCCGTTCCCGTACTTCTCATATTCCTTCTGGCGGTAGTGGTCTCTGATTACATCTTCCTTCATCTTGCCTGAGTATCCCTTGATCCTCATGCAGAACCAAAAGTCCTCCCAGTGTTCGCTGCACGAACGCATCGTGCCGTATCGATAGATGTGGTTCCACTGGCCGCCGACGGACTGGCAGTGGAAGGCCATGTCAAAGGCTTGACGGCAAGACATCTCGGTCGGCAGGGTGGCTTCGGCAACTGGGTTGTCAGAGGGCGGTGCGGTCGTGCGGTTGTTGGTTTGGGACGGCATGTTCGGGGAGGATTTGAGGGAGAACCATGATGAGGAGGATGGTGATGATGACTTGGAGGGCGCTGCGGGTGCTTGCGCCGGTGCCGGAGCTGGTTCCTCTGGCTTGTTGTCTGTGTCGGTTTGGAACAGGGCAAGGAACTTTGTAATCTCGGGATCGATCTCGGGTTCTGTCGACTTGGTCGATGGTGGCGGGGTCGATGCCGGAGCTTGTGAAGCTTGTCCCGGAGCCGGAGACTTGGGAGGAGACGGCGAAGCCCAGAGCCAACCCATGATGATGAATAATGCGGCAATAAAAGGGATTGATGAGAATACAGAAAACACGATTCTGACGTTTCTTCGTCTTGGATAAGACTAGAAGCGCTCGAGAATGAGGGGAAGCCGACAATCACCACCATCAATGACCTCCCAAGACGCCGCGTCCAGCCAATGAGTGGTTGCATCATTTTTGCCGTAGCGGCCCGTCCACAGTGGGGCCGTCTCGGCTCGGACAAGGTTTAGTCCGGTCCACTCAAACCCCTCGTCCGGACCGACATAAGGTTATGAGCCGCTGGGCAGTGGGGCCGCAAGGCGTGACATCATTCATCGCGGACACAGCTTCGTGCAGAAGGAAATAAGCAGTTGAGACATTGAAGGAGGTCGATCAGCTCGCCTCATTGTGGTTCTTCCTTCCTTCACCCTTCCAGTCGCCGCCTGCTCTCTCCCGAACAACTCAATTCCAAGGTCGCTTTTCAGAGCAATATGTGATTGTCGGACCGCAAAATATCCAATGTCATCCAGCAGAGCGATGTTTCGCTCCGGCATGAGGCCTGCCGCTAGGCTGCAGGCGCCGTGGGCACCGGTTTGGCCATTCACGCGATCTCAACGTTCGGGTGCCGTCCTGAGCGCCGTGACGAAGGCTTGGGAGAGCACGCTGACCGGAGACGAGCAGTCGGGCCACATTGCCAAGTCGGAGAGCGAGGCAATTATTTTCTTCGACAGTAAGTTTCCTGATATCGAATCCTGAGGTCGATCTGCACCCTGTTCATTGTCTCTCTCCGGAACCTCTGCTCTGGCAGCTCACATGGATTCCCCTGTTTTCTATCATTTTCGATGCCCCTGTTTCTTTTATTCCACTCGTTGTTCCTACAATCATTATCCAGTCCTCGTTAATGTCATTAAGCTCTCTTCGGCATATCTCATCAGATTCTCAGTGCCAGGAGGAAACTAATACTATCTGGTAGACCTCTTCCCACTGAAGCTCACCCACCTCCTAAGGCGATCATGGTCGTCCGAGCGCAACCTGACTGATCTACTCAAGCGTTTCGACAGCTCCAGCGGGGGCTTGGGTACGGATCCGATCAACCTGGTCAAACGAGCCATTCCGAACGACCTCCCGATCAAGATTACAGAGATTCTACCACAACTAAAGGATGGAGGGGCCTTCGTTAAGTTCAGTCATGGATCCGACGTCTCGCCCAGAGATATTGAAAGTAAGCGCGTCCTGATCTCGTGCTTGTGCCGGACTTGGATGGTCCATCAAATTCCCGACTGCTGGAAGTTGCACTCTCTGGCAGCTTCCTAGCATATCCAACATGAATATGACCCAGGTTTCTTCCAACCACATAGAACGCGACTGACTCGTTCCTAGGCTCGCTCGCACGATCTTTGGAGAAGCACCCACTACGACCGTGGTTTAACCCTTTCCGTAGGGTCAAGGCCGGCCTCGTCAGGGGCGTTCCGTGGCTAGAGGACCTTTATAGGTTCCCGAAAAGCCGCGTTAAGGTCGAATTCACGGGGAAGGATGCGGATGGCAAAGCCGTTGAGTTGTCGCAGGAAACCCTTTACAGTGTGTTCCGCCGTTACGGCAAAATCGCCGACATCATCTCCCAACCGCCCGACTCGAAAATCTTACCCAAATATGCATACGTTGACTTTGCCCTCGTACGCGATGCCATCATGGCAAGGAACTGCCTGCATGGATTCGTCGTTGACGAGGTGCTGGGCGGCGGGAAGCCGGGCACGAGGCTTAGTCTCTCGTACGAGCAGCGGGTCAAGCCGCACAACATATGGAACTGGCTTACCAGCCACCCCAGAATAGTCATTCCTGTCGTTGCAGCCCTCCTCGCTGCGATCACCGTCGCTATATTCGATCCTATTCGCGAATTCTTCGTCAAAGCGCACATTCAACATTCCTTCCGTCTGACGAATAACAAGTTCTACAGATGGATCAAGAGCCAGACCTCCGATATCATTTCGTCTTTCGGAGGCAAGAAGGCGGACAAGGCCGGGTTCAACGCCGTATGGCAGCACCGGAAGGACCTAATCGAACAGATTCAGACCTGGCTTCTCGAAAGTTCGGACACGTTCATCGTTGTCCAAGGCCCCCGAGGATCCGGAAAGAAGGAGCTTGTTTTGGACCAGTCGCTGAAGGGACGGAAGAACGTCCTGGTAATTGACTGCAAACCGATCATCGAAGCGAGAGGTGAGAGCGGGACGATTAAGCACCTGGCCAACGCAGTGGGATATAAGCCAATTTTCGCGTTCCTCAACAATATAAGCAGCATGATCGATCTGGCGGTTCAAAGCACAACAGGAGTCAAGGCTGGATTCTCTGAAACGCTCGAGTCGCAGGTGGTCAAGATCCTTCACACGACTGCGGAAGCGCTCAAAAATGTTTCCCTCGCGGAACGTGATAGGGATGGGAAAGATGCCGATCTATCAGACGATGCTTACTTGGAGGCTCGACCTGACAAGCGGGCTGTTGTGGTGATTGACAACTTCCTGCACAAGAATGAGGGCTCAAGCATTGTCTACGACAAGGTGGCCGAGTGGGCCGCGGCCATGGTCCAGAACAATGTTGCCCACGTCATTTTCCTGACGGATGATACGGCATACTCGAAGTCTCTTTCGAAGGCTATGCCGGACCGCGTTTTCCGACAAGCTGCTCTTGGCGACCTCTCCCCTGACGTTGCTAAAAAGTTCATTATCAGCCGGTTGGAAGAAGATGAACTCGAAAAGGTGCGACAGCACTCAAAGGAAGCAAACGAGAAGACCGAAGACGTCGAACGAGACGAGAAGCCCGATCTGTCAGAGCTCGATTCGGCCATTGGTATCCTGGGCGGCCGCCTTACTGATCTCGAATACTTGGCGCGTCGTCTGAAGGGAGGCCAGAGCCCCCAGCGGGCTATCGAGGATATCATCAACCAGAGTGCGACGGAAATCGTCAAGATGTATCTTTTGGACGGCAAAGACACATTCGAGGGCAAGAAGTGGTCCATGGAGCAGGCGTGGTACTTGATTAAGGCACTTGCCTCACACGATGCTCTCCGGTACCACGAGGTCCTCATTTCCGATACATTTGCTTCGTCTACCACGGCAGGAGCCTCAAACGGCGAGTCGGCACTGGAAGGTCTGGCGAATGCTGAGCTCATTACTGTCGATACACACAACGGTCGGCCGCAGTCCATACGTCCCGGCAAGCCAATGTATAAAGCAGCTTTCAATTTGCTTCTTAACGACCATGTTCTCGGAGCCAAGTTAGACCTCGCCATGCTCAAGGAGTTGACCAAGGTCGAAACCAAGACCATTGAGAAGGTCGAGAACGAATTAGCACTTCTGGGCAGCTTACCGAAGCAGCCTTCCCAAACTGGAGCTCGTGTATCATACTTGCTCTACAAACTTGAAGGAAGCCAGGTGAAGATTACGAAATACGAACAGGAGATAGCGGCTTTGAAGAAGGTCCTCAAGCACAACTGTTAGAGAGGACCGACTTGGGGTCTTCGGCCAAAGTTGCCAATGGCGGAGATCTGTAGGCTGAAGCAGAACACAGCGGCCAATACCCATCTCAACACGAATTGTCAATGTCATTAACTGAATAAAAACCAAGTCCTGTCTGGCATCATGCGTTCAAGCGTCGCCTTGGCCGCATCCCTCTGTCCAGTTTTCTCGTTGCCTGCGTATTGTCTTATGGCACAATTATTTTCTTTGTGACCTCTAGGTCATCTATCGAAATAAAGGGAACGAAAGTGGTGTAGTGGCATAGACCATGGTCGGGAAACACAAGCCCAACCACGCCAAGTAACTGATATTAAACGAGAGAAACCATGAGTGGTAGGAAGATATATGACAGCACTCTATGAGCTCACGGATTTTCAGAAAGCTATCTGCAAAAGAAACTGCATTTGCTATGCGCTTTGGCTTCATCTCGCCATCTGCGTAGCCATGAGCTACTGGCAAATCTATGTCCTTGAGGACTTGCAATACCCAAATACCTCAAGTCCAACAGCTTGCCAGTGACCCCACCTCATCTCCACCGGCAAGCGGAGCCACCATAAGGAACCAAAGCTACTGTTCCGTCCAGGTACATGACTCATCTATTACCCAACGGAAGTTGACCGAATTACTACTATGGTATGATGGGTAAGTTTAAACTCCATAACAGGTAGTGTGGAGTTGTGACCCACGTATGAGAGACTCTCACTGGCCAGAATTATGATAGATGTGCACAAGAACCTCAAAGTACCATCGCTGAAATACAAAAAAAGCACGGCCACATTTACCTGACGAGGGGGTTAAACTTTGGCCCGATACCATAGTACATACAGAGTACAGTTGAGCAGCCTTGCATACGGCACTGATCACGCTACGCTTGTTATCAACCAACAGTGGCGAAAGGTTGGCAGACTAGCAGTGCCGTCAGCGGCTGTAATGCGGAGTAGTGCGGAGTAGTGCGGAGGAGGGCCCGATCCCATGTGCTACCTCCTTGAACACCAAGCTTTGCGGCGACGACATAAGCATTGCGGAGGGCTGGGCGTTTTCTCGGCATTCCTGGGCATTGCGAGCGGCTATTTGAAGGATGCATCTTGTCTTTGCGACTAGTGGGACGACACTTCATCGCTGTCGGTTGGACGATGATTCTACCCCTTGAGCCCGAACTTTTGTCCAAGCTGTCCAGCTCTCTACGTGTGATGGGTATCAAGCTTTGAACGCCAGTCGCAACGAAAGTATACAGTCCCAAATGGCCGTGCTATCCATGCATCCCAGCTCTATCGCCCTGGCCGACTGGGCTTGAGCATTTTCTATTGCGCCGTCATCCAAGACAAGTCTGCATTCCAGGTGGATATCCAACAGGCGGAGGGATGCAGACACGACCAATGGAAGGCGTCCTACGTTGAATACTGAAGTCGTTTGATACGGTCAATCTTGGCCCAGCGTGCTGGGCCCTCTCCATCTCCAGGCCTCCTTCACTTGCCAGAAACCCCGCATACTTGGGGGGTCACCAACTGCTACCACAAGCGTCGTGATAGCTAAAAGCCCGGGCTTCCACTCAATCAAGACGGTTCGGCATCGATACCGGTTCCAATGATCATCACCCTTTGGTTCTTTTTTTGGAGATCCATGATGCAGTCTCGCTTTTCACATAAACCTCGAAGGACATGACGCCCTGTCAGTCCTACCTACATGTGATGGCGGCCCCCGTAGGACTACAAATGATGCTGCGCACAGCCAATACCACCCCGGTCTGTACGTCGCTTCCAAGGAAACGACGCTACACCGTAGAGATGCAAGGATCGACAGTCTTTGGTATCTCCTCATGTGACAATGCTATCGCCGTGCCATTACCCGCTCTTGGATTTGAAAATTCCCGCCAGCTGAGTGCCAGGGCAACTCGCAGCGCCTTGCTGTGAGAAGTATCCGTATACTTCCGACGGTATCTGTCAGACTTTGGGTTCCGCCCGTTGTGATTACGGCCCCAGCCTCCACGAGCAGGGATCCCCGTCCTTATCCCCTGCGACGCGGACATTCATTACATGACGTCTTTCGTTCCGTGTGTCGGCAATGATGCTGGAACGGGCGGTTGTTTACGGAGGGGTAACAAGGAGAAGGGAGGTATGGGGGAAAATAGGAACCAAGGTACTTGACACAAGACGGCGGGGAGAGGAGGGACGTTTAAGCCCAAGACCAAAGCAGGATGGGCCACAGGGAAACCGTCCCGACAACGAGTCCATCCAAGCTTCAACCCGACTGATTACGGGACGGTGTTGACTCCGCCGGGAGAACGGTTAATTACGGTTTCGCGTTCCTTTTTGCGTTTCCTACGTATGCGCCCAATAGCCGGTATCACCAAGTCAAGAGGGTTTTCGCGTCGACGGAAGGCCAACTCTCGAGTGGCAAGCGTGTAAGATACTTGGCGTTTGTTAGACTACTAATGCAACATGTGTGTCCCGGCGGGGACTCGCTGCATCCTTCCTACCTCGAGTCCAACCGAGTTCGAGTATCTGGGAGATGGGCCATGTCCTCGTTCTTATGAACCATGTTCTTTCTGTCTGGCTCACGCTCGCATGACCACCTCCATCCGATCTGATTCCTGGCCGCCACCCCTGCCATGCCTACTCCAGTGAATCCACCCACGAAGCATTGGGCATTTCCCCATGGGCCGCCCCATTGTGGATCACGAAACAACCGGCATCAGCGAGCCAGCCAGCCAGTAGGGATGGGGAAGGAGAGTCTGCCGGCTCGAAGCTACTGATCCTGACTTCTAGGGGGAAGGTGGTTGCGCCAGCTCTCCCACACTGAGCCGTGTGGACGCGGGATGGAGGACTTTGTGCGCAGAAATCTACAAATAAAGCTGGCCTCCCCCCGTCTGATGGTTACCTTGCCCCTCTCGTCCGAGCTCCGATCTCTGTGCTGCATCCCCATCTGCGAGTTCTGAAGTGCGACGTCGATAGACGGCCCTTCTATAGTTCCTCGAGCCTTGGAAGAGGTCACCAGTGAAGCACTCGTCACGCCAAACAAGTTCACTTACGTATATTGAAGCACTGTATTGCCCGAGCGTCTTCCAATCGTCGCGATCATGGCGGACGACAAGCATATCGCAGCTGTGCCGTGCGTAACACCCCCATACCACTGCTCACGCGTAAACTGACAGCCCCAGCTCGGGTGACTACACAGCATCAAATATAGAAAAGGCCCATCACGGTGCCGCAATCGATCTAAACGCCAATGTTGACGCAAAGTCTGTCTTCTCCTCTTCCATCCCCCCTTCAGACGTGGGACCCAACAAGCTGACATCCACTCTCAGAATCAAAAACCCCCTCCTCGGCATCTCCCGCGCCGACCTTCTCCGTGACGTTGACGCCTTTGCCCAGGAAAAGGGCCTGCAGGAGTACATCCCCGTGTTGCGCAAAGGCGCGCTAGTTGCCCAGGACCCGACGGGCTACGAAGAGATTGACGGCGCCGAGGCCCTCGACCAGACCGAGATCCAGGTCCTCCGTGACGAGGTCCTGCACAAGTGGCGCATCCCTAAAATCCTGTACCTAACCATCATCACCTGCTCCATCGGCGCCGCCGTCCAGGGCTGGGACCAGACCGGCAGTAACGGCGCCAACCTGTCGTTCCCCACGGTGTTTGGCATCGGGGGTACATCGCATCGTGACACCCTCCTTGTGAGTGCCGCTCATAGCCCGTCATGTTGCGCTTGCGATCATGCTGACAATGTGGCTTGAAAGGTCGGCCTCGTCAACTCGGCACCGTACATTGGCAGCGCCTTCATCGGGTGTTGGCTCTCGGATCCCCTGAACAACCTCCTCGGTCGCCGCGGTGCCATCTTCTTCGCGGCGAATTTCTGCCTCTGGCCCGTCCTCGGCAGTGCCTTTGCCCAGTCCTGGCCGCAGCTGCTCGCCTGCCGTCTGCTACTCGGCATCGGCATGGGCGCGAAGGCCAGCACGGTGCCCATCTTCGCCGCCGAGAACTCGCCCGCGCCGATCCGCGGTGCCCTTGTCATGTCATGGCGTGAGTTCGCCCTGCTGTCACTCCCTTTCATCGTAGTCCATGCTGCGATCTCCCCTGTCCCACACCGCCGCCTTCGGGTTCCGTTCACTAATGACTTGTGCAGAGATGTGGACAGCGTTCGGAATCATGGCCGGAACGGCAGCTAACCTAGCCGTCGCCAGGACTGGCGATATAGCATGGCGTCTCCAGCTTGGATCGGCCTTCATTCCGGCCGTGCCCCTGGTCCTGTTGATTTATGTCTGCCCGGAATCCCCTCGTTGGTATATCAAGAAGAACCGATACCCGGAGGCCATGAAGTCGCTGTTACGGCTGCGCAACCACCCTGTCCAGGCGGCCCGTGATATCTACTATATCCATACCCAGCTGCAAGTCGAAGCCGAGATCATCGGAAGGTCCAACTATGCTAAGCGCTTCGTTGAGCTCTTCACCATCCCTCGTGTCAGACGGTAGGTGTCCCGGGGATAGAAGTCGTGTGAAGAGAGGATGAGCCTGACCTTATGACAGCGCAACCCTGGCTTCGTTTACGGTCATGATCGCCCAGCAGATGTGCGGTAAGTTGGAGCTTTTGATCCCAACACCTTGTCCATTACTGACGACCCGCAGGCATCAACATCATCGCTTTCTACTCGAGCACCATCTTCAAGGAGGCCGGGACTTCCGATTTCAACGCCCTCTTGGCGTCCTTCGGCTTCGGCATGGTCAATTTCCTCTTTGCGTGGCCCGCCATCTGGACCATTGACACCTTCGGGCGCCGGTCCCTGCTGCTCTTCACTTTCCCCCAGATGGCGTGGACGTTGCTGGCCGCCGGTCTCTGCACGCTCATCCCGGGTGCCGGAGGTGCCCATTTGGGACTGGTGGCGCTGTTTGTCTATCTGTTTGCCGGTAAGCTCCCTGGTTTGCTTTAGGGTGTTCCGAGCCAAAGTCTAACGTCTCTCTCAGCCTTCTACTCACCCGGCGAGGGACCTGTCCCCTTCACCTACTCAGCGGAGGTCTTCCCGCTGTCCCACCGCGAAGTTGGCATGTCGTGGGCGGTGGCGACGTGCCTGTTCTGGGCGGCCGTGTTGTCCATCACGTTCCCCATCATGCTGGCCGACCTGGGTGTTATCGGCTCCTTCTGCTTCTACGCGGGCCTCAACGTCGTGGCCCTCGTCATGATCTTCTTCTGGATGCCGGAGACCAAGCAGCGCACGTTGGAGGAGCTCGACTACGTCTTTGCGGTCCCGACGAGGATCTTCATGAAGTACCAGCTCACCAAGGCGCTGCCGTACTGGTTCAAGCGCTGGGTGCTCTTCCAGCGGGACGCCACCCTTGAGCCGTTGTACAAGTTCGACCTCACGCAGGAGGACCACCACGGTAGCGAGACGTACGAGAAGACGAAGATCGAGCAGCGGGACAACAAGAGCGGCTCCGCAAGCGGTGTCGACGTCACCTCCTCGTAAAGGGCTGGGAGAGGCCCGAGAGGTCGAGACGTGGCTTTGATGCCGACAAGGCTGCGCTGCAGGACGTGCGGGCAGCGCGCGACTACGTAATTATAGACAAGAATATGTACTTGCAGAAGAGTTGGCTTCATTCAGCCCACAATCCATTCTAATTGACCGCATCAGGAAGCATCGCACGTCCCGATGATACCTCCTTGTCTCCCTCGTGAAGAATGAGAAGAACAACGAGGACAAAGGCAGCTCCTGAAGGAGGAAGTCATAGTAGTCCGTCCTTGCCGTTGTCATCATCGTCGTCGTCGTCGTCCCCCTCCTCCTCCTCCTCTTCCTTGGCAGGGACGGCGGCGGCGGCAACAGTAGCGGCCTTCCTAGTAAAGGACCTTTCCTTCTTGGGAGAGACGAGCTTCTCGTCCTCGTCGTCGTTCTTCTTTCCCTCCTCCTTGGCGGCGGCGGCGGCGGCGGCGAAGGCGGTGGCAGCAGCAGCCTCCTCGATAACGCGCACGACTCCAGCGCCCCAGACCCCACGGACGCCCACCGCCCAAGGAAAGGCCCCTCCGCCGCTCCCCTCAACAGAGTCGCCAGGCATGCCGAGGCGTTTGAGATCGGGCCGCTTATCCAGGGCGCCTCTGAGACCTGGGTTTGTATCCTCTGCCAATCAGCGGATAGACTTCTCCAGCCCCAATCCCTCCTTGTCTGCCTCGCGCTCCTCCTCTCACACCCTCTGTGTGGATGCCAAGCTAGGGTCCGTCGATCGACCTGCAGCGTCTACCAGAAAACCCAAGTGCCCATTTCGTCAGCACTTTCATTGGAGAAGCACTTCTCTGACTGCCTGGCGGCAGCCTTCCTTGCGGCGGCGCTCTTCTTTCCAATGGCCGAAGCCCGGAGGCTTTGGAAAACTTCCTGCCGCAAAGAAAACGGCAAATCCGGCCAGTCGACCGGCGGCGGCGCCGCTCCATGGGTGATATTTTCTATCGTGTTCAGCATCAGGTAGGATATTTGTACTGTATTCTATTGTAATTTGTATTAGTGTGTACCGGTTCAGTCTCTACACTGGCTTAATCACAAAATTCTTCACTTGAGAAAGCGATACACCGAAGCCCTTTGTGCCGGGGGGCGGCGTCAATTGACGTAGGAAACTTGCGCCCCCCTCAGCCAACACCGAGCGCGGAAGAGCGCGTGGGAGAGGACACCGGTCAGCCTTGGCACGAGGGCAACGGCAGCTAAGAGGGGGGAGGGGGGTTGAGGAAGAGGCTTCTCCTGTGAATGAGGTAGAATGAGCATCGGAATATCCGTACTCGCCTCATGTTGAGTCTAGCGCCAAACTAAACAATGCAGGCGGAGGCGATCGATTCCCAAGGAATTTTCCGTCCACGGCAGATGCCGATCCGCTGAGAATCTCCGACGGAGCGTCGTCAAGCATGTGAGACGCGGCACGCCGGCGCTGCAGGAATTCCAGGAAGGGCGGAACCCCCTCCCAGTCTGTGCGGAGTGATTGGCAAAGAGCCCAGAAGAAAGAGTGCACAAGTCTATTCGTCTCGTGTGGAATAGAGTTCTCATCCCGTGGGCTCGTGCCCTGAAGGAGGGAGGGGAGGGGGATGACAGTAGGTATCAATAACGACACTCGTAGGGACGACCATGTTACACGAGCAAACTCTTAGCACTTTCTTTTTCCAGGTACCCGCGTTCTCGAGGGTCCGAGGTGTGTCTTTGGCGGCAAGCCCAAATCAACCCCCTTGTGGCTGAAAACCGTTCTTGGGATAGAGTTGATGCAACATGAGGGAGACAATTTGTGTCATTGATCGCCACTGGCGCGGACCGGAAGGACGCCAACGTCGGACTAGGCCGGCATCATTGAAACGCCGGGCCTTTTTTTGGCTGCCGTGAGCCGCGGACTGGGCTGGTTGGTGAACGGGATGGTCTGTTGTCGTTACGGCGAGAAAAAGCTGGAGGGCGAAGTGTTAGTGTAGAAACGAAAAGGGAAATGGAGTCACTAGTTGATTTCTCGGATGCAGGACCGAGTGGGTTGGCTGTCAAAGCAGGGACCATGGGCAGGCCCGGAAGCAAGCTCGACTGTGAACTCTTAGTCCTGGCAATTTGTCTCCGTCTCTCATGTCTTGGGAAGGCCCCTTCAGACTGCAGGGTGGTGCCAACGACGAGGCGAAGCAGCAGAAACGAAATAGAAACGACGATGTCGACTGGGTAGACTAGACAACTCTACACTAGGCAAGCTGAAGGGGAGGGGGGGATGGAGTGGCCATGGTCCATACCAGGTTGATTGATTACGTGGTGTGAGGGGCCAGGCCGGCAGAGGGGAGAAATGAAGAGGGGTTGGGGATGTTTAGGGCACCCGTTCCAAGAAGAGACGAGGGCTCATTCACAGGCGGGAGAACAGCGAAGTCGTTGGCTCCAAAAAGGCTGGGTTGGATGATGGGCGAAGGGGTGGAATGGCATCGATGGATCGACTGGACCTGGCAGTGCCCGGCCCCCATGACAGGCGAGAACCCACTCATCAGAGGCAAACATGTGCCGAATGGACAGTGGGGAGATGTACGTATGTGTGTGTGTTTGTGGACGAGTTATTGGCTTGGAAGGGGGGAGGGAGGGTTACTGCGTGACTGCGTAAACCCAGTGCTAGATTCTCCACGCTCGTATTCCACCGTGAAAGTGGAGCAGAGAAAATCGTGGTGACCTGTCATGCTGGGTCTAGAAGTTATTCCTGGATCGCTTTGGCGCGCGTGCTGGCGGCTGAGTTTGGCGAGATCTGGGCAGGAAGACGCTAATATCACCAAGGGCTGTCCAAGATCCACGCATCGCATGGAGGTGGGCGAGGTTAAGCTTCTAACACTCCACCTTGATGGCGACGTGATGGAGAGATGGTCAGCTATCGTGCGCAGTCGACAAGCAACTCTCTACCTACTCTTGACAAGGCAATTCGTCATCGAGGTGGGCCGCGACCAGACCGATCTTGCTACCTATTGGATTACCTACTACGTACTACAGGTATGTACGGATGTAGGGAACCAGTCAGATTCCCTGCGGTCGCTGGTGGGCTGTGGATTGGCTTCCCCGTAGGGAATGCTACTCCCACTCCGACCATGGTCGCCAGGCATGCAGCGGCTGTCCCGAGCAGGGGGCTAAGCCAAGGTGGAAGGCCCGGAGAGACTCACGCTCCGAGACTCCAAAACAGCAGGCCGGGGTCTGAAGACTACGGGCAACCATGCCGGCCTTGGGCATACGCGGTGGTATTAAGGTAGCAGAAACCCGGATGAAGGGTGCAAGCATGGTATCGTGGAGTTACACATTGAGAGATGCCGCAAATTGTAGTGTGTACGGGGGGGTACAGATACTCTGGTACAATGTGTGCCGTGCAGCGTGCGTTAGGTGGTAATACACGGATACTACTCCGTATGTACTATGTATCCGTAGTATAGTACGGATAAGTACGTGCTCTGTTACGAACGTGCCCTATTCGGACCAAGGCACGGTGAATATGATGTCTGCGGCGTCTGATGTACGGGACTCGGACGAGTAATTGCCAAACTGGAGAGACTGATATGATATCACCGTCAGCAGAGCAGTCAAATGTTTGCGATGCACCGCGATCGGAATGGAGAAAGACCGACGCGTCTCTTTAACCTAGTCGGGCAGCCTTCTCCTGCACGCACAGCACGGTTGTTGCCCCCATATGAACTGAGATACCTACCGGTAGGTACGGATACAGTATCCGTACAGACAGACATTCCAGACTGGCGAAACGGGGCCAAAGAGAGTGTGAGACAGAGAGGAAGCCAAGGACCAAGAATGTCCAAATCGGCGAGCACGGCATCTCCAGAGCGCCCCCCTGGGAAAAGATTCGCCCACTCAGCTGCGATACGTACCTGATCCGGTGGGTCCACAGACCTTTCCACACCACACCTTCATCACCACCCGAAAAACCGGGGACGCCAGTTCGGTACCGGCCAATCCCAGCAGTCGACCCGAGAAGTCTGAAACTCGCCTGTTCAGCGGCTTGTCCCCTGCATCAAACCCTCCAGCCAGTACCCGCAGCGAACGCCTGCCAACCGTTGGCTCATGTTCCTCGTTTTCTGCTTGTCGTCGACGGGACGGCACTCAGGATACAGAGTACCTAGTGTAGCATACGTATCCAGAGTATCCGTAGATAGGTACGTACCCTAAAAGAACTTGGGAACATACTGCCCTGCCATTGAGAACCAAGAACCCCCAAAATAAGATGCGCCGAAAGGGGGGAGAGTGGTCCAGGCTCAACGCAGAAATCGAGGAACAGTACCTAACACAAGAAAAAAAAAAAAGAAAAAAACCGTTCAGGGGTCCCGCCCAAGAACTGCACAAGTTTCAAGCCTCCCACAAATTAACGCGCTCTAGCGCCGGCCCCCTTTCGTCCTGTCTCGATGATCGTCGACCTACTATGTAGCTAGCTGCAAGGTAGGCAGGTAGGTAGGTACCTTGCCTTCCTACTATGTAAAGTCTGTGCCGATACCGCGTACCCTGCCGTCCGTCATTCTCTGCCGCCTTCGCCTAAACCCTGAAATGCTTCCCCTCTTCACCCTATTTTCACCTTGACCTTCAGCTCGTTTCGACCTGTTTACTCTCTCCTCTTATCATCCTCCTCCTCCTTATCCCCGCCCTCCTTTCCTCTTCTTCCTATCGTTTACTCTCGTCACCCATATTATACCTGTTTCCTTGTAATTACCCTCGTCTTGGGCATTGGCTTGTCCTTACATCGAGACTGACGCAAACAAAGAAGAACACACATCACTATACTAGAACCACACACTCAGTCGTTTTCCGGTTCTCTCCGACCTTATCACCCCCTCGCTCGACTCCCACACTACGTGGGATTGGGGTTTCGCCCACCGACAGCAAGAGCCGGGTTTGATATCCGTCCACCTGTACGCTTGCTAGACTGCAATCCCACAGCGAGTGGCCTCTCTGGCCCTGACCACTTCTCGTTGTACGCCAGCATTCCAACCTGCTCCCTCGATTAGACGCACACGCGTCCCCAACATATATATAGTACCTTCGGCATGCCGGGACCTCTCTCGCCGCGGCATTCGGGATTCTTGCCTATCAACAACGGCCACTCCATCGACATGGCCGAAAGCGATATCCCTCTGACCCAGGTCCGGAGTGCCGCCTCGACTGGTGCACGAAAGCCCGCCATGAACGTCTCCAACACCGAGGATTCCGGCTCCGGCACCAACGAAAAGCATGGCCTTTTTCAACGTCACAACAAGGGCGGTCGCCGTAAGAAACACGGCGAGCTGGGTCGCAAAGGAACCGGTGGCTCCGATGATTTCAAGGTCAACGCAATGGGCAGGTTCTACAACAAAATCACTGGCGCCTCTGTTGTCACCCGCTATTTGGTCTACATCATCCCCATCGGCCTCCTTCTGGGTGTGCCACTGGTCGTCCTTCCCCTCACCGGTCACCGGAAGGATGTCTTGGTGGGAGGAACCAAGGGCAAGCCGCTGTTTGATTTGTTCCTGTGGATCGAAATCGCCTGGCTTACACTCTGGGCCGGCAAATGTGTTGCCTGGGTCCTCCCGCATGCCTTCATGTTCTTCTGCGGAGTCGTCAGCTCTGGCACGCGCAAGTACGCTACCGTCCTTCAAAACTTGCAAATCGCCTTCTCGCTGTTCTTCTGGGCCCTTGCATCTTGGCAGTCTTTCCAGGCCTTGTTTAGTCGTAACAATCCCGACCCCGCCCCATGGATTATCACAATGATCCGCCTCCTGGGAGCTACCTTCGTCTCATCCGCCGTCTACCTCGGCGAGAAAGCCATTGTCCAGCTCATTGGTATATCCTACCATCAACGTTCTTTCGCCCTCCGCATCAAGGAGTCCAAGCATGAGATCCGCCTTCTCGGCTTGCTCTACGACGCTTCGCGCACCCTGTTCCCCATGTACTGTCCTGAGTTTGAGGATGAGGACTACGTCATCAACGATAGTCTCGATTTGATTTTGGCAAAGGCCGCGAAGGGCGGCCAGGGCTCAGCCACTCCCCTCCGACTCGTTGGCGATATCGGCCGTATGGGAGACAAGATCACGGGTGTCTTTGGCAACATCGCCTCCGAAATTACCGGAAAGCAGGTCTTCAACCCCAACTCGGCCCACTCCATCGTCGTCGAGGCCCTTGAGAAGACCAAGCCCTCTGAGGCTCTCGCCCGCCGCATCTGGATGTCTTTCGTCGTCGAAGGAAAGGACTCACTGTACCCCGATGACTTCCATGAGGTGCTGGGACCCGCTTACTCGGAAGAGGCCGAAGAGGCTTTTGGCATGATTGACAACGACATGAACGGAGACATCAGCTTGGATGAGATGACGCGCAAGGTTGTGGAGATTGGCAAGGAACGCAAGGCCATCACCGAAGGCATGAAGGACATTGGCCAAGCACTCCGCGTGTTTGATAAGGTCCTGATGTTTGTTGTTGTCCTGATTGTCGTCTTCATCTTCTTGGCCTGGTTCCAGTCCAGCTTCCTGACCGTAAGTTTCCCCTTGCTGTTGCCACCAATATCGCTAACCCGATCAGACTGTTGCCACCGCCGGAACCGCTCTCCTGTCTCTCTCCTTCGTCTTCGCCGTTACTACCCAGGAATTCCTCGGTTCATGCATCTTCCTCTTCGTCAAACATCCCTATGACGTCGGTGACAGAGTTGATATTGTTGGCTCCGAGAAGCAGCAACTCATCGTGGACAAGATCTCTCTCCTGTACACCGTCTTCACCCGCATCGACAAGATGCAGGTGGTGCAAGTCCCCAACATCACCCTCAACAATCTTTGGATCGAGAACGTTACCCGCAGCAAGGCCATGAAGGAGGTCATTGACCTGAACGTCTCTTTCGACACGAGCTTTGAGGACATCGAGCTGTTGCGCCTCGAAATGGAGAGCTTTGTCCGCAGCCCCGACAACTCACGCGACTTCATGCCCGACATCGCCATTGGCGTCGGTGGTGTTGGCGACTTGGACAAGCTGCAGCTCAAGATCGCTATCAAGCACAAGTCTAACTGGCACAACGATGCCGTCCGCGCTACTCGCCGCTCCAAGTTCATGTGCGCCCTGGCCATGGCCATCAAGAAGATCCCCATCTACGCCCCCGGAGGTGGTTCTGAAGCTCTCGGCGCTCCGGGCAACCCGTCTTACTCCGTGGCCGTCTCCGATGAGGTTGCCGCGGCTGCCCGTAAGAACGCCGCAAAGGCCAAGGAGGCGAAGCGCCTGGTGCCCTCTCCCGCCGCCGAAGGTACCAGCACAAAACCGGATTCCAAAACCGAGAAGCAGGCCGTTCAGGAATTGAACCTCCGCGACCCATTGGTCGAGGAGGATTGGGGCTACCGGGTGGGCGACGATGACACTCTGTCTGGATCCAGGGACCGTCGCTCGACCGAAATTGAACGTGTCCGCAACGAGTTACTGAAGCGAGCCAGCACCAAGGGTGGCGGCGGTCGTCGCAAGCCAGGTGAAACTATCCCGTTGTCCCCCGTGGGCGACGGGCCCGGCTTGGGTCTGACGCAAACCACATCACGAAGTCGCGCTTACGATGAAGAGGCCGAGACAGGCGTGTCAGAATCGTATAGCTCTACCTACTACGGCGGCCAGTCCAGCACCTATGCTACCTACGGACAATCACTATCCCCCACCGTCTCTCCGCCCCACCCCCTTCAGAGCGCGCCTGCGGCAGGCCAGCGTCCACGCGGGCGCAGCGTCTCCAACACCCAACAACAGAACGAAGCTGCTCAGAGTAGCCAGAAGAAACAGTGAGGAATGGGGGGGGGGGCACATGAAACTTGACATGTAGAAAAAAATCGGAGCAAAGATTATAATACCAGCCGGTCAATTGATATTGACACAAAGCGTTTTCATTTTTTTTTTTTTTTTTCATTCTCATTTTTCTCATCTTATCATACGCGGGCATTGAGACTGGCTCCTCCCCCGTGTCTGATGAATTTCCCCGCAAAGCTCACATCGTGGGTGAAGGGGGTGGAACATATAGATTACGAATAGAGTATGATGACATGTTGCCCGCAGCTGAATCAATACTGTGCCTCCCATAACCTGATCTGTCCTGGCCTGTTTACGTCGCAAAAGCCCCTCGGAGCGGAGTGCAGTCATCGTGCTCAGCACACGTGCTCGACTTCGCCAACGCCCTCCTGGGGCCCCAGGTCCAGCTTGAGCGTGCGGCCGAAGAGCTCCAGCAGGATCTCGAAGCAGACCTTTGTGATGGCCGGGTCGTAGCGGCCCTTGCTGAGCTCGTCGCGGATGAAGGCGTGCTGGGCCCAGGGGAACTCGTAGAAGCCCGCGACGACGCCGGCCTCGCGCAGCTTGGCGCGGATGAGGTCGCGGCCCTCGGGCGGGACGTGGGTGTCCTTGCAGCCGAAGATCATGGCGACCTCGGCGTGGGCGAGGGTCGGGAACTGGTCGAGGGTGTGCGCGCTGCCCGGGGGCGGCGTGGCGGAGGTGTTCTTGGCGTCGTGGGGGCCGAGGGTGCGGCTGTGGATGTCCGTGGCGAAGTAAGCCACGCAGGCGGTGATTCTCTTATCGAGCTGGGAGTTGTTAGGGATGTGCGGGGGAGGAATAAGACGGGGAGGAATGTCGTGTAAGTGGGAAGCGGGAAGGCACCAGAGAGAGAGAGGGGGGAAGACGTACGGAGGCGCGGACGGCGAGGTGGCCGCCCAGACACATGCCCGTGCTGCCGATCCTGCTGGTGCAGGTCGGGAGGCTGAGGAGGTAGTCCACGGTGCGGCGGGAGTCTTCATCGTAGGACTCGAGCGTCTACGCGCACATTCAATGCCTTCCGGTCAGCTTTCTCTGCTTCTCCATGATTTTTGGGGGGGGGGGGGCAAGATGACGACTACCTTCTCGACCTTCCAGGCGTTGCCCTTGTCGGTTCCGGGCACGTCGTAGGCTAGGGCCTCCGGGCCGGTGAAGTCGTGGTAGGATGAGGGGGCGGCGACAATGTAGCCCTGGCCGGCGATCTGGCGGGCGAAGCGGGCGACGGGGCCGGTGACTGTTCAAGGACTCTCTCAGCACAGATTCTGCATGGCGACTAGCGCTCATCCAAACCAGGGACTTGAGTCAAACGGCTTCACCGTCCTTGGAAACTCATGAGGAATCGTGAATGGAAATAAGGGCAGATTCAGGACTGGGGGACATGAGAGTCGAAATCTCGGTGAGGTTGGCGAAGCCCGGCGGCGGGGTGTGGAAGTTGGAGGGGTCGACGGGGCCCAGTGCGGGGGGAGCTTGTTAGAGCCCCCCCCCTCCACCATGGGGATAGAAATGATCTGACTGACTGACCTTGGTATATCTCAGAGAAGACGCAGACGCCCGGGAATTTCCTACGTAAACATGTCAATTGAATTCCCTTTGAAGCATGGATGCTGTGCGCGCGCGGGAACCCTTACGCGTTGGGGTAGCCGGGGATAGAGGGGTGAAAGAGAAAGATTCCTGGTGTTGCGGTGTTAGCCGTCCGTGGTGGCTCGACACTCGGAGTTGGGTTGGCTCACTCATGGAACCCTCTTTCCCGTCGGCCTTTGTCGGCACGTCAACGTGGGACTCCTTGATGAGCATCCTGGCGGCTGTATGTGGACAATCCGGATGGGTAAGTCTTATTGCAGAGGTTCTCACGGTCAAAGTTCGTCGTGAGAAGTGTGTTGAAGTTGAGCGGTTTGCGTCCCATTGGCTGGGCAGGGTCGAAGGTCCGTTTCTGGCGGAGGACTTAGTAAGCCCCTCTCACTCGTCCTCCGTCAATAACACAAACAAACCCCCAGACTCTGCACAAACTTATCAGAATATGTGAGAATCCATTTCCGACTGATCAGTGAAGGCTCGGGAAGGAGACAGTATTCGGCTACAAGTGGCTAAAAGACCAGGGGCCGGCTACTTTCAAATATATCCTGACATCTCATTTTATCCTAGACTCCTATTATCCTGATAGGTGCTCCTCCATGATTCTTCCCATGCTGGCTTGAAGCCATCGATTCGCCGGATCACATGTCTAATGCTTGCTTGGTCTCCATAATCCAGTGCTCCTCTAAGCCCGGAGGAAACATACTCATCATTTGTATACCCATGTGCTTCTTCGTACCATGTTTGATCGATATCATCCCGCTCTCTGCTAAATCTTCAGACGCACCGTGCCCAGGTAGACGACTGCCGTTCTTCCTAAATTCCGAGGTCTTTGGAGGCGTCAAAGGTTTTGTTAAGCTGCATCGTGATTCCAGCGCGGAGCGACTGTATCTCCTTGCCTCTCTTCTCCGATAACACCAGCAAATCCCTGTACTTCTTCTCCCACTCCGATTCGGCCTCCGCCGTCCGCTTCACACTTGGCTTCTCTACCATCTCCTCGGGCCGCCGCCACCGGTCGTACGTGGTCGTGTGACACATAGTGTAGTTCCCCCGAATCGAGCCCAGCCGGAATTGCCAGTTGCAACTGTACGTTGTACGATCTTCGAGCTCCTCCTCCCGCTTGCACTGCAGTCTACTCCCTGGCAGCAGCGTCCTCCCACCCACCAACGCGGAGAGATTGAGGAGGAAGACATCCTGGTTAGGTGCCGTCTGCCACATGCGCTCCAACATCGTGTGCACGATCGCGTACGCCTCGGCGATGCTGCACTTGTCGATTGGGTTGTCCTGCGCGTCGAACCAGTCGCCGTTGAGCGTCTCGTTAGCGAGATATCCCACCACCTCGTCAATGTTGGTGCGGTCTTCCATATTTTCGAACATGCCTGCAGAGAGGTCGTTGGTCGAGTTGGGGCCGTCGCTGTCTTGCGCGATGAGTTGCATGCGTGGGACAGACTGCTCGTGTAGGTTCATGCACGGCGTTGTGCCAGGTGGCGCGTTGCCGCTGTCGGTTTTCAATGTCGCTGACGGTGCCCGTGTGATCGGAACCGTTGGGTTGGGTATATGTTGAGCGGGGTCTGCATTGATCACGACGACGGGCGGGGGCGGTGTCGCGAGGCGGACAGCCCCTCCTGCCCGCTGCGGAACTTGAAGTGAAATACTAGGCTTACCCGGGCGTGTCATCGGAGGAGCATGCACGATGTCGGGAGGTATGGTTGGCGACACGTTGTTGGGTATCGATCCAGGGAATTTGATCGGCCCCGGATCGCTCTTGGTCTCAGGACTTGGCCCCTTGAGGGGTGACTTTTCGGCCGAAAATGCCACAAACAACCCATCAACATTTGTCTTGTTCGTCGGTGGCCTGCCACGAGTCTTGCCAGTGCCTCCCGGACCACTGCTCCTCCACGCAGATGACACAACCTTGGCACCGTGTCGCCGAGTAGAGGCTTTGGGTCGCGACGGCGTGATTGCCGACCCGGGTTCGGCGTCGCCCCAGAAGCCCCCACTGCGTGTTGACGGTGTCAGCGCGGACATTGGTCCTTGGGTGAAGGCCGTCAGCGGCGAATCATGGACCGGCGGCCATGCCGATGCCAGGGCTGAGTTGGCGCTCAACCTGGAAGAATCGGGCTTGCCGAACGAGGCCCGCCCATCGGGGTGGGCAGACCATGGCCCCGAAGTTTCTGCTAGGTTCGGGGCATACTCGTTCTCGACCAGTGGCGAGTCCAACCTCGGTCGTTGCGAAGGGGACCTGGAGGACTCGTCCTCGTCTGGACGTTTCCTCCCGCGCCTGGGACGGATCTGTGGCAGCAGAGCTCGGAGAGCCATGTCGTCCTCTGCCAGAACGCCATCCCGTCCCGCTTCGCACACAGGGTTCGGGTCGTTTGGGATCCCAATCCAGTACTGATGAGGGTGGTCCATCAAATACTCAAAAAAAGCATCCACGTGCATGGAGTGCATCCAGCGCTACAAAAGGTCAGCCTATCCTCTCCAGCCAGCTACCGAAATCCAATCACCTTGAGCCGGACAGCGTACTGCTGAATCTTCTGTGAGCTCTGTCCCTTATCCTGGTCCGGCGGCTCGACGCCCAGCTTGAGCGCCAACTCGGCCCACGTCTTGATCTCTTTAGTCTCAAGTTGCCTGATGAGTTGGAATAGAGTAAAGGTACTAAAGCTCTTGCCGCCGCTCCTGGGCGGGACCCGAAACGCCTCCCGCAGCGCGGCCGCGTCTGTCTCAGGAGGCACGGCGGGATTGCAGTGCAGGATGAAGTTGACGTAGGCGTCTTCGATAGTCTCTGCCGTCACGTCCCTGTCCGGAAGGGCGGGCCTCCCGATGGAATTCGCGGGAGTTGACGTTGTCGATGGCACTGAAGTGGTAACAGCAGCAGCCGCCGCCGCCGCCGTCTTGTGCTGCTGCTGCTGCTGCTGCTGCCGCTGCTGCTGCTGCTGATGATGATGATGATGATGATGCGGTTCCATGGACAGCGGGGATGGCCCATGTGGGTCGCTGGATTGCGGCGGCGGTTGAGGTTGCCGCTGCATCGTCGACTGCGGGGACATTATTGCGCATGAGTCGATGTTGAATGGCCCAATACGTCGGACATCATCATCGGTCGAGCGTCTGCTGAATTGCGCATAGAGGAAGGTGGTAGATCAGCAGCTTAAAGACGCGACGTGGATGAAGGTCAAGGATGCATCGTCGCAGAAGAGAGGGTCTCTGAGATGATGGCAGGCTTGGCGTCACTGAGTGCTTGGCAGTATAACCCTAGCCGCGCTTCAAGGGCTCAAAGGAAGGGAATTCAAGGGCTTTTTTGGAGATGGGAGGGGCTCCAGTAACATAGCCAAACCTCAATCAATTGCAACTGAAAAAGGTTCGGGGTCAAGTTGGGGGGGCTTGGAGCCTAGGCGCCCACGGTAAGTAAGGTACGTGCCTTTGTCCGACAGCACTTTCCAGGGGCAAAGCAACCGCGCCAGGACCGTTTGGATGTTGAATGAAGTTCCCTGAGGCATCTCGAGCACAGTGCTAACTTGATAGTACTGTACAATGTCATCATTGTCCAGCTTCCCCAGATTGTCTTCTGGTAATTACGTAACCACTTGGCCTTCGCTTTCTTCTACACTATACTGAGGATGCTTTTTACCCAGTTAATAGATACAACTTAAGCTTGTGGAGAGCTCAATCACTAGCGTTGATGAAGAAGGGCGTCAATGCGAACTGCAGTATACAAGCCAACAGGCGTGGGGACGTGCAGCAAAACGGCTCGCTCGATACAAAGATCAGGAACAACGGGAAAATTGCTTTGCAAGTATCCGTAGTTGTCTTTATTCGGCAGAGGCTACCTGAGCAAGCACAACGGCAAGCCAAAGCCGGCGCTGTGGCTGTAGCCGTAGCCGTGTGCTCTTGACTAATCCATATTGCTTGGTGTTCCATGGCCCACCACATTGCACAGATCTCCAATCGCTCTGAACTTGACTAATCCTCTTCAGACGGCACCTCCTAGCCCATTTCTCCGAATGACGTGATAGCCCTCTCACAAGCTCGTGGCATTTTGTGGTTCGAATGGCTGCATTTATCAGCTTTGCTTTGAAATACAGCCACTTGGACGTCGATGGATGTACAATAAGACAGAATCCCGCCCCGAAAAGAGAAATCCAAATCCATCACATTGATATCGCATCACAAGGAACTCTCCACACCGTCCATCTCATCGTGGACTACCCTCATCATCCCGCCGTATATTAGAAGTAACACCACAGCCCTACCAAACCCCAACATGGCCATCGACAGAGTCCCCCGCGGCGACGTCCGTGCGACCCTTAACTTCTTCGCCGCGCCGGCAGACAACTCCGTTCCCTACAACATCATCCACCCCGAAGGAACCCCCGAAAGGAACTACGGCGACAGCCCCACTGAGACCGTCGTGCACGACATCCGCGGCCGCGAGTCCGACTTCAACCTCGACCGCGACGCCTTCGCCGTGATCCGCAACCTCCCGCCCTCTTCCGAGAAGGACTTCGTCGACGACGCGTCCGTCGAGAGGAACTACTACCCCGAGGTCGAGAAGCTCATCCTGGAGCACGTCCCCGGCAGCAACCGCGTCCTGTTCTTCGACCACACCATCCGCCGCACCGGCCCCAAGGCCCTCCGGAGCCCCGTCACCCGCGTGCACATTGACCAGACCCCCGTCTCCGTCATCCAGCGCATCAGGAAACACCTGCCTGATGAGGCGGACAAGCTGCTCGCCGGCCGCTATCGCATTATCAACGTCTGGCAGCCGCTCAACAAAAACCCCGTCGAGTCTTTCCCGCTGGCGTTCGCGTCGTCCTCGACGCTGGCCGACGAGGACATCGTCCCCGTAGAGCACCGCTACACTACCGGCTACACCGGCCAGACGGCGGCCATCAAATTCAACCCGGGACAAAAGTGGCACTACTTGAGCGGCATGACGGGCGATGAGCGGCTGCTACTTGAGTGTTTTGACAGCGAGGGCCTACGTGATGGCACGGGCGTGGCGGGCGGGCGGGTGGCTCATACCGCTTTTGAAGACCCGAGAAGCAGGGCCGATGCCGAAGGTCGTGAAAGCATCGAGGTTCGCGCCCTTGTCTTTGGCCCATGAGAGGTCACTTTGGCATACAAGTCTGTACACGAGTCAATGAGAACATGAATGTTTGATTATGAACATCAGGGTATCAATGCGGGCGGCATGTTCTACCTCCGGACAAGAACTTGTCTCTCCGTAACAGCAAGCCCCTTCGCCATATGCCACCCTGTGTGCATGCGTGTGTCATGAGATCAGTAAATTGTCCACATAATGCAATCCTCCATCGTGAAAGGTACTAAAGAAAATAAGAAACGCAAGCTTGCTCGACACGGGAACTCGACCCGCCGCGATGAAAGAGGCTGCTATCCCCGAATGTTGTCCGCATACACATGGAAAGGCGCACATGGCCAGTGCCACCCAATTTTCCCAAACGCCGAAACACCTTCCAACTTCTCGCATGTCATCCCTAGTTCTTGCGGCCCTTGCCACGAGAGCTGCCCTGCCGACTCATGGCTGCACCTCCTGCTGCGCTGCTGTTGCGACTCATGGGAACCGCAGCAACAGCCGCGAGAGACGAAGGTGGAGCCTCGTCTCTGATGCTGCTCTCGATCGGCATCAGATCCTCTCTAAGTTTCGTCGGATCCGGCCGGGGGCCTGGCTTGAATCCTGTGTAGGGAGTGTTGGTGTACGGGGTGATAGCAGCCTCCAAGAGCTTTCTGCTACCGTTGGGGTGATCGATTGAATCGCCGGGCTTGTGGTTCGCGTCATACTTCTTGAACAGGTCCATAACCATGATGTCAGAGTTGATCTCTTCGTGCGACAGCGGTTGAGGCAGGTTGCCGTCGGTGTTCCCTCTGACTGGCTTGAAGTAGTTAGTCACATTGACCGCCGGTAGTTTGGCAGGCTCATGTGGCTGCATGATCTCAAGGTACTTGGGTAATTCGAGGCCGTTGGCGCCCTCGACAGCGTCGATCAGACTCTGGTTGATACCAGCCCTTGTGCTCCTAGTAGCGTGAGAGCTTGTGCGTTCCATGGTCGGGGCCGACAGAGTAGGCTCGCTATCCTGGTCACCGTTCTCGTCGCCTTGACCGGAATCGCTTCCGGGGGAAGAACCTCCGTTCGCATAGGGCTTGTGTCTAAGGACATATTTGTGGGAAGCAACAGCAGCTTGGTTGTACGCCAGAGAGAGCTCCTTATCAGTGAAGAGCTTATCAATACTGTAGGCGGGTCCATTCTGCTTTGCAGCAACACGGAGCTTCTCGTTCTGCCAGAGAGGCGTCGTGCTGTTAAGGTCGAGCACTCGTCTAGAGGGGACGGGGGAGCCATCGTCTTCGCCCGGGTTTCTCTTGCGTTTCTTGCCATCCGCGTAGCCGGCGAGCTCCTCGGCATCTTTGCGCAGCCTTGTTGCACGCTTCCCGTGAGTGCCTCCAGGGCTGGCTGGGTTGGTTATGCTGAACTGGTTGGGGTGGAGGAGCAATGCCGAAGAATCGGATATCTCCAGCGCCTCCTTCTCCTTGTTCAGACGGTATTTTCTCGAGAGCAGGGTATTAACGAGACGGTCACGAAGGGTAGCAGAGAGAGCTTGGTGCTCGCGCTTCGCGGTCTCCACCTTGTAGACGTATTCGTTCTTATATTGCTGGAGGCGGCGCTCGTGCTCGTGCTGTTGGTGCAACGATTAGCTGAGCCGAGCAGGGGCAAAGGGAGATAAAAATTGGTTGCACTCACCATGTGTTGGAGCAAGTGGAAATCCCTATACTCAATGAGATCCTCGATGCCTTGAACGAAGTCTTCGAATTTGGGACCGGCCATCTGCAGCAGAGTGCGGTTGCTGTCAGACAGCGCATCTTGTCCCTGGGTCTCTTCATGTTCTTGACGCAGGCTGGCGATGACATTCAAAACATCGTCGGCGTACGGGTCGATGCGCTGTACGAGATTGGTGTCGATCTGGACCTTCTGAAGCTGATCACGGTACCCGAGATCGCGGTCCTTGCTGAACTTTTCCTGCAGGTTGGCAATCTTGTCGGCAAGGGCCTGGCGCTTGCGGTCGCGCTTCGACTGGGGCGCCGGAGAGGCTCGCCCGGCCTTATGTTGGGCAGAGGTACCACCCAAATTGGGGGTGGAGGCTTCGTTGGCTGCCATCGAGGCAGTGACGGCCAAGCTCGTGTATCGTTCTTCGAACTGCGCACTTCTCGGGTTTGGTTGTGGAGGGTGGTTGTTCTGGTTTGAGAACGGAACGCTGGTTTGGTGATGTGAATAGCAGCCGTCAACCGTCGCAAACCGGAGTTCGAGCGAGATGAGCTCTAAGGAAGGGGAGAAGGTGACGAATATGTTTAACAATGGTTTCGGAAGAGGGAATAATGAACCATCAATCGCTGCTCTTGAGCAAGGGTAATTCCGCCCATTCGCAGCGCCAGATCTCGTAGAGATGTTTGTGTGGGAGAACGAGAATCGGAGAAAGTGAAGGTACTACAAAATGGACCGGTCGTACTGTGGCTTGCCTTGTCAGCCTTCTTCGCGCTAAGTGAGTGCATGTATTTCTGTACCTGACTGCTGGAGGGGCTGGGTTTTCTTATTGGATGGGGGTTACCCGATGACTTCCGTAGGGGCCAGGTTGGTTTAGCGGGCGGAAGGGATGGAAGAATAGCAGCTTCCAGCGCACTGTGCAGCACGCCGAATTTCACCCGGGGACTACAGCTTCATCGTCGTCCGTCTTGCGGTGCTGCCGGCTGTCCCGTTCTTGTTTTGCTGCTTCGTTTGCGCTGTTTCACAAATTTCAATTACGAGGGCGAGTTGTCCGCCTACTAGTTATGAGTTTGCTCTTCTTGCCCTCCACTTGAGCCCTCCCCATAAATTCACAGTGAACACCAAGAGAGGGACGGGGGTGAATAAGGGTGCCAGTGACGAGACAAGCCTCAGAAAATTGAAAGTAGAGTGACGGGGCTGAATTTACACGCCACCGCTCACTGAATCTAGCAGGGTACAATTTCCAATGGAATGGTGTGACCTTCAACTATATACCTACCGAGAAGAGCATTGCAGTCACAGCCCGATGAACAACCCAAATGTGAAGGTTCCCATTGAACACGTTGTTTCGGCACACCATGTCGGAGGCTACGTGTAGAACGGTTCGTATTAGAGCATCACTGGCCGGGTAAAGTCTAGAGACACAAAGGCTGTTTCGACAACAGGCTTATATCAGAGTTTCATTGCCTTTGCATTTTCTTGCAAATGACAGGCCTACTAGTCCTATAATCCGTTTCTAAGCTTCTGCAGTTGGCCCATCAAGCCATAACCCCCGAGATAAGTCTTGTTCTCCGCTGCGTCGGCATGAACACTCCCTTTCCTCGCCCGTCCATCGCCCCCATCCCTCCTGCTCGCTTGGTCTACTTCCCTCATGAGGTCCCTGTGCCGGTCCTCAACCATCTTGGCCAGGCTCTCGATGAACCTTGTCCTGCCCTTCTCCTCTGCCGTCCCCTTCCATACTTGGTTCAGCTCCTTGAGCTCCTCGATGCGCTGCGCCGCCTTCTCGATCCCCTTGACCGGGTCTTCCGACTTTGTCAGCAACTGCGAGATCTCGTCCCGCAGCTTCTGGAGGACCTGCTGCCCCTTCTCCTCCGTGCTGTGCTGATCGGACCCGGGGTCTGGCGCCGAGACGGATAGGAAGGACGAGCTGACCGAGAGCTCCGACGGCGGGAAGACAAACTCCATGGCGTCGCCAAAGGTCTTGATGACGGTGTCGAGGCGGGAGCGGACCACCGTCAATGTCCGCAGCTGTTGGACGTACGGCGGTTCTGTGAGCGTCTCTCCCTCCACAGCCGTGCCGCCCTCGTCTGCCTTGGCGATTCCGACAGACTCCCTCCTTTCTTCACCATTAAAGACTTTGGGTGCCGTATTGTCTGTAGCGCCCTCTTCTAGACCGCCAGGCGCAAATTTCTTAATGTCCTCCTGCAGCGTCTCATTCATCGTCTCGGCCAGACTCAATGTCTCGCCTCGCAGAAGTTCTACCTCGTAGGCGAGTCGGCTGCCGCTCCGTAAGATTTCGTCTGTCAGCTGGGTGAGCGTGCCCGAGAGCCTCGTTGTGTGAATGTTGAGTTGAGATAACAGCGCCTGCGCCTCGTTGGACAGTTCGGCCAGCGGAACGGCCTGGCCCCCGCTTCGGGATGCATGGTTGCCCCCGTGCTGAAGAGGCGCCAGATTGGCGTTAAGGTACGCGGCAGGGTCAAACGAAGGATCCAAGAAGTCATTCAGGAACTCGTCCGCTACGTGGCTCGACTTGGGCTGGATGGTCGACTTGGGCTGTTGGCGGGTGTGGATGGGGAGGTTTTTGGATGCAGCGGCGTTGCTGCTTTGGCGCCGGCGCAATGCCGTCTTGGAGTCCCACGACATTATTCAGAAGAGGATGTGACGGTCAGAGAGTTTCGGTGTTTGCTGAGTTCATACGAAACAGCGCCTCACAGATGACAGGTCTCATCTGGACTAGTTGAATGAACCCATGGGGTGAGTGAGAGGTTGGTTGGGTAGTGTGCCCCACTTTCGCGGTCTCCCTTAAGCGAACACAACGGTGGCGCTTGCTTCGCGGTGTTTGGTTCGGCGCTGACCACTCCTGAATCATACTTTTACGTCCAAAGTAAATATTTACCGCGTGTTTGAACAACGAATGCTATTGCATTCTTTAAATGCCTTTCGAGAGTTTTCATAGGATACTTTACAAGAGGAAATCCCTTGCTACTATTACTGGGTATCTTTTGGCCACAAGAGTTCCCTTTGGTATAAGGATCGAATCATCGACCCAAACACAATAAACCATACAACTATTAAACACGCGGCCATAACACATCCGGAGATCTGCAGCCCCCTGTTCTCGAAAACTTTTCCAAGGCTTGTGGTGGCAGTAATCAGCGCCGTGTTCGGGAACACGAACGACCACCAGTTCATCTGGAAAGACATCTTCTTTTTTGGCCATATAACTTTCCAGAGCGACCCAACAGAGACGATGAAGAACCACAGGGACAGGCCCCATAGCCACAGACCGATAAAGGCAGACATGACTCTAACGATAGGCACGGCCATGTCAGTGTCGAGGAAATCGCTAGGCAGGATGGTCGCTGCCTCGTTGCCGAGTTGCACTTTTGATGGTTAGCCGGGTTTATTTTACTCGCAAGGCGGTGACAGTACCTAGTCCTCCCACCGTGAATGCAAACGGCCCGACAGAAATGAACTGTATGTTGGTTAACTTGGCGCTACTTCGTGGCACGGCACAAAGAGACACATACCACACCAGGACGCTGGAAGTCTCGGGGAAGCTTTTGTGTCATTAACCGGTAGATGAAGGCAGCCGAGATCATGAAGGCAATCATACAACCCGCACCTTGAGTAGCCACGGCAGAGAGAGCAATTGCAGGAGTGTTGAGAGTGACGGTGTGTTGATTGGCTTGGGCTGCGGCTTGAATGAGGTTGCTCGCGAAAGGTGCCGTGAGAAGAAGTGGATAGGCTGGAAATACCCATGTCGGTGTCATGGTATGAATAGGGAAGGCTCTACAGCACAGTCAGTAAGGCCATATTTGCAGCCAGAGGGAAAGACTGATGCTCACGTTGTCGACCACAGAACCAGGTAGATAGTCGAGCTAGCTAGCACGCTCAAGGCTGTATAGGACCAGAACATAATCTGCATGACTCTGAGAAGCCAAGGGCCAACACGTGGAACGCCGAATTGGCATATATTGATCGATACAATGGCAACCCTTGGCATGTTTAGTTGACTTTCTACACCGTTGGACTAATGAACTCACGACACAACAGATGAAGGAATAAAGAGGGACTCAGTCTGGTCGGTGAAGGAATGTTTGAGCGAGCCTGGTCGAAGCTTGAAGCGTAAACCGGCAAGCACACAATTCATGATGAACAGGATGATATTGAAGAGAAAAAAGGCGGTGGCCACGCCGTTGAGCCAAGCGGCGTCGTATGGAACTGTTCAAAGTTTAGTGGATACTCAATTCAGTGAAACGAGGAATACCCACGAGAATGTATCACATTTGCCATTCCCCCGGTGGCCTATGTCATGTCAGCATCATAGTGAAGCGGTCTGTCGTTCGTTATTTACCATTGTCTGCTATTTGTTAGCGAATGGTTCGATAGACGGAATACGGTTTACTTTCCATTGTGAACCAAGTCCATGTATGGCACACGATCCGATCTCGGATTCCCACCTTATCGAGGCTGGAGTGGTTAGCATCGCCGTCCTTCTCGTTACTGGGACTGGACTCGTTCGACTCTGCCCGCGCCTCGGCAGGTGGATGAGCCGCCCCATCCTCCGGTGCCGGCTCGGGCCCGAAAGAAGAGTAGGGTATGAATGGAGGGCGTCTGAGGGGGGAATTCGGCGTCTGGAAGGAAGTTGAGGGAGCCATATTGGCATGAGCGAGCCACGAGGGGCCGTTAGGAGTAAGGTAGCCATCTACCACTTCATGGGCGGGGGCCATTTTGCTGTAGGTGAGTCCCAGTCTTCGGGTCCCCTTGCCAGTAACTTTGAGACGACATAGAGCGGGAATAGCAGGCTGGGCTCAGCATTGGAGAGGGCAATGTTCATATAGACAAGATTGGTGATGAACACAACGTGGTCGAGGAACAAGGACCCAAGATCGAACAGAGGCATGCTTAGAAAAGGTCGGGCGTTCGGCGACGCAGGTTTCCGCGCAATGCCGGTTAAGTCAAAAAAAAAAAAAAAAGTGCGGTCACAGGCGTGAGGGGATAGCGTCGACGCCCCCGAGAGGTTGTGTGTGGGTGGATAGAGTCAGATGCCTGCCCTGGGCGTATCGTGCAAGACCACCAATGCAGATCCCGGCTCTTTCCTTGGGCAAAAACGAGCTACGAATCGTCCTGTGGCTGCGGCCAAGGTTGCGTCGTGTGTCGGGTTCCACTCGGCCTTGTCCGCCGACTACTATGGATATTTCGGTGGTTCGTGGCCAACGGCGAAGGCGACAATGGTTGGCAACAACACCCACCACGATAGAGTTTTGTCAGAAGCTTGATTGGTATCAAGTTACAGGAAAATGGTTCAGTTTGACGTGTGAGGCAGATCCCAGCGAGAAGTTGAAGTGTAGTGTAGAGAGTGGTGCCGGTGTCATCCAGAAGCTGGCAGAAGGGTGTAGCAGGTGCAACATTCAGCCTGGCGTACTGGAGATGCCCAGAGACCCGGGTCACCCTGCCGTGGATGACGCAGCATGACCGGGGTCCCATGTGGGGAACCTCTATGAACGCGGCATCAAAATTTGAAGTTCAACCAACACACAGCGGCTACCCGAGTTATTCCCGTGATGCCAGGCTCAGCCGCTCAGCTCAGTTGACTCATATCCAGCATCTCTAATCAACAAGGGCTAGAAGGGCGATGTTGTTGTCGGTACGGTGTAGAATGTGAAGAGCGAGCGGGCAACATGGTCAAATGGCGGGAAAACAATGGATGGCTATCGTATCTGTAGCGCTGGTACGGAGGCTAGTTTGTCCGCGCTAGTTCTCTGATCATCGTCATTTTCTTCTTTATCTTATCGTGCTTACCTACCCAAGACATACAGCTGCTGAAAGGATATCCCTCGCTCGCCAATGACGCCAGGCATGTGGAGGACTCCTTCCTTAGTGCGGTGGGAAGCCCACGGCTTGCTTACGGATACACTACTGAGATATCGGAACCGTGACCCACGACTTTTGACCTCACCCTCGCATTGGCGCTTGGGCCGGTTGTTGTCTACTTCGACTTCACCGCGGCCAGCGGTTGCAACACCCCTCGCTGAGCGTTAGTACTTACCTTGGCGGGGTGGAGATCACACCTGACAACCTACGGATAGCTCGGCGCGACTGCCCCTGCTGCTATCAGGTCTCAGAAAGAAATGGGCCCCGAGATGGATATTATGGAAGGTGGCTGCCCTGGCAAAGTGCATCGTAGCTACCTAGGTACTGAGCAGCACATCTTGTTCCTCCTCGCGCATCTTCCAAGGTACCTAGGTAATGTCTATCAACGACTGACGTTCCTGCTCCTCGACAACACTCATCATTCGGACCCCCTCAGCCAGTGACAATGACAAGTGCGCTGCGTCTTCTCGACCACTTGATTTACGAGGCAGGACTTGACGTCTCATCTTACAATGACGACTTCTACAATCTCTCTCGACACATTTGTCCTATGCAATCCAAAGACCGCCTCTTTTGTTACTGTTGCGAGTAATCTTTCTCTTCGAACACTGTCGTCTCAGACATCCTTCTCATCCGCGGACGAACTACTCGTTAGTGTTCGAGAGGGCGATATATTGGTTGACAAAGCCCGCTCGTTCCGCCTTGTGGTCTCCATAGTACTCGAGGGAAAAGACTTGACGACGCGCCACGATTTCACTGACCAGGTCGCTAGCCACCTGGCAGACTGCCCAGTATGCGACACCCGGAGCCTACGGAGCATGAAAGCTAACGCATGCAAAGATTTGGTCTCAGCTAGGACTTCTCGCGACTCGCGATAGAGACGATGCCTGCAGCTTGCGGCACCTATCATTCACAGTCACACATCTTGACAAAGCTCTGTACCCAGACATGCCCCCCAGCACTATTGTTGGGATATTGAAACACGTCACGTGCTCTTTTCACTTCCATCGGGATTTGTGCATGCTAAGGGAACCTGAGATGATGATTCTGGATCCCGTCTTCGGGTCAATCAGCGATGTGGATCCTAATGACTGGCCTCCGGGATAGGACCCGAACGACGACGTTGACGAATCTCCATCTACACAGGACTCGGGCGTGTGCCTCCCAGATGATGAGGCCATTGCTGGACAACATCCATGGAAGCAAGAGTGTCTAGAATACAAGGCAATCTCCTCTTCCGCCGTAATGTGGCTACTGGAAGCTGGCCTTGATACTCTAATGGTGGATCGAAGGCGTTCTGCCGACATTCAAACTATTCAGGCCATGGGATCACCCCCATTAGCTCACCTTATACCTGAAATTTTCAACATCAAGTATCTTTCGGTATGACAGTTCTTTCTTGTATGGAGAAGATGCAGGATAGCCACAGACAAGTTAACACGATACAGTCGCTTGCCTCCCGATCCCACCTCCTTCCAGGCTTGTCATCTGTGTTTGCAGTCTTGGACGAAATCGAGTCCAGGCGAATACAGGATTTGATCGAGGACAGAGTTGATAGCCAACCTAGTGAAGCTAATAGCCATTCGAGCGAAAACTTCTGGCGACAACTATGGCGGCTGACACGGACAAAACTTCCGCCCTTTCAGAGGGGCGACTTGCAACAGCGAGGGGTTCGCGAAGCAGCGGCATCGGACGACGATGCCCTTTCGACAAAGGAAGTCGAGAGGTCATCTGGCTACCAACCCCTGTCAAGGGATCGAACTTATGCCGACGAGGCATCAAACCACGAAGTTGGTGCAGAGATTGGTACCTGCGAGAGCTATGACATACAAGACCACTTTTCAGACTCTGGTATGGGGCAGCACGAAGATGACGTTGATGAGTCGGCACCTGAGGCGAATGACACTTATCGCTATTCCTCCCCATTCCTAAGCATGGATGACATTTCCATTCAATACGAGGGCGAGGTGGGCGACGATGACGCTTGTCACGTTGAACATGCTGTCGACTACGATGACAAATTTGTGTCTTTCAGCTCGGGGGTTGTAAGCTCGCCATTCGTACCATTCTCAAGAGAAGCCAGCCCAGAGGACTTTGAAGCGAAGGACCTAGACCAGACAGACCTCGAGGACAACCGAAAGCTGGGTCGAAAGCCGATTTCAATAACATGTTCGACGGATTCGCAAGCCATTGCTGCTTATGCTCAAGAACCCTTTAACAACTGGTGGAGTTCTGACGTTGACTCTGGGGAAGAGCAATCCGCGACATCTGACAACACAAGCGGACTCCGAGAGCGGATATCAACACTTCCTCGCAGCGATTGTGATGTTATCATGGTTGGGGGAGACGATGCAATTCCACAGTCACAAATTGAAAGGGAAGGTGATGCTGAGAGTGACTCACGAAACGATGACAGAAGCTTTGAAGGTTATGGCGATACTTCTTGGGGGCCGTCGCAAACTCGCCGGTACTCGGCTATCCTCTTGGAAGAAATCGAGATGGAGGGCCATTCCGAGGACGAATGGGCACTATAACGTCATGCCAGGGAGTCGGAAGTTGTTCGACATAAACATTCTGCCAGTATTTTGATCGACGCCTGACAATTTAATATGGAATGGTATTGTGCAAGAAAAATGAACGTCGAATGCAACCTGTGACATCCGAGCATCCTAAATAAGTGTGGTTCGATACTCTAGAACGGTCATGCAAGACCGATCCAGCTCTCAAGTCCCGGCTCGGCCCATTATCCAACCTTTCGATCCACCGAGGGGTTGCTGTCGGATCTAGCATGGCGATGCCTCTCCCAGCGACAATTTCGGTTCATCGTACGGCGATTCGATGGTGATCAAATCATCAATGTAATCGCATCACCCCACATGACCCAGCTCCTATGCCTAACCTCTCCAACAAGCACGATCCTTGTTCTCTCCAACCTGCGCGTCCTCTATTTCTTCCCGCCCTTGGCCCCCTTCCTAGGCTCCTTCTTCTTCTGCTGTTCGGGTTTCAAGGTCGCAAAGTGAATGTACCAGAGCAGGACGCACTCAAGGATGATGGCGAGAAGGGCAACCAGGAGGATGGTGAAGAGAATGGGCTGATCGTTCAGTACGGCGACGGCCTCGGGCGTGGCGCCAATGGATCGGAACCAGTCGAATTGACCCATCTTTGCGACTTCAGGGGTTGTGGTGTCGGTAGCTGACTTTGCAGAACGAAGGAGGCGCGGGTTCTTTTCGCGATAGTACTATCTGAGAACGAATGCTCTGTTGTTTATCGGCGAAGGGGACAGGAGGCGAGTAGGTTGTTCTCAGACGGTTGCGACGGTATGGACTGCAAGGCTTCGGATTAAATGAGTACAGGTAGAAGAAAGTCAGAATGAAGGTCTGAATCTCAAGTGCGCCAGTCACAAGGGAAAGAAATGTACGGATTGTCGGAAGCCGGATTAGATGTTTTTGTTGGATACACGAGATGCGAAAAGGCCCAAAGGAGGAGAGAAAGGGAATAGGAGGGTTCGTTGGGGCTAAAATGTACGCAAAAGATCCGCCCGGCTTCTCGAAACGGGGGACGTCACAATTTGGGGTGTGGTCAAGGTACGAAGGAAAATGGCCTTACAGTGGTCAGTGGTTCACACAGGCCAGGCCGCCCTTGTGGTTGGTGGATGAGACCAGGACGCGACATGCGGTACGCATCGTGGTGGTCAGAATGCGTGGGAGGCGGCCAGGGGAGGGGGAAAGGGACCTTCGATGCGTTTCAGGCCTGCGGCAGAAAGTCGACTGATGTCTGCGGTTAGTGATTGGCTACCCAGGGACAAGCTGCAGCGGTTACTTCGGCATATGCAAGGGGTCCCGTCCATCTCAGGGAAAAGGCCTCGTCGGCGTCTGCTTGCAGGCCTTGGATTGAGTGCTGCGATCTGAAGGAGCTTTGAGCCAATGTGGCTGCGCATATGCGTGGTGATGCTGGCTAGGAAAACATGATCATCGCCGGGTCCAGCACCCGCGGCTTTGGATTGATACGCCTCGAACTGGAGGATAGCGCGAGCATGGTACGGAGTACTTGTCGCCAAGATTAAGTAAGCCAGCCCCTGAGCCACTGTCCAGAATGGTGCCTTATCGTCTCAGAGGGCCGAGAGAAGGTGGTGGTCTCGCCCTCCGAGGAGGTCATGTGACCATAGGAGCATCTCAGTGCCATCCGTCCAGATCCGCACGGGCCACGAGCGGCAGAAAGCCGGATGCTGTCGACCAATGATGTGGCGTGAATCGGCCTAAGGCAATCTGGACGATGTACGGAGTACGCTGATCGAATTGAGCTTTCCAAAAAAAAATTGTCGACCAGCTGGCGCGATCCTGAGCTCAACCCAAGAGCCCATCACGCGACTACAACCACCCCAAGGCGACCATCACACCCTTTGCTGCCGGTAACGAACTGGCGCAGAGACGTCGCCCTTCTCTTCTGCAGCGATGAATTCGGTACGCCCGGCCCGGAGCGTCTTGTCGAGATGTGTCTCCGTCTCGAGCACACCGGCCCTCCCCTGCCGTCTATTCCACAGCTCCGTTAGCCGGTCGGGGCGGAGGCGGTCACGATTTAACAATGTCACCGCCGAACAGATGGGACTGACGACCCCCGATAAAATCGAGTCGTATGCGAAGCGCCAGTTCCCCGATTACACAGAGGAGGAGAAGGCGGCTCTCAAGCAGAAGTACACTCCTGAGCAGTGGGAGGCTCTCGAGGCGGCCGAGGCGGCCATTGACCCGAAAGACCTGGTGATCCAGGGTCGGTTACGGACGGACCCCTACAAGCAGCCCTATATCGAAGATTTTGCGACGATCCAGCCGATTATCGACGCAAAACCTCAGAAGACCATGCAACCTAAAGAAGTGAAGTGGCTCCCAAGGAGAGAGTGGGTTGACGACTACATTGAGAAGATGGCAGACCGGGTCGATACCCAGTTGAAGGACACCATGGGCCAGGCCTTTGCTAGGGCGCTGCGCAAGGTCAAGAAGATGAACCCGGACAAGCTTGACTTCACGGAGGAGGAGCTGAAGGAGCTGGAGACGAACCCCGAGTTGCGCAGGAAGTTCCTGGTTGACCAAGACGCCGATGTCTTAGGAGGCAACGAGCCGAGGGCGCCCGTCCAGTCGGAGATTGCAGGCGACAACTGGATGGAGTTGATCGACAAGCATTTCTTCGAAGAGCTCCAACAGTCCCTCTCCACCGACCAGAACCCCCTTCGCCCCTCCCGCCTGGACTCGTGGAAGGCCATTGAAGGTGAGGACGGCAATTCGGCGCTGTCTCCCGAACTTGGCAAGATCGAAGGTGTCAAGGGCCTCTACAAGCCCCCCGAGGACCCTGAGGACGATGGCCTCGACCCCACAGGCAGCTACATGAATCTCAAACAGATCACCGGCATGAAGATGACTGACATCCTCTCTATCCTGACCAAGAGAGTCGTCTTCCGCTCAGTCTCCAACCAGACCCGTCTGGGCAAGATCCGCAGTGCCTCCGTCATCGTCGTGGCCGGCAACGGCGACGGCAGACTGGGCCTGGGAGAGGCCAAGTCAACGGATTCCAGCATTGCCACGGCGACGGCCACCCTTCTTGCGATTCGCAACATGAAGCCTATTCGCCGGTACGAGAATCGCACCATCTACGGCAACGTCGAGGCCAAGATCTCGGGAACCGTTGTGAAGCTTGCCGCCCGTCCTCCAGGTATATTGCCCCTTCTTTTTTTTTCTCTGTTTTTCGCATTCCTTTTCATCCTCTTTTTCCCGACTACGCAGAGGATGAGACTAACGCGAATCTTCTCAGGTTTCGGACTCCGCGTCTCCCACAGGATATTTGAGATGGCTCGCCTCGCCGGAATCCACGACCTGGCCGCCAGTATCCCCCGTTCCAACAACCCCTATAACACCGTCTACGCCGCCTACAAGGCCCTTCTGAACCAACCCAACCCAGAGGATATTGCCATCGGGCGCGGGAAGAAGCTGGTCGACGTGAGGAAGGTGTACTACGGCGGCTCTGTATATTAACCTGTATACCTCTGTATACTACTGTAATTATTCAAAAAAAGCGCAAATCACTAGTCATCTTCCTATGCGAGCTTGCCGGTCGTAACCCGTGCGCAAGCGCGCTTAGAGACCAGCATCTTTGTGGTTTGTGCCGATGTTTGCAGTTCATAAGGGGGGGGTATCTCCTCTAATCGTGATCTCGTCATCTGCCTGTGCAATCCTCGGTTTTCTCATCTCGCCCCAGCTTGCGGCAGTGGTAGATTTTCCAGGCCTGACCTCGGCTTGGTAACCTTCACGACCCAGCACGCCTCCTTACTCGTCCTGCTCGTCGCCCTGGCTTTCCGCCCGGTCGCCCCAGTCAATCTCCTGCTGCAGCACTATGCTGTACACGCTCGCCTTAAGGAGCGTGAAGACCAGGCTTGTTTTGCGCTCCAGCTCACGCAGGCCGTCGAGGATTTCGGTGCTCGGGGAGCCGCTCAGATCTTCCAGTGTGGAAGCGAGCTGCGGAGGTTTTTCGGCGGCGTCAGCAAGTGTCTGCCAAGGCGATGGTTCGGCGAAATGGAGGGAGGGGTCAGGGAAAGGGATTCGGGGTGGGCAAGGTCGGCAAGGTGGGCCACGCAACGAACCTTCTTCATGTTGTCCGCAAGCTTCTCGTACTCCTCCAGGACTTCTGCCTCCAATGGCGTCAGCTCCGGCTGCGAATGCAGCAATGCTGATTCTCGTCCTTGTTCCATTGTGTGTGTATGTGCGCGTGTGCAATCGTGTGTCGGGCTTTGTTCCGCGACGCTAGTTCAGCGAGCAAGGTACCGGTATTTAGTGTGGTGTTTACATGCAGAGTCGCGCGGGCGGAGGTCCCTTTCGGTGAGGCGCAGTGGGACGCGTTGTTGCATGAACCCCGCCAGAGTGAAGAAGACAAAAAAAAAAAAAGGGCCAGTCATGCTCTCCTCGGTAAGCTCTTCGGTGAGGTCCCAATGGTCCTGGGAATCGAAGCGGCTCGTGCGCCGCCAGGACATCACCGATGCCACCTAGACTCCATATCAATTTACCCCAACGTCAGTCTAGACCTCGTTCCTTCCAGACATCCTGAAGCAGTAAAGGGGAGCGACGCCAGCAACGTCTGTGCATGCTTGTACGGATACAGTCTCATTCTACCATCGACCAGTCTGAGTCAGGAGACAAGACTTGGCACCTAGGAAGGGTCCGCGGAAAGTACCTATATCGCTAGTCTTTTACGCCGCGGTGCTTACTCACGGACTCTAGCGAGTGCCAAACGGGGCATTCGCATGGTACTCTAACCATCCAGGCTGCACACACTAACGTACGTTGCTGATCGTTTCTGATGGAAGAAACAGCATCAACCTCCGAAAATTTCTGTAGGCTACTGTCGGGGTTCAATGGTGCCGTATAGGTCACAAGGTCACCCAAGGGCTCTCACATTCATATCCTGAAAGTCGTGGGATGGGTTGACGTGGCAAGCTTGTTATTCCCGAACAGCTCCAGAACTAAACTAGAGCATAAGAAAACCAACCTACCATTTCGCGACAGTCCGGCCATGTTGCTGCTACGGCGGGCCACTTCCTCCTTAGACCCGAGTCGGACTAGACGGGGCTAAGAGCTTTGGTATAAGCTCAATCCCTGATGTTAGCTCAGGTCACTTGACAACTACTCTGGCAAGTGTCGGGCAAGCCAATTTCATTCATAACGGGTCGATCTCGTTTGTCTGCGTTCTGGGCTGATTGAGGTGTTGGAGCCGATGAACAACGACACCAGGCGACTTTTCAAACGATCAGAGACTCGTTCCTATTCAAGAGCAAAATGGTTGAATCAAAAAACTTTGAGCAGTCACCACCCCTGACGGCTAGCGACTCACCCGACCATGCGAAGCGGTCCAACACACCGGCGCTGCTTGTACGCAGGTCCTCGTTGATGAGCAAGTTTTCCGAATCTGGCTCCTCTGCGTATGTTCTTGACTGGGAAAGCAACAGCTGCAAGCAGCGGCTCCTTAATCATGCCGACGACCTTTTGAGAGAAGCGGTGGGTCGGAGGCGGCTCACGATCGTTCAAGGGCTTCCGTTGGACCTAGTCCAGGTTCTGAGGGACTCATTAGGCGTCAGTCCTAGTTTTCTCGAAGCACATGCGGGGCGGCGGTCGCATCGATCTTCGAGGCAGGATGGCGGCTCGAGCTTCATATCCTTCGAATACCCGGAACTTATCAAGACAGCCCGAGGAAGTTTCGGGCTGGATCCTGGATATAAGCCGTCTGCAAGGCCATCGGATCTAGTAGATGTCATGGATGAAGCCCCCTTCCATATGATGACCAAGGATGGACAAGCGGTTATGTTTTGCCGTGTGTCGTTGTGGATGAGTAGCAAGGCCGATGGTAAGATCACCCCAAGGCCCCTTCATATGTTAATTCTGCTGATATGCCCCTTGTAGTACTGTTTCTCGATCGACCCATATGGAATGATCCTTCTTCACAAGTCAGAATGGCCCGGCGGCCGCTGTCAGTCACCCGCTCGTGGCAGACAAAGATCGACGAGTCGCAAATGGACGGCACTTCCGTGTGGAATGTCCTTATTGCAGAAGGGGACGAGCTCCCGGGACTTGAGGACAGCCTCTTGCGAACGTTCCGGCAATCGAATGTTGCTAGGCAAAGCCTACCCGATATCCTCCATGAAGCAGTCTATGACAAATGGCAGGACTTCTTCGAGACTCTGCCGCCGTACTCCCAGCCAGGTTCTTGTCAGGACTCATCTCTGTACTGGCAAGCAACAGGGTCTCTGGAGCAAAATCTGGACTCAGCCTACGCCCAGGAGTCGCAGCTAACGACCGGTGGCGTACGGCAAACGGATTGGCGCATCCTCCTCGAGCGATTGCAGCGCCGCGTGGCTATCTCGGGGCTCGGGACTTCGACGGTTCCGCAAACGCCTGGATGGCTGCGCACACAACCGACGACAGCGGCATTGCAGACGCGAGACATGAATCTTCCCGAGCAGAACAGTCAGCCGAATCTCGACGACAGCAGCCATTGGTTAGATGAGAAGGAAGCTAATCAACGGGCGCTTGATCGTGTCACCTACTTAGGGGGCATCATACTCCCGTTCACCGTAGTATCGGCCATTCTTTCCATGAACGATGAGTATTCGCCTAATTCGCCGCATTTCTGGGTGTTTTGGGTGGCCTCCGTTGGCGCTGCCATGCTTTGCCTGTCAATCATCTACTTGGACCAACTGCGGTGTCTCCAGGTCTACTTCGAAGTGGCAGCCGCCAAGAAAGTCGAATCAATCATCACGTCCGGTAGGACACATGATGGCGCTGGTGTCGCGCCTATGCCCATAGCGACATCCGGGACTCGCTGGCCGTCGCGGTTGACCGCCCAGATGTTAGTCGACGGACCCGAGCCTGGAATGAACGATATGGAGGTCATGGCCGATTCGGCCGTGAACCCTACAATGCTTGTTCAACAGTGCACGGACGGGTCACAGCCGAAGGCATGGCAGAGGAGGCAGCTTGGCTGGGGCGGCGCGGTGAAGAAGGTCGTCGGGTATTATCGGTGGATGGGCAGCAAGCCAGTGCAGCTGAGTCCGTACGGTGAAGGTTTCCGGATGAAGGCGGTTTAGGTAGTGTCTGGGGGAGGTTCCAATACGAGGTAGTAAGGACCAAACGATGGTGAGTGCAGTGGAAGGTGTTATGGTGAAGAAGGGAAGGGAGGCTGACGTCTGGAGGTCTGAATACCCTGGCCATGCAGACCGGCGTAAGGTCGGGCCCAGGTGCGACGGCATCCGGGACAAAGCGTATACAGTCGTAGAAAACGTCGCAACTGATCAGCCCGATCATTGCTCAGGTCTCTGAGAGAGCAGCCAGTCATCGTTCCTCATCCATGAACAATGCTAACAAACAAAGAGACTGTGTTTGCTACACATGACCAATCAGCTCCGCTAATAGCTAGCACCTTGGCGACTGGGTACGGCTGTTGTTCGTTGGAGATAGATGGGTCGGTAACAGTGTGGTCCAGGGGAGCAGGCAGTAGTCGACTGCAGGCTGGCCTAACCAACAGGTGGGAAGCGAATCATGAGGGTAGAAAGTAGGTACCACTCGTCTACAGCCATGCGGAGAGAAAAAATTAGCCGGTTTGCAGCTTAGCCTCTCAAAAGCGCCTCTTTACAGCGTCGTCGGTCGCCTGCTTTCGAGTGTTGAGGTGAGTGAGTCCGCGGAAGCAAAGCTCCATTTCACCTTGAGTTTGTAGAACTCATGGGCCGGACTTTTACCCATACAGGCCTACCAGAAAATACCAAAAGGTTGTTGGGCCAAGCTTTCTCAGTAAACTAGACGGGAAGGAAGCACCTGCCACTTGCCCCCCTTGTTGCCTCCTTCCACTTCACTTACTTTGGTGACCAACCAGTCCCATATTTCTTTCTCGAATACACCTTGTCTTTCACATTATACAAAGCTCGACAACCAGCTCCGTTTTTTCCCTCTCGTCTCAAGCACATCTCGCCTTTCAGATGACAAGAAGGGTCGGGCAACTCGTTTTAAGAAACGCACTCAGGCTTTTGTCCTATCAAGTCATCAATTGAGTCTCGCTCACTGCCTCCATATCTGGTTCGTTCTGAAAGCATTGTGCTACTTCCGGAATCAACGGTTGTCATGAACACCTCTGCTAAACATTCCTTATAGGCCGGGCAAGCGCCGCAAGCTGAGTTGGCTTTCAGAACCATTCGGCATCGTCAACAGTTCACCATGACCCGGGGCAAGTTCAACAGAGACTTGGATGCAGCCTCCCAGCAAGCCGTTGAGCATATCTCCGGCCTCAGCAAGGGAGAAGATGATGGCCAGGTCCAGTTCGTCTTCTCAGACGATTCTCTGGCTTCGCCTCTTGTTATTCGTCTGATCGCTTTGAACGTGGATGAATACCCGCAAGGTTCCGGTTTCTTGGCTTATACCGATGCCGAGTTACTTCCCAGAGCTGTCTCTAAGCTCCTTGATGATCTTCCCAGCTTAAGTCAAAACAAATCCATTCTTGACACACTGCATCTCATCTCAAGAAGATTGGTCAAAGAACTCGCGTCAGAGAACAGCGACAGCTCCGACGTCGAGATGACCGACGTCGACCTGGACGAAGACCTAGAAACCGAGGTAGCCGATGAAGACGATGAGTACGACTACGAAGACGACTTGATCTTCGGACTTGGCTCCGCCTCCCCCTCGCTCCCGACATCGACCAATGCCCAGCAAGAGCGGCCCAAAGTCACTGGCCGTCTGATTGAAGACCTTCGCAAAGCCAAGGAGGCCGGCTTCAAGATTTCTTTGCTGTCAAATGTTACGGAACAGGACGAGAGCTGCATATTTGCCCTTTCCCTTCCCGTTGCTCATCTTGGTCTCAACGAGGATGCTCTCGAGGCTTGGGAGGTGAACTCCTCAGACTATATTGTGCTTCTATGCAAGTACGATTATAGATATCCTTGCGTGGAGACGTTTATAGATCTTGCGCCTGGTCATCCGGCTACTATGCAATTCCGATTCGGAAAGTGCGCCCGCTTCAAGCCCACTCTCAGCTCAGCTCTTACTGCGCTTAACCCAAGATTCAACAATGCACAAGGAAGCTCAGCGGAAAATGTCCTGACGACCGAAAAGGTCCAGGAAGCAGCCTTCTGCTCCATGCCTATTTCAAACTCGATCGACACTTTCATGAACCAGCAGCTCGCAACGCTGCTCAAGATTCGCTTGGCCCGCACCGTGTCTTGGGACGGCGCTACAGACCTGCTACGGAAGCTGACCAGAGACGCACACCTACGCGATTCAAGATCAGAACTGTACAACACGCCCCCTGGTGTTGACAATGCTGAAGCGCAAGTGTCGACGACAGCTCGTGGTCTTCTCAACAAGGACTACGTGATGCACAATCCCAAGACCACAGGCCCCCTCCCACGAAAGGAACTCAGCGCGCCTCTGATTGCTATGCAGTTCGCCTTGCGTTACTTCGTCAAAAGCACCCAATACTGCCTTGTCTGTCATCAGAAGACTGACTCGGGCCTTGCTGCCCTGAAGCCATACGTGTGCAGCGAGCCCCTTTGCCTCTTTCAGTTCATGGCTCTAGGATTGGGTCCCAGCATTGAGCATGATATCATTGCTCGACCTTATGTGGTTGACCTTCTGGTCAGCTTCTGCGCTGCCGCTTTGCAGGCATCTCGGATTCGTGAGTGGCCGGAAGGCCTGGCTATCAAAGTACCTTTGATGAGCTACCCCTCGACTCAATCCAGACCAGCCGGGTCGTGGGCTGCTACCGGTGCATACCAGCTCGGAGAGCCTTCAGTGCGTCGGCAAATCAACCCTGCTATTCCTGTGACAGCTCAGATTTCGGCCGGCAAACTCAACCTCGACAACACACAAACCATAGTGCTGAAGCCTGGGGATATGATTATTCTGGTCAAATATGCAATGGAGGGCGTCCAGGGTAGCAAGGCCAATGTCCATCATTGCCGCATCAAGAATGTTGACACCAACCTTAACGGCGATGGCAATAGCGGTGGCAGGGTGGTTGAATTCGATTGCATTGTGTCGACTGACAGACAGCCGAACACCACGACGGCAGAACCGTTCAGGAGCGGATCAAAAGCTTCCTCGTCGTCAGCTGGAGAGGCTGACTGCAGGCCTGAGGGAAAGATCGATGACGAAGTTGGTGACGCTGAATTGTTTCTTTACGAACATGACATCGACGATCTCGAACCAGCCTATCAACGTGAGGCTCTGATGCTTCTCGTGCAGACAATTCCCCCCATTAGAACTTTGCGAGATTATCTCAGGAGCCACCAGGGGTCGTTGTTGAGCGAATGCAACAAGATCTCCAGATCCGCTCTTGCGTTACTCCGATGGATCGTTGCCTCAAATAGGTCGTTCATCGTACAGATTGACCAGCCAGCGGACCTCGACATCGGCGGCATCTCAGAGACCGAAAATCGACAACACGAGCGCTTGGTTGGCATGACCGACGACTGGATGCAGTTCCGCTTTGCACAAGGATCTCCCGAAAAGGAGCATCGTTTCAAGGTGGAGTTGGAAAAGCAGGGGAAACATCCTTACCCTACGCTTTTCGGCTGGCACGGCAGCCAGCTTGGAAACTGGCACAGTATCATCAGGAGCGGCCTGGACTTCAAGGACACCCTCCACGGTCGTGCTTACGGCCACGGAGTGTACTTCGCCCGCGACTTCTCGACAAGCCAAGGATACAGCAGGGTTGGCACATCATCTTGGATTGGATCTGAGCTGAAGCTGCACGCCGCTGTCAGCCTTTGTGAGATTATCAACCGTCCGGCTCAATTCACGTCCACTGATCCATTCTATGTGGTTAGCCAAGTCGATTGGATCCAGTGCCGCTACCTCTTGGCCCAACGGATACAGCCAGAACCTCCACAAAATCAGAAGGCCGCTTCTGCTCCGAAGGCTACTTCTGGTCTGGAGCCCGAATACATCTCTCAGGACCCTTCTGGTCAAATCAAAGGGTTGAATAACGGTTCCGTGAAAATCCCAGTAGCTGCACTTCCTACATGGCGTCAAAAACCGGCGCCTTATGATGGGTCTTCGTCTCATGCGATTGTTGTGGCCGATAATTCAGATAGAAACCTTGATGACGAGCCGGATGATCTTGATCTGATGGGACTCCGAGAGAGCCAAGACGAAGCAGATCGTATCATGTTTGTCAAAGGTTCCGACCCTGACAAGATGGACTTCGTTCCGGGTAGTGTTGAGTATGATTCACTACCTCAACTCCCTCTTCCTGGCTGGGCCTCGGACCAAGGAAGGAAATTCCTTGGAAAGGAGCTTAGCAAGTTGCAGAGGTTGCAGGCCAGTACGCCTTTGCACCAGCTCGGCTGGTACATCGATTTCGACAACATCACGAACATGTTTCAGTGGATCGTCGAGCTGCACAGCTTTGAGAAGTCTCTCCCTCTTGCACAGGACATGAAACGCCACGGTGTGTCCAGCGTTGTTCTCGAGATCCGCTTTGGCCGCCAATTCCCACTATCGCCCCCGTTTGTCCGTGTCGTTCGCCCCCGCTTTCTCCCCTTCTCACAGAGAGGCGGCGGACATGTCACGGCTGGCGGTGCCATGTGCATGGAGCTCTTGACAAACAGCGGCTGGAGCCCCGCCAGCAGCATGGAAAGCGTTCTCCTACAGGTGCGCATGGCGATGTGCAACCTCGAGCCTTTTCCGGCACGATTGATGGTTAAAACCACTGGGAGATCATACGACTACGGCGTTAATGAGGCCATCGACGCGTACAAGCGCGCGGCTGCCTCCCACGGCTGGCAGATTCCTCCTGATCTTGACATGACGGCGAATGCGCAGTGAGTAGGGGAGGGGTTCATGGGTGCGGGTCAAGATGTTTTCCCGGTTCAGTACTCAACAACTTACGAGGCCGTCCGTTGACGAGGGAAGCGTCACAATTGGTACCGTTGTCGCCGGCGTCGGAAGCCGCGTGAATCCTCCAGGAGAGAAGCTTGAAGGAGACAGAGATAGAAGGAGAAAAAAAAACGAGGTAGCTCCGGATGCCCTGATGGCAGAGTTAGCAGATGTTCAAGTTCATCCAACACACCTCATGGTCTTAGTTTGCTTGATGCTATATTCCCTAATGCTACGCGATGATGTTGGCAACAAGACTCCTTTTAAAACTGTTGGGATTGCTTCCGGGATAGACGATTGTCCAGGAGCCCCGAACTATACATATTGTAGATGCCAATGTGCCACAGCGAGTTTTATTTGTCATTAAGTAGTGTCTGCCTCTTTACTAAGTAGGAGGCCATGAACCTTAAGATCTGCGAGTCAAGTCAAACCAACAACTTTCAGTTGGCAGGATCCGGGGTTCGGCGGGGTCGTCGGAGGGTGGGACGGAGGGACGGAGGGAATAATTAGCGGGGGACCAATCAGCAAGGCATGATAAACTTTGCCTTCGCAACCTGCGGGTACATACATACATACTTACCTAGGTGCCTAGGTAATACCTAACGATAGTAAACCACCTCCAGCTCCAATGCTGGGGCTCAGAGCTGATACCATGAGCTGCCCGGCGAGAAGGTGGGTGGGCTTTCAAACCCTCTCGGCCTCCCTTTTTGTCACAGCTACATTAACATCATGTCTTTGATCCCGAAACACAGTGACCGTTACCACGAGTTAGGGACGCGACGGTGGGCAAGCGGTATCCATTCCGACTGATACGCGACCAAGACTACCTAGGCCCCACGCCCCATCCAAGGCCTGAGGCACGGCCATTGGTCTCGGCGCAATCCACCCTACCTACCTTCCACTCCACCGACCCTGGACCAACGCTGCAGCTTTCCACTCATAAACCCTCTCTCCCTCTTCCTCTCTCTCACGACGACGCTCTCTGCACTCCCCATTGGACTCGGGCCGCCTTCCAGTCCAAACGGCATTCTCTTTCCCTCATCTCCCTGCCCCAAATGCATCGCGCAGCAGTGAGGGCCTTGCGGACAACCTACCGATGTACGGCTCGTAGCTTCGCACGCAACACCCAACGGGGCCTCTTCGAACATAGCCTCTCCACCACCTCTTCCTTCGCGACCCGCCACGGCCTGCGATACTCGTCCTCCTCCCCGAACCAGCCTCGCAACAACCCCGAGCATGCTGTCCAGCCGCTAAAGTCCTCCATGTACATCCGCCGCTTCTCCGTCGCTCTCGTGTCCACCCTCGTCGGCTACGGCGCCTGGTACTCGTACAACGGTACCGGTCTCGACAAGTCCCAAAGCTTGTCAAGAAGCTTCACCACTGGCGCCGCCGCCGGCGGTGATGCTGCCCCGACCCGTGCTGTCCTCGTCGTCGGCGCCGACCAGCTACACACCGGAACCTTCGTCGGAGAGGGTCCCATCTCCAAGACCACCAGTGACGACGGCCGCAAGGTCATCGAGATGTTGACCCCCGAGCAGGTCACCCAGAAGCTCCGCAAGACGGAGCAGTCCTTCCTCGTCAACAGGGGCCAGGGAGTCCTGCGTTACGACCTGGTCCAGCTCCCCAGTAACGACCCCATCGAGGACGACCACGCCGAGAAGATTGTCGAGGTCCCCAACAAGGCCGCCGGCGTCACGGGCAACAGCAGCGACTGGATGTTCTGGGGCGTCTTTGATGGTCATGCGTGAGTTGTTGTTGGGATGTCAGCCCGCTTGAAACCCCGAACTAACACGTAACAGCGGCTGGACGACCTCGGCGAAGCTGCGCCAGGCTCTGATCACCTCCGTTGCCAAGGAGCTCAACAACACGTACCAGTCCTCTGCTGATCTGTCACCGCCGGCTGAGGCCATCGATACTGCCATCAAGTCCGGTTTCACTCGCCTGGACGATGAGATTGTTAACCAGAGCGTCGAGAGGGTCCTTAAGGCCGGCTCTAAGACTATGGCCGCGGAGCTTCTTGCCCCCGCCCTGTCTGGCTCCTGTGCCCTACTGTCTTTCTACGACAGCAGATCCAAGCTTCTGCGCGTTGCCTGCACCGGCGACTCGCGCGCTGTCCTCGGCCGCCGATCGGCGTCGGGCAAGTGGACTGCTACCGCTCTATCGGTGGATCAGACGGGTGGCAACCCCGACGAGGCCGCCCGCCTGCGCAAGCTCCACCCTGGCGAGGACAGAGTCGTGCACAACGGCCGAGTGCTTGGCGGGTTGGAACCGACCCGTGCCTTCGGCGACGCGAGCTACAAGTGGAGCCGTGAGATCACTAACAGACTCCGGGAATCTTTCTTCGCCCGCTCCGCATCCCCTCTGCTCAAGACTCCCCCCTACGTCACGGCCGAGCCGGTCGTCACGACAACCAAGATTGAGCCTGAGAATGGAGATTTTGTGGTCATGGCCACCGACGGCCTGTGGGAGATGCTGACCAACGAAGAGGTCGTTGGTCTCGTCGGGAAATGGATTGAGAGCCAGGCCAGCAGCTCTTCGCAGTTCGACTCGACCTGGTCCAAGCTCTTTGGATCCAAGCAATCCACCCTGCCCGTCGAGCAGGCGAGTGACAAGAGCGCTGACGGCCAAAAGACGCCTATCCGTCTGCAGCAGTGGGGCATATCCCCCGACGCCCCCGAGCGGTTCGTTGTCAAGGACAAGAACGTGGCCACGCACCTGGTCCGTAACGCCCTCGGTGGCAAGAACGAAGAGCAGGTCTCGGCTCTGCTGACTCTGCCGTCTCCGTTCTCGAGACGATACAGGTGAGTCAGGCCACAGATGGAAACCACTGACATGAATCACGAAGCTGAAACGAAACGAAACAGGGACGACTTGACGGTGCAGGTAATCTTCTTCGGCAACGGCGAGAAGACTGGCCAGGTCAATCTGAACGAGGAGGCCACGGCACCGTCTAAGCAGCAGCCCGCGAAAGCGAAGCTTTAGGGTATCATTGCCGCTTTTCGTATTGTCGGGACTATCACTGGCCAATGGCTCTCTGCAGCGACAGCGTTAGCCCTCGTGTGTTTATTGGTGTATATCAAACGGTTGGCCGCGTCAAGGTGGTCTGGAAGGGGGGTGAAGGAACCCCGCATATCCTCCTGAGATGAAGGTGCTGGCTGGATCTGGAAAGCGAATAACAGAAAATATGCCTCGGACTGGGGCAAATGCTCAGATAAACTCATGTTTATTTTATTGTACAAGCAAGCTGCTTAGCGATCAAGAAACGAACGAACCCCGAACACCCTTGCTTTGATGAGACCCCCCAACCCCCTCCCGTTGGCATGACTACGTCTTGAGAGAAGGATGTGGGTGAGGCAACAGGGAGAGGCATGCATCCCAACCAACCCTGACCGTACAGCATGACCAGAGAAAAGAAAAGAAAGAGAAAAGTGGAAAAAAAAGGCCTCACAGGGTTCTGTAGCGACTAGCGCGCGTACAACGCGCATTTCCTCTCTTGTCTTCTCTTCTCAAGCTTTTTATATTTCTTTGATTGCTAAGGACGGCAGTGTGTTTTTGACAGAAACCAAAATGTTTCGACACCGTAAACCTCCACCCCACGCAAAGAGGTTTTCCGTTGTTTTCTCAGTCACCCAACGGTCCACCAAAAAGCGCTCGCATACAGGGTCCAATCCTAATGAAATCCCCTCTGCCCGCCCGGCCCTCACTACCTCTGCGCTTGTCTCGTCCACCCCTCCTTTCTGTTCGTCTCTTTGTAATAATAGAATCGAGAAGAACGAACATAAACCAGTTCCCCAAACTCAAAAACGCCTGAGGTTCCCCTAAAAAAATATAAAAAAAGGCAAAAGAAAACAAGGGCAACAAATCCGAGATAAGACGACAGTAAACAACAAGAAACTCCCAATGATGAAGGCACAGGTACCATATGCTGCTGGCTGATCTTTTTTTTTTCGTGAGAATCCCAACTCAGTAGGGAACCGTTAGTTACGGGTTGGGTAACAAAGGCGCTCGTGGATTTCGATCGTTCGCTTTCTTCATCCTCTCCTCCTTCTTCTTCTCCATCTTCTTTGCCTGCCTCTCGTAGTCTCGTATTCCTTCCAATTTCGTCGCTTGTAAATGATAGTCCATGACTGTAGGCGACGTCGGTCCACATGCCTAGTTCTTACACTCTGACGATAACCGTCATCTCTTTGCGAACAACCCTTATGGCAAACCGAATTGACCACTGGCCACGGACTTCGGATCACCAATCACCCGCCGCCAAGGGTCACGAATGTTGGCCATTCTGATGTGAATTGTGCTGGTCATCGTCGTCCCCGTCATGGTGCAGGGTGACGCTGTTGAATTCCTCAAAAGGATCCACCGCAGCCTCGCCGCCAGGAGTCGCCAGCCCGCTATCCAGGGGAACCCCCTTCAGGTTGCCCTGCATCGGGTGAGAGCCACTGAGATCTATACTCTCGCTTTCTTTAACGTTGCGGAAGTTGACGGTATCGATGCCGCGTCCCGTGACAGGAACAATCGGCGGCTTCATGTGGCGGATCAAGGCCCACTGGGTTGTCTTGAAGAAGGGATGCGCTTTGATATCCGAAGCGCCAGCCTTGGCGCCTAACCTCCGGTTCTCGTCCTTGATGAGAAGCTTGCGAATCAAGGATTTGCAGAGACTGGAATTATTTAGTTTAATTGCTCGACTGGTTGGAATGCAGACCTTACTTGGATAATTGCGGCGCCCCGGCATGGTCGGGGAAAGGAATGTCTTCTCTCAGGATATTCGCAAAGGTCGCGTTCCGGTTCTTGCCCTTGAAAGGAGTAGTGCCGTAGAGCATCTCGTAGATCAAGATACCCAGGGTCCACCAGTCCACCGCACTAGTGTGGCCGCTACCCTTAATGACCTCTGGTGCGATGTACTCTTCTGTTCCGACGAACGAATTGGTGCGGAAATTTGCGATACATGATCGGGTGTCGATGTGCAACGACGTGGTGCTGGTGCCCGTCTTGCCGACGACCATGGTGGGCTTTCCACCGAGATCGGACTGCTTAGACAAGTCAAAGTCGGAAAGCATGATGTGGCCCGATTGGTGGAGCAGGATGTCTGCACAATACGTCAGCATGCAATTAATTTGTAGGCAGGTAAATAATGGCCTGGCAAACTCACTCTCCGGCTTCAAGTCGCGGTAGATGAAGCCCATCAAATGCAGATATTCCAAGGCCGCAGTGACCTCGGCGGCGTAGAACCGCGCATCATCCTCGGGGATGCACTTGCCGGGGCGAGTCTGCAGCGCTCGGAAAAACTCTCCACCAATGCAGTATTCCATGCACAAGTACAGATAGTCCTCGGACTGGAATGAATGGTATAGCGTAACGATGAAGGGATGATTACTCGTAGCCAGGATTTCCTGCTCGGCGAGGGCACGCTTGATTTTATTCCGCTTGATCATCTCCTTTTTGCTCAGCACTATATCAAGTCAATGAGTGCCAGGTCGGAGACGTCAGCAGGTGAAAAGGCGGGAATCGGTCGTACCTTTCATGGCGTAGAGCCGGCTGCTCTTCTTCTCGCGGACCAGATAGACCTTGCCAACATCTCCCTTGCCGATCAACTTGATCTTGTCGAAGCTTTGGGGGCCAACCTCGACGTCGCGAACCTTGATCGAATTGGAACTGTACGTCCTCCGGAAGGCAGGGTTGCGATTCGGGGGCGGCAGGTTACCGAGGACGTCCTGGTCGGGGACGCCTAGGCTAGAGGTGGAAGAACCGTTGACCTTGGAAGCGTCGACCATTTCGAGGGTGCCCGAGTTGTTGTCGAGGACCAAAGGATCCTTGCTCAACTCTGCGGTGGCGGGGCGCTCGGCGCTGCCCTTTCCCTTGGAGAACAAGCCCTGGGCATTGGGTGCGCTGGCGACTCTCCTAAGTTTCCGCGCCAGTTCCTCCCTGCCGGCACTCGTTGTCTGCTGCTCGGGGCCACCGTCGGGGCCCTGGATCTTGAAGTTGGGGGTATCTGGAGGACTTGGGGGGACCGACTCGTTGTTGTGGTGGCGGAGACCTGGCTGGCCCTGGTGAATAAAGTAGGGGTTCGCGTGTGCGGTCGGACTCAGAGCCTCGTCGAGAGGGTTGCCTTCGCTAGCGGTGGTATTCGTCCTCAATCGGCCGACGGTGCCTTTGAAGAAGCTGCTACCGAACTTGCTCCGGATCTCTGGGCGGGCGGGAGATGCATCTGCGGAGGTTTGAATGTGGGCGGTGGAGGACTTCTCCCGGTCTCGGTCAGCGCCGCTGTTAAGGTTGATGCGGAAGAGGTTCTTCAGCTTCTGATTAAACTGGGCGGCGCCATTCTGGTGGGTTCGGCTGGCAGGCATATCGGAATCTCGGGGGTGCGCGATCAAGCGACCGATGCCATGGCTGACTGGGCAATTGCGGGAGAAGCGAAGGGGAGGGGGCCGGCCGACGGGATCGGAAGGGCGGAGAGCAATTTGAGAGTGAGTGGCAGCAGGCTAGACGCAAGGTGAAAGTGTAGGTTGAGACGAGAGGAACGTGGGCCTGGATGCGTAGTGTAATGTAAGTAGCGTGACAGAAAATGGACAAAAAAAAAAAACCAAGAGGTAGGTCAGGAGAGAGGCAAGTAGGCAAATAGGCAGATAGGCAGGTAGGTAGGTAGGTAGGTAGGTAGGTAGGTGACAGAGGCATGGAACGGGACGGTAAGGTAGGTAGGTGAGGTGAGGCGAGTGTCGAAGCCGAGTTAGTAATGTGGGCGGACGGGCGGGCATAGGCGGCTTCTCGGATGGCCTCGACACCTTCCCATACTCCCCGCTCGTTGGTTCGATGGCGGCGGGCATGGGTGTGGGCATGGGCGTGGGTTCGCTCACTGCACCGGTGGTGGTGGTTGCCACCCGTGGTGGTCTCGTCTACCTAGGCCCCATTGGGGGTCGCTGGGTTTCGCTCTTTCTCTCGCCTCCGGCCCACCTTTCCCTTCCATCATCCGCCCATCCAGTAAGTGGTCAGTGGCTCTCGGGCAGTGCAAGAGAGGAGGATCCCAGTCTAGGACGGTAGTGTAGGACCGTAGCCGGCAGGAAACACGCGCATCCTCCCGGGGAATGGGACGACCACTGTGTGTGCGACGTGCCACTGGGAAAGGAAGGGGAAGGGGGCGGCGGCGGGCAGACACACCCAGAATGGGACGCGTCGGTTTCTTTGGACAGGGATTGTCCGGTTCAGGTTCAGGCGGCCTATAGTAGGTTCCAGTACCTAGGCAGGTAGGCTGGTACCTACCTACACTACAGTAAGGTCTGGCGGCGTGGGCTTGGCTGGCTGGCTTGGCTGGCTGGCTGGCTGACTGACCGGTTCTTGCCATTGGTGCTATTTTTGCCGGACTTTTCCCACTCCTCCCTCCCATCGGAAAGTCCCTTGAAAGACGGATGGATGGATGCTCGATTACGATCCCCAATTGCGTATTTTGCTCTGAAGGGTTCTTTGCGTAATGTACGGAGTACCTAGACAGGTACCAGCATAGCTACCTACTACCCGGCTGGTAGCTTTGTGGTATCCCTCCCTCGCATCTATCTGCAATGCATTTCACTGGTCTCATCTAACCCCCTCAATTCCCCAACTCTATCTCTAGCGCAAGCTGAAATCATTAATGTCTACCTATTGCCTCACTCGCAATCTTGTTCCTGGAAATGTTCGTGTTCCGGTACGTGCTCGCTCGTGCAACCACATCTTCCCTCGACGTCCATAGCACAAGAGAGAGGGGCGACGGGAATACTGCAACAAGTTAGTTACAACACGACCCCCAACCCAGAGCCTTGGTTGGTGCTGAGCACAGGCCCCCCTGCACCGCCGCCAAATATACAAAAGACGGCTGCCCGGGCTGGTAATACGAGCCTCACCTGGCCAGCTGCGTGCCAAAGCACGGCGCCTGCGGCCTACCTAGCATCACAAGAAAAAAAAAACATTGAGGTTAACAACCCTTGCTGCTGGCTGGTCATCATATACCGGGGGTGTGTGTGTGTGTTTTCGCCCCCTGCCCTTGAAGAGAGAGATAGAGAGAGGAGAGGCTTGCTCGCGCAAAACACCCCAACGAAAAGCAGGAAATCATCAGATGGGTATGCAAAATAAAGCACAGATCCCGAAGCACATAAATCCTTTGCTAGTTGGTAGGTCATTCCACGCCGATCGATTAGGAAGCTTTGGGCTTGACTCTCCTCTCTCAAACATGCACACTCGGTGCGCGACGCCATTACAAATGGTGTACGGGTATCCGTACTCTCGTACCCAATACCTACATGGCTACCTACCCGTGTATCCGTACGTACGCCGTGTAATCCCCGCACTAGCACCACCAAACTAGGTACTGCGATGCTGGCGGCGGGCGATTCCCTCCCCTTTAATCGGTCCATTTCAGCCATCCACACCATTGAGAACGTGCCAGTGCCAGTGCCAGTGCCAGTACGCTGTAATTCCTAGACAAGACAAGCCCGTCCGCGTCCTGGCCAACAAAGACACGGATCGAAAAGGTCAGAAGGGAGGGGGGAAGGGGGGGGACAAAACCCGCGTGCACGCGGCCCCTCCATTGCCCAGGCAGTTTAGCTGTTGTCCGCTTTCCCACGAATGATTCGCCTCCATCGCCCACATCTACTATGTAGGTCCCGTCGGCCGCCAGTGATGGACAGTAGTTTACCTATGTACGCCGCATTGGAAGCATTCTAGAACTCGGTCTTCGCGCCCTTTTGCCTTGCTCCTTTACTTTCCAACTGTCTGTTTTGGTTGGCCCGATTGCCTGACAACACCTCCCATGTTATGAAACTCCGTGGCAGCCGTTGGAGCAGCCTGTTCCCACAGCTCTGCGGACGCGAGAGAGAGAGAGAGGGCTGCTGGGACATGTTTCTTCCTGAGCACCGGCCCCTCCCTGGATACTGAGGTGTCAACTCCACTCGCCATTCTCATGCAACTCCCCCACAAAACAACCACATCCCCGCCTATGATGTAAGACGGGAATGCAGCCAAAACTCCCTTCCCCCATAACAGCCAGAACAGCCAATCCAGTGAAGCGAGAGTCGCAACGCCAAGCCCGTCCCCTTTGTAACGACTGTGCTCCAACACAGCCAGAGACCCTCCGGCTTTTCCGCTACCCTTCATACTGATATCCCGACAGCCCATCTGTGGTTGTCTGGGGAAGTGGGAAGCCGCTCAACGGCATCTCCCTGCGGCCGAGCCAGTGAGCAATAGCCCCAGGGGCTATTCACAGCGGGACCCTTCACCCTCTGTTATCCCTAGGGAGGCGCAGTCCAGTTGCGTCATCTCTCTTCCGTCGTCTCCTCCGTCCCGTTGTCTTCTCCCTCACTTGTCATATTCTGATCTCGTAGGAGCAAAAGGTTCTTGAGCCTCCGTCTGTTGTTGCGCCACGTGTAAAAGTCTTCCTCCTTCTGATCTCGTATAGACGGTGTGACCTGATGGCCCGCCTTGTCGAAAAGATAGCCTGGGAGCTCGGTCCCGTTATCGGGCACGTATCGCTTGAATGACACCTGTGGCCCGTCCCCTACCTGCCAGGCGATTGGAGCCATATGTAGATCCTCCAAGTGAGTCTTGAGGTGCGCAGATGTGGAGAATATGCGAGCCGGCTGCTGCTCGGCACATCGGGCCCATTGACACGCAAACGGTTCGGCTCTCGCATGGACCACGAGGACATGCTTCCGCAGTGTTGCAAAGTTGTGCAGCTCGGCTCTGCACCCCTTCCACTCGCAGATGAAGACGTTGAAGTGTGGGTTCAGTCCCTCGTAGATGGTTCTTGGCTGCGGCGATGGTGCCTTTGGGGGACGCCCTCGTCTTCTGCCTGCGTACAGAGCACCGGTCTTGGGCCTGTCCGGCCGCAAATTTCTCGGCCCCGTTGCCGGAGGCTCATCCTGCAAAGTCTTTGTGCCCGGCCGGTTTGGTCGGAAGCCTTTTGGCCGGCCACGTTTCCGAGGCTGCGGCGGAAGAGGACCTGTCCCAGGCGAGGCTACATCTAGCTCGTCCGGAGTGAAGATTGGTAAAGCCGGCTTGGCAAGGCTCACATCCGATGCGGCTTGCGCTGCCAATTTTCTGAACTGGGGGGAGACGCCCGAGGTCATCAAGTCATCCGCATCGTCCTCTACCGTCCTCCCAAGAGCTGCTTCTGATTGCTTGCTCGGGCTTAAATTGAGAACGACCTCAAACGAAGGACGCGGGGCCGGCTGGGCAGTCGATGTCCTCCTCGGTGGAACCAACGGCGGCAAAGCTGATGGCAGGCTCCTGCCGCCAGACTGGCTGAGGAACATATCGAGGGTACGTTGACGTGGCAGGGGCGGGTTTCCCAGGCCCGTTGGAGCCGAGCCCGCCTGCGGTTCTGTTGGTATTGGCGGGGGCATAGTAGAAGCTCTCGTGAGAAGTACCGTAGAGGTAAATGCAAGATTCGTTCACTGAGGTGTTGTCCCGGGTTGGTTTAAGTTGAGGTTAACGAACCTACCTTAGTACCTAGGTAGCTAAGGACGCGTCGATACGCCAGAGACGCGATCGATTGAATCGGCAATAAGCGGGGCAGGCCACCCTGGCTGGGGCGGTTTCCAGCTCTTGCTCTCTGTTCATCAAACCTCCTGCAGAGACATGTCCATCAACACACAATCTAGGTGAGGTGGTCAACCGTTGCACCAGGGACCTCTAAGTGATGTGCAATTTAATGGGCCTCAAGGTGTTGCGCCCAACCGTCTGTGCATCTTCAGCATGACTTTAGCACACTGCACAGCCATATTCCGCATCTCAGTGTCATACTGTGGTAACCACTTTCGAGACGCAACCGTGATTTTAATACAGCGCCATGTCACCTATGGACGCACCTCATCCCTTCTGTCGGATCACGTCGGAGGCCTTCAATAGAGCAGCTAGGGAAAGATTATTAATCGAGCAGCCGGGGAGACATTATTACAGTCTGTTGCGTTAGCAGCGTCCAAAACCTAAAAACGTCTGTGCACCTATGTTCCCTTTGAAATATTAAGACCAGCTCTAGCTTATTAATTCTAAAATAAATATTATAAAGACCTTTATATATTAAAGTATATATATACTTAGTCTTTACTTCCTTGTATCTTTGTTGATAGAGATATATGCTTTAATACCTTTACGTTGCGTTGGTAGTGTCCAGACACTGTCAACGAAACTGTTGCACTGACAGTGACCTAGCCAATCAGAGGCCTATAAAACTCCCCACTCCTAGCCTCTGATTGGCTAGAACTGGACGCTGCCAATACAACAGACGCTGTCAACGCAACGGACTGTAATCGAGCATCCCGTTCGGCCCTCTGCAAATGCCGTCATTGGTCCGACCGATGATCTAATATCACGGACCGTGCCGACTACATGCAAGCATCTCATAAATACAAAGCTTCCTGTTCCCTATCTCACACAGAGATACTTATCTACCGCTTCTACGATTCTTGATCACCCTCTCTTACATTGCGACGTGCCTTCTTTTCAATTGCAACTACCAATCATGGCTTCCAAGTCCTTCTACGCTATCATATCCGGAGTCGGCCCCGGAACAGGTCAGAGCAGCGCCTCACCACAGTAACTGTGTATCGGTGTGCAACCGGAGCTAATTAAATAACAGGCCGCGCGACAGCCCTCCGCTTTGCTCAAGCATACCCCGTTGTCTTGCTTGCTCGCAAGCCAGAGAGCTACAGCTCCATCGTCGCCGAGATCAAGGAAGCTGGGGGGCAAGCTTTCGGCCTCACCGCTGACGCTACGGATGAGGCTGCCGTCAATGCCGCCTTCGAATCCATCAAGAAGGTCCTTCCCGGAAGCAAGCTCGCCGCTGCAGTATACAACGTCGCCGGCGGCTTCGCTAGGAAGCCATTCCTTGAGCTCAAGAGGGAAGAACTAGATGCTAGTCTCGATGCAGCACCGTACGTAGAGTAGACTGCGTACCGAACTGGCGACAACTACTGACACGCAGCCGCAGAAAGGGATTCTTCACATTTGCGCAAAAGACACTACCCCTTCTACTCGAGTCGGTGTCGGAGTCGCCTCACCCGCCGTCTCTGATCATCACAGGAGCCACGGCGTCCGTCAAGGGTTCTGCCTTGTTCGGTTCATTCGCTGCGGGCAAATTTGCTCTCCGTGCTCTGGGCCAGAGTCTAGCCCGCGAGTTCGGCCCCAAGGGTGTTCATGTATCGCACGCAATCATTGACGGAGTGATTGAGATGCCTAGGACCAAGGGATTTACCGTTAACGATGGTGCCGAAGACGGCAAAATCTCCCCAGACGCCGTAAGTTCATGGCATTCCCTATACAGAAGACCCGTGCTGACTGGTTCATCGAGATTGCGGAGACCTACTGGCACCTGCATACGCAACACCGATCCGCTTTCACTCAGGAAATTGACATCAGGCCCTATGTAGAGAAATACTGAGCGAGAAGGTCTGTTCATGGCTCAAAGAGTCGAGTCCGGGGGTCCACGTCATGGATATGGAACAGTCGCCAACTTAAGGTATGGCATGTCTAGATAGTCAGAGACCCTCAATGATATCCTAGTGGTAGCCTCACATATATCCATCCTCGGATCGTAGTGTGCACGTCGCGAACGTAGTCATACTTCATTGATCTTAGGGTGAGAGTAGACGAATCCGCCATCGTGGCTTGGCGTGGCATCCACACGGCCGCCGGATGAACCTGGTCATGCAGGTGCTCGGAATCGGCCTATTTCGTGGCGGCGCTCGCGGCCTCGGGCGTGTACAGGAAGGTTGCTTGACCGTTAGCAAATTCAAGATCCTGACGCCCCGGCAGCTGCCGTGTCCGGTACCACCGGCGGAAGCGTGCCACCGTTGAGAGCCAGTAAACGCTCCTCTTCCCTCTTGTCGCGGAGAGCCTGAGTCTCGGCCCGCAGCTTCTCCAAGTTCCAAACTCCGTCGTCGTCGTCTTCGTCTTCTTCGTCTTCGTCCTCTGCTGTCCGCCAGTTGCCACTTTCGAACAGGGCACGACCAGTTGCTTCCTTGGCTTTCTTGGCCTGTTCCTCGGCGGCCTTTTTGTCCAAACGATCCTTCTTCCACTTGGCGAATGTCTCTGGCGTGACTGGTGTGAGGGTTCCAGTGAGTTTGTGTCGTTCAGACTCGAGGAAGTCTTCGAGGGTGAGAGTCTTGAGGGGAGACTTGTCCATCAAGGCCTTCTCGGCAGCCCGCTGCTCCTTGGTCTTCAGGATGAATCTACAACCGTGTTAGTCTTCGAGTTTATCACCGGGCCGGAATCGACTTACCCAGGGGGCAGGGCGTGCTTGTATTTGCACTTGTCACCTCCGTTTGGACAGATCCAGAACCATCCGTATTTGCCATCCTCGATGGCTTCGACAAAGAACTTGCAAACTTTGTCTGTAGTAGTCTGTTGGTTGCCCTTCTTGGAAAGGACGACGGAACGGAGCTTCTCCTCGTCCCAGTCTGCAGATGTCTCGGCCTTCTTCTTCTCCTCCTCTTCCTTGCGGGTGTCCGTGTACAAGTTCTTTTTTACCGTCTTTCGTTCGTCCTCGAGGTTGTGGGAGAACTTGCACTTCTTGCCTTTCTCACAGTTGCCCTTCTTGAAGAAAATGCAGACAACAGTCTTGGGATCAACGCCGAAAGGTACCTTTTGGATCTGAGCGGGCTTGTTCAAGAGCATCTCAGTTTCCCTCTTGGCATCTTCTGCCGCCTTCTTCTCTCTCTCCCTTTGTGCCTTCTCTGCCTCTTTGCGCTTCTGCTCGGCGCTACCGCCGTTCTTCATCGATGAGTGCAACTGAGCAATCTGCTTCTGAGCTGCACCGCCCTTCTTGTTCTTCATACCAAAGGTCTTGTCCTCGAGAGCCTTGCCGGCGGCCGGCTTCTTGGCGCCCTTGTCATTCTTCTTGGGAGGCATCTTGGCGGGGTAATCGGTGTACGACGAAGGAAAAGACGATGTGTTGAAGCTATTAACTTCCGAAACGAGATGATGGCCGCTTCGACTGGGTTCTGTCTAGGCTGTGTTGTTCTGGGGGTTGACAGCGGTCGGGGGTAACGGGGTTCCACGGAGGTCGACGCAATATAAAAAGTCGGCACTGGGTGCAAGAAGAGTGGGAGGCGTGGATGAAGTCAGAAGTTCAAGGCACGGTGGGCGGGTCACGTGAAGGGCTGGCATTGGTGGGGGCGGAGCGTCAGCGCAGGCAGAGTTGACCAGGGTCACGGCAACTGAAATGGAGGACCAGCAAGTCACTCCAGCGGCCGGCCGAAAGCTCCAGTGTGGTCTAGTTGTCCGTTTGGCTCAACACCACCGTCCTCATCTCAAGCTCCATGTGCGCCGCCCAGACAAATTCAAGTGCACTAACCTATCGTTCCACTTCTTGTTCCTGACTTGTGGACTCAGCATTGGGAGAACGTAAGTCGTTATTCTTACGGATTGTTCTAAGGTCTACTTTGCAAAGTAAAGAAAGCTTACACTACCGCAGACAATCCCGTAAACTTTCTACCTACCACGACGCCTACTCCGATTACTATTGCACAGATAGTCCTAAGCCCATCATGATATCCGACAACGATCTCTACCGCCTTGCGATTTTCCTTGGCTCCGCCGCTATGGTTCTGATCATTCTTTACCACTACGTCGAAGTCAACAGAGAAGAGGAGCAGCCCGCGAAGCCTGTCCAGCCTGCCAAGTCCGCAAAGGCTGTGTCTTAGAGGCCCGCGCCTGCGTGGGATTAAGTCTAACATGGTCAAGATGGACCATTTGTACTATAACTGGCGAGGAAGGCAAAAGTGAGCGTTTGCGATAACTATGACGGCGATGCCTCGGCGTGGGCGACACAAGACTCCGATCGACAGCGGAAGAGACAGGAGGCGAGGGACACAACGATAGGCACTTGCCGCAGCTCAGCACCGCGCGTAAATAAGAACAAGGACAACAATGTAACGCTGTTTTGACTTGCGACGAAAGCAGCAGATACTTGGAAGGGGCCGCCAGGCTCCCCTTCAAGATACACAATTGAAACACGCAAGCACTGCATAATGAACGTGATTCTTCTTGAGAAGTCGTGCGCCAGGCAACACCCAGGTTTGCACTAGATATGGGGTTCAGATACCAAGTGCTGCAAAGGCATGCGAAGATAACCTCTCTCCGCAGGGTCAGGCTAACTAGGTCGGATTGCTAGCTCTGGAACAGAAGGAAGTCCTACGGTAATGCTAGCACCTCTTGAGCCACTGGCTTTGCTAAGTTGCAGGCAGCTTCATGTTTGTTCTCACATAGTACTTCATGATTGCTGTGGCTTTCCTTGTCCTCATGATCTTCCCTTGCTGACATGTTGGTCAAGGGTCCGCGGCTTTGCCAAAGCATAAGACGCCCTGTAGCACCTGCGTCTTTCCGGCTCATTGATAGTCGTATCGCTTAGATTCGCCGTCCTGTATGCGATGCATCTTCGCCTCTAGTGCTGCTACCGTCCTGCCCGTTTGTTTTGCACTTGCTACCAGATAGCCAGATATCTTCGAGAAGGAAGCTGACGGATGCAGAAGTCAAAAGTGAAGCGAACGTCCCTGAATCGGGAACCGAACAACAGGATGGCAGCCAGGGGATGATGTGTGGCTGAGGAGGCAGCAGCAGCTCAAGTAGACCCCTGTCGCACTTCCCGAAACGGACTAGCTTACCTTGCTCGCCGCCCAAGGACCGGAGTCCTCACCTTTTAGGCCCCTCTTGTTTTGGTCAGGCGCGCCCGCAGCCTGCCGCTTCCCCCAGGGTCAGACGCTTCCGCTGGCAAAACTGACCTTCTCCTTTCCCTTTTCGCCTTTCCCCTTCCTTTCGTAACCTTTCTCCTCCCACCCCCAGGCAAACCTCAAAACCCTAGCTTTACAAGACCCCTCGACCTCAAGACCGCGCTCTCTTTCTCTTGCTGCATTATCTGTGCAGCCTCTGTATTCTCTCTTACTTTCTTCTTCAACCGACCACTTCGCACACGACCTCCGTCGTCGCGCAAATCATCAACGCGTCGACCTCTGATTCTTCGCCTTATCACATCTTCATCTCGGATCGCGCTCTTGGCCCGAACCATAGTAGGAAGGAGCCATCGACCTAGCTGTTACTCCATCGCAGCATCTTTTTTTGTTTACCATAAATATCACCAAAACAACCCAGCCGGCCACCCCGAAATCCACATTCATCATGTCTGCCAAGCTCAACCAGTCTCTTGACGAGATTCTCTCCACCCAGCGCCGCTCTGCCGGCGGTCGCCGTTCTCAGCGACGATCCACTGGCGGTCGCCCAGCTGCCGCAGCTCCAGTCGGCGGTGTTCAGAAGACATCAAAGCCTGCGCGTGCCTCCGCAAACAAGCCTAATGCCGCCAAGCCCGCGCAAGGCACCGGTGACAGCAAGGTCATCGTGAGCAACCTGGTAAGATCCTCTTCTTGCGTCTGGAATTCAGACAAGACTAACGCGTTCAAAGCCCAAGGATGTCAACGAGCAACAGATCAAGGTATGTTGCCGATAAGGCTCTTCAGCCCTCGGACTTTGTTCGACATGTTATTTCTCGCCCGTCCTCCTTCCCAACCGGCGTCGTAGCGAGAGGAAACCCTGCGTGGCCATTGCCACCTGCCAACTGGAATTTGCCAAGACGCCGCAAGACTCCTTCCTGAAACCTGCGGTCCTGAAATACGGTGCAGAAACCACTGGAAGTTGAGCACGCCCCTGTCGCGCAACCACATTATCCTCTCGAGTAGCCTGGTCAGCACACGAGCAGAGTGGTACCGCCGACTGAGAAACGGGGCGTTGGCTGTCTATGACGCACATTCACATCAGCTTGGTCTGATGCTGCCCGTTAAACATGGCAATGCGATATGAAGCCCTTTCCAGCGAGCACAGCAGTGAGCATCGGCGCAGTACAGGCTAGGACGGCTTCGATATTCGGCTTGATTGCTTTCGATATGCCAACCTACGAACAGTTGGATTGCGCATCGCTGGGATCTGAGGCTCCCACACAGACGGTCTTGATGCCTGAAAACGGTCTTTGCCGCGGTTCTACGGCTATCTGGTTCGAGATTTGCCTTCAGCAGCTGTTACGACTTGGGGTGATACCCTCCGAAGTGATAGCGACTGAGCATGAGACAATCCAATACGCTGTTTCCCGGGGGATATACGCTGACACGCGTACTAACGCTCACTGCTCTGCTCGCTGCTTCGTTCATCGTGCTCTCGACCATACTTGGATTCCTCGATTTCTTGCCCTAGTGCGGCGCGGTTTCGGACGACGATTGTGAATAAACATCAGCGCTTGCGGATAACTAACATCGGTTCCCCTCAGGAGTACTTCGTCACGTCAGTTGGACCTATCAAGAGAGTGGAAATCTCCTACGGACCCAACTCTGTCAGTCGCGGAATCGCCAACATTACTTTCCGCGAGCCGGACGGCGCTAGCAAGGCCTTCCAGAAGCTGAACGGTCTTCTCGTCGACAACCGCCCTATCAAGGTACGACAGCATCACTGTTGTTTCCGAATTAAATCTAACTCGATGCAGATTGAGATTGTCGTCGGTGCTTCTCAAGCAGCCAACGTCATCCCGCCCACGAAGTCGCTTGCTGAGCGCACCACGTAAGTGACACCCTAGCGGACGATCAGGCGCAATCTAACTAGTCAGCAGTCAGCCCAAGGCTCAACCCAAGTCCGCTGCCAACAACAAGCGCAACACCACCAACGCTGCCAACAAGGGTGCTGCTGCCCCTGGCGCTCGTGGCAAGAAGCCGGAACGCCGTGCACGCACCGGCCGCCCTGCGAAGAAGACAGCGGAGGAGTTGGACTCGGAGATGGCTGACTACTTCGAGTCCGGCACCAACGCCGCCGGGGAGAACGCTGCTCCCGCTGCTGCGGCTCCGGCTGCGGCCAACGGCGATGCCCCTATGGAAGACGAAATCATGTAAAGACAAGGCGGTTTGGCTTGATCTTGGATTCACCAATGGAAGGGCATGATTGAAGGAGGTCGAAGAGGTACATCGCGCAGGGGCGCCCGTCATCTTTCCCTTTTCACGTTTCATGGAGCACTCGTTCAGATTGCCGGAAAGAGAGTGAACACACGCGCAGGTTCAAGGATTCCCGGCTTGGTTTCGACACGGCTTGCTTTTTTCGAGCTTGCAAATTGCCCCTCTCCCAGCGTTTCGGCGCGACCCCAAAACACAACAAAACGGCGCTTCGGCTTCGATGAGCCGGAACACCCATAAACCATTCATCTGTTTCGCCCAGGTTACAACAGGGCTTGTATCATAGCGAACCCATCGTAGGACAGACTTTAATGCACAAAGCGCTGGGCCCCCAACTACTGATCATTCCATGAAATTACTGGTGAATAGGACTTGGATTCTCTCCTGTGTGAAGTATGGTTCGCAAACTCCCTTGTCTTGAACGTTTGCGATCAACCCACCGCTGTATATATGCTGGGTCGAGTCTTGATGACGATGTACAGAAGCCCTCATTCCATCTTGGGCGGCGTCTCTCGTCGCTCACTTAACAAAGCACTTGGGCAGTTATCATTTGGACGCGCTGGACGTATGGTATAGCAGGAATCAAGATTGTACAACATCACAAGGGGAATAGAGCTGGGTATGTATGGTTTGCTGGATTGATTCATCTTCGTCGTAATCAGGCGCGCTTCCTCGAGGATCGGGTGCCTACGGAAAGAGGCTATCGCCACGAGATGGGAGAAACATGAGGACCTTGGTATCCATTCGTCAAATGTCTCCGCCGTCGTCGCCTCTCTTGGCCCCCGCTCTCTTGCTCTTTCTCTCTCTCGCCAATAGACATGAAAACCAGTCCCAAATTTCACGAATCGTCTGTCTTTCGGTCTTTTGGTTTCAAAAGGGAATACATTCAGGTCGTTAGTCTAGAGCGTAACCCGCGGTCTTCGCGTAGCCATGGTCGCTGGCTCAGCACAGACAGGAAGCCGTCTCGGTTATGGGTAGTGGTTCAGAGGATAAGATGATTTATTTCTCCGCAGCCTTGGCGTCGGCATCACCGGCGGCGGCGGCGGGGGCCTTGCCGTCGTCCTCGCCCTCCAGAGGCGGCATGTCATCGTCGTCCTCGCCCTCCTCGTCGTCTTCCATGTCTCCCATATCGGGCATGCCGCCGCCGCCGCCAAGCTTGGAGAAGTCGATGCCGCCGAAGTCGCCGCCAGCACCTCCCATGCCGGGCATGCCGCCTATAAAGTTGTTACGTTAGCCTCCGATGTTGTGGATGGAAGAGTCGTCTGTGCCACAATCCGCCAATGACGGGATATCGCAACAGGGATGGATTGAGCTACATACCCATGCCGCCGAACTGAGAGAAGTCTTCCTCAGCAGCCTCGTCCTGCTCGTCCTCGTCGACCCACTTGTCGAAGTCGGTCTTGAGGAAGTGAACCTTCTTGGCCTCCTTGAGCAGGCGGGGCCAGTACTCCTCCTTGAGCTCCTTCTTCTGGAGCTTGAGCTCGACGTTCTTAGCAGTGTGGTTGATTTTGCTCTCGGCGGGGTCGATCTCGGCGTAGAACTCGAGGTCTACTGCGTATGAGCGCTTCAGGGTGTCGGAGTGGCCGCTAAACGACAAGCCGGTAGGCTTAAGGTCAAGCTTGAGGTTTGAGGCGGGAACATCGGGGACGGAGATGGTCAGGTAGACGAAGTTCTTGGAGGGTTCAGACGAGCTGGAGCGCTGGGCCCAGAGAACTGTTGCGGTTGGTTAGTTTCCGGTTTGGTCGAGAATGCGACGGAAATTAAATTTGTTGGAGATTATGAAGCGACGATTGATATTATCAAATGCCTGATTGGGGATAAGGAAGAGCCTGCACATACCTTCGGGGACTGACGTGGTGGCAGACATTTTGCTGGTTCTCAATGTGTCGTGTAAAAGGAGCTATGATGTGGGATGAGGGGTAGTTTTCTTTTTACGCGGAGCGCAAATGGGTTGCTGTCAGGCAAATGGCAAGTAGCAAGATGACCAAGCAAAGAGAGTATCAGGAGGTCTCTCGTGCGGAAAGAAAATTGACAACTTGTTTCGAGTTGCAAGAAGTGGGAGTCGGCGGTTGAAGTGTGGGAGGGAGGAGAAGCTGGAAGGAGGTTGTGAGGCTACGAGATTGAAAAGGCAGGGTCATTGGTTGGGGACGGTCGTGAGGTTGGGTGGGTTCTAGTGGCCGCCTGCAGAGATCACGGGCAATTGTACGGATAGAAGGCGCTCGAATCCAAAAGATTTGGCGGCAACCCACACTACCTAGTCTGCTAGTGTACCTACATAGGTACCTAGGCACTAAGCAGGCAGACAGACCTACACAATGCTCGTGGTCCGCCGCCGACCTGACCCTGGCAGGGCTGAACGGCCCCTCTCTGTTCTGGGCCAGGCACCTGGCTGAGCTTCTTCCTGCCATTCTAGCGACCACCAGGTACTTCCATTTGCGTGGGACCTTGGCTCCAGTTCCAAGTACCGTCCCCTGCCTTCCCCTCTTTGCTGACGTTCGCCAAAAGGGCCAGAGTTCTTTCCAGCCCCCCCCCCCCCCCCCCCCTTGCAACCCCACGAAATAGGTAGGTACGAACAGTGATCTGAGTGGATGCTGGCTTTTCCCCTCAGCTCTGAAGTTAGGCGCATCATGGCAGAAACTGTGAACCGCACTCGGGTCGCTTTTGTACTGTCTTGTGTTTCTTTAAGTTGTATCAGCTGCTGCGAGGCAATCTGAAATTTTGCATCGCGTTCGAAACGACTGTCTGTTCTCCGCAGCGTTTCCCAGTCCCTCAGCGCTAACGTCGTCATCAAACCAGACTTGAAGATCAATGTGCTTGTGCTTATCATGATACACGTACGTGTCTAGCCAACTTCATCTCGTCTTTCGCGATTCCGACGAACGGAGCAATGAGATCTTCATGCTCCCCCTCCCCCAAGCCCCTTCTCCACCTTGGGTCTTATTTGCTGTGAGGGCTCGCCCGGAATACGCGATTTGTCTACCGTAGTGTGCGTAGTAACTATACCAATGCACCTAGATGTCATCAATTCCTGTTGACGCCGGGTAAGCCTGTCCGGACTGCATGGATCTCATGTAGTCGTCATGCCGCCATGAAGGTAGAAATTGAACTGCTTGGCAACACGGCGACATTACTTTTAGCACGAGGTTAGGCTTATGGGTTCGTCTTGAAGTCAGTTCAGCGGCGTCAGTATCAACCTAACCGACGTTTTGCTTCGTTGGGTCAATCGTGGACTGGATTGAATTAGTCAGCTATCCAGTAGATGCATACATGTCTCCAGTCGGCTAATTACTTACATGCCTTCGAGTGGCACTTTCTCCACGTGACGACAATCCCCCACTAACAGGTGGTATCAGTTAACACAGCAAGTAGGGAATGACGACACATCGCTTCTCAACCCAAGGCAGCGCTCATTGATCCTGTCAAACAGACAAGGTTGGTGACAGCCCGGCACGCATCCACCAGTTTTCCACACGCTTCTGCGACCAAACCCCGAATTTCACCCTGTCTTGACGGATTGACGGCCTGCGGTCGTTCGCCTGCCGATCAACCCACCATGGAGACGCTCAAAGCGTTGTTCGTCAAGCCTGATCCGCAGCAGCAGGTAAACCGAGTCCGTCATGGCAATCCAAATACAAGTTGCTAACCTGGCTTTTCTTACTAGCTGCGCAAATGCAACGCCCTCCTCCGTGCCAACGTCCGTAAGCTAGACCGCGACATCAACCAGGTTAGGCAGGTAGAAGCCAAGACGAAGAACCTCATCCTTCAGGCCGACAGGCGAGCGCAACGAGACCCCACGAGACAGAAACAAGCACAAAAGGAGGCTCGCGATTTCGCCCGGGAGCTCATCCGTGCACGAAAGACCAGCAACCGGCTCGTCACCTCCAAGGCGCAGCTCAACAGCGTGCAGATGCAGGTCAATGAAGCCTTTGCCGTGCGCAAGATCGAAGGCAGTATCCGCGCGAGTGTCGGCGTGATGAAGGACGTCAACCGCCTGATCCGTCTGCCCGAGCTGGCAGGCACGATGCAGGAGCTGAGTGTCGAGTTGATGAAGGCTGGCATCATCGAGGAAATGGTTGGCGAAAGTCTGCCCGAGGACATGGACGAATTTGAGGAAGAGGAGGCAGAGGGTGAGGTCGACAAGGTGCTCGGCGAGATTCTCAAAGACCGCATGCCCAAGGAGCAGATGCCCGCGGCGCCGGTCCACCAGGAGCCGAAACCGGTCGAAGCCGAGGAAGAAGAGGAGGACGCCGAGGCTATGATGGACCAAATGCGCAACAGGCTCGAGGCCCTGCGAAGTTAAGGACTTGCATATTCGATAAAGACGGCGTATGGCGTTTTTGTTCATGTTTACGGGGTGTCGGTCGGTTGATCAGTTCGAGTTTGCAGAGAAGGAGCATCCCCGTGGGATCGGATTCAGCGTCTCACAGACGCTTGACACCGAACTCGGCATCCGCCAACAGTGGTTTGTCGATGCCCTTCTGTTCCTCGCGAGGTTTCTCCTCTTCTCGCAGGCCATGTTTATTGTTTCGTCCGGCGTTGGGAGTAGCCGCGTTTCAGCAGTATACAGTCTCTTGACACCTCGAGAGGACGAAAGCATTGTCCATGGCCGTAAGGTGCGGCAAGGGTTCTTCATTTGGCTATTTGCATGGAATTGGAGACCTAGAGAGATACATTTTGAATGATGACATGTCACGACTATGAATCAGCTTCCTGGACTTGATGGTGCCGTGCCGTTCTGGTCTCATTGTGTATTTCAACCCACGAATGAGCGCGGTCTTACTTTCGGGAACATGCTTGCCACATCTTTGTCGGTTGTTGCACTGGAATGACACATTTCCAATCTGGAGCTTCGTTGAGGGTGATTAGGATGACCCTCCTGACCGGCCTATCCCGTCAGTAGGTATATTGTATTCAAGGCACTATTGCTCATATAACTTGCACCCCCAGCGCCGACCCCAATACGACCACGACCAATACGATCACGAGCATCACCACGAATCTCTTGACAGAGCATCAATATCCGCCAATGGCCCCTTGGGCCATGCCCGCCCGCGCTCCTTCGCTCAGCGCCACCCCCAGGGCTGCCACCGCCGCTGGCGCCTCTGCAGCCTACACGTCTAAATAAGAATGGAACGAAGGATGAGAATGGGGGTGAAGCTTGGGATTGAAACAAGGATGGAAACAAGAACAGCAAGAAGGGAGAAAAAACAGAAAAGAAAAGTGACTGGGAACGAGCTCGACTTATACGTTGTTTGTCGTGATCAAAACGCACAGACACTTTGGCTGTTGGAATCAATATACAATAGCAAGCAAGATGGATGACGAGGGCAACACTCTTCGACACGCCCCTCCAACATGTTTGTTCGAGGACCATGCGTGCTTCCAACTCTCTGAGATTCAATTTTGTCTCGACTCGCTTCCTCTCAGGCGTCAACATTGAGCCCCAGGGAACATCCAGTCTCTGTACAAGCTCTCAAGCGCCCTCATATTGACCTGCTGTGGTCATTCTCCTCTTCAGAGACCGGACTGATCTTTCTGATGACTGGGTAAGCTGTCTGCATCCAACTGTCACAATCACTGGTCCGTCGGACGGGGTGAGGAACCCAACGGTGCACATCTCAAGCAGCGCTTCCTCTTGGCCAATGGCTCCGATCTTGCCGGTATGGAGAATGTGGTATTAAATGTCGAATCAACTTGGCTGTGGACGGGTGTAAATTTCGCCAAGCCATGCTCTTCGGCCTGAAATCTCCTTAGTCATGTTGGAGAGGACAAGCCGCTCCAACTGGGTGCTGACACATGCACCGGTGTATCGACGCCACCCGTCTCCACAGCGGAGCGGGACGCAATCCTCACAAAGCATAACCAAAGCCTTATCCAATACCGACAGGGTCCTTAGCTAAGCCAGCAGCAACGAGCTCCATCTTCCCATGGCCAACTAGGCGGGTTGGCAGAGCCTGGACTTCTGGCATGCCCATGTCAGCGGAACCAAAGGGAAATGAAGTCATGCGGGCATGGCATGCGCACTCCTTCTAGGCTCGCCGACCCGCCGGTCTGCCAAGCCTCTTCCGTCCACAGCGACGACGGTGCCGTCGAGCTTAGTCAAGCCCACGCATCAGCTTCTAAATCCCAGGACCGGGATCTGGGGACGATCGATACCATGGAATCTGGAGTCCCTAAGAGAAATGCGAGATTGAGGCTCTCCGCACTTCATCCAAGGGTGCGGGTGCACCAGGCGGAGTTCCGCCGCCGTCCACGGCCCCAGACGCTTCGGTAGGCCCAGGCCACCAATGAAAAAGGCCGGAGCTAGCGAGAGACCAGCCCGGGTTCCCGGTCTATGTCGCGCCAACAGGGGGAGCTTACTAACGGACAGCATCTATACACTTCATGCTTCGTCAACCTGACATTCGCGATGGTCGAATACGTCCTTTCTCGGAACCGGGAAATTTCTTCCAGGGGGCAAGAGGAATCAATACTTCGCCTTGGCGAACCGCTTGGTAATTCTAGTCCCAACGTAGAACCGCTGTGCATCTCGAAAGACATGGGCCATTGGAAATCCCGCATCGTGGGAAAGGGGTCGGCTTGGTCATTCAAGTGCCAAGGGCCGATGCCGACGTCGTTGGCATTGTGGGGCGGGCATCCCCAGGGGCGAAAACCTCTAGCCTGGTGGTGATGGTATCTCTAGCTGCCGTGATGTATCGTCAGAACCTCATGTATAAAGAGCATCAGGTCTCGCCTTCAGTCAACGTCTTTCTTTCCCATCCTCATCCAGCAGACAAGTCAATCACAGTCTTCTTTCAATCCCCAAAGACTTAACCAGCTCCCCGAAGAACCAGCTTCCAACAACTCTCGCCAAGATGAAGTTCTCTCTGTCTCTCGCCGTCTCGGCGCTCTTCGCCGCTGTCAACGCTGATGGTGAGCATCCTCATACCCCTCACCCTGCCTAAAGGAGCAGCCTCGCTAACAGGAGAGCACGCAGCCGTCCCCTGGGAGAGGCTCAACAAGAACGACTCGATGCTCCTCGTCGTCGACATGCAGGAGGGCCTCTACACCCTCGCCCGCGACTTCGATGCCACGCTCTACCGCAACTCCATGCTCGCCCACTCTTCCATGGCCAAGGTCTTTAACCTCCCCGTCGTCATGACCACCTCTGCCGAGACCGGTATGTCTTACCCCTTTCCAATTGTCCACATATGCGAGACACACAGAAGGCTGACACGAGCTCCAAGGCCCCAACGGCCCCCTCCCCCAGGAGATCCTGGACATGCACCCGACCGCGCCCCTGATCAAGCGCAACGGCGAGGTCGATGCCTGGGACAACTCGGACTTCCGCGACGCCGTCCGCGCCGCCAACAAGTCGCAGATCATCCTCGCCGGCATCACCACCGATGTCTGCACCACCTTCCTCGCCCTCTCCCTCCGCGCCGAGGGCTACTCCGTCTGGGCCAACGTCGAGGCCTCCGGCACCACCACCGAGCTCATCCGCGACGTCTCCAACGACCGCATGGCCGCCGCCGGCGTCCAGATCGTCTCCCTCTTCTCCATCGCCATGGACCTCATGCGCGACTGGCGCAACACCCCCGGCGCCCTCGAGCTCTACTCCTGGCTCGACCAGTACTACCCCGTCTACGGCTACCTCGCCCGCGGCCACCGCGCCGCCGTCGCCAACGGCAGCATCAGCGACGCCGAGGCGACGCTGCCCTTGTAAGGGAAAAGCCCATGGAAAAAAACGATGGGAGGATGACACGGTTCCTCTCGGGAAAGTAATGAAAAGGGGACGGTGGAGAGCGGGTTTCCCCTTTATCGGAAACCGCTCAACATGACTTTGTGTGCTTCTTCATCTTCTAGTCTCTCCTTCATGAGCCTCTGCGGTTATTGTTAGAATTTCGGCATTCTCCGGGTGACTTTGTTTTGTTTCGCAAGACTCTAGAGCAAACATAATAGACCAGTCCAGCACCCACACTTTGCTTGCCGATGCCGCGAACCAGTAGTGCCAATGAAGTTGCACACCTCAATCCACAGGTGCGGGTAAAAGGTGAAGCCTCTGGATGGGGCAAGCACGTTACTGCGAGCACCCGAGATTGCCGAGGCGCTTCCGGCCAGCTTGGGGTGTTCCGAGTATGGTATCTCTCGGCCGTTTGCGCATCATTGCCGTCAGCCAGTCTCCCCTAGGACTTATATCCCGAATAGGCAAGTCGCGGTTCCTGACGCCGGCCACACGGACCAACGCGGCGCCGGCTATTTGGACCCACATATCCGGATCCGTTGCGGATTCTACGTCGGGGGTCCGAACGCGCAGCGACCGATGTCTGTCCCGATGACCTCGCCGTCTCTGGCACGTGGATTAAAGGCGGGCACATCAACTGTAGGGTTGACAGCGGCCGTGCCTGCCGTAGATGGTGCCGGAACGGCCAGGGGGTCGTTGTCCGCATGCAGGCTGATGCACCGCCAGGTTCCGTATCGTGGTGCCGCAATGGATGAGACGAAAAGAGCGGGGGGTTTAATGTGCTCGATCCAGATGGCCCTGCATACGCACCAGCCTCCCTCGAACTGCCTAACTACGCGGATGGGGGCATGCGAGTTCCAGATTCCGATGGTACCAGGGCGTTTTGCATGCAACCCACCACCACACATGCCCGAGGGCGCCATCCGTGTTGAAACCCACCGCACGCTCACGCCCACCCATCGTCGCCGTCGACGACTGCGAGGGAGACTGAGGGGCGTCGGGAGGTCGATCGCCATCAAGCCGGTCATTTCTGGATGCCGCCTTCGGGGGAAAAGGGGGCAAAAAAGAAGGAGAAACCATGCGTCTCACTCGCAGCCGGCATTCCTCTCGTGAGACCCCCAAGCGCGAGGTCGACGACTTTGGGTGTGGTCAGGGCGCTCCTCTCTTCTCTCCCCACCAACGGCGCAGGACGTCACTTGGTTGTACAAAAACAGAGATCGCGGAACAGGTCGTTCCCCCCCTTTCCCCCCCCCCCTGGCGAACCTGGGGGACGCGATCAGAGACATTGCGGTGATGCGTCAACCAGTTGCCCGTCCGCGACCGGGGGCGATGTCGCAGAACAGCCAGAGATTATGGGGGAAAGGTTGTTGGAATGGAGCTGTCTAGGCCCTTTGTGTCTTTGCCTTTTCAAACCGCGCTTATATGTCTTGCTTTTTCTCTTCCTCTCACGCAATTTCACCCCCCCTGATAGATGTAGGCATTGAGACACGATGAGAGACAGTTCATTCTCACCCTGCTGATCGCCAAGGATGAGAAGATTATAAGACGAGACAACCCAATCTCGGGGAAAGGGTCTGGCATTCCTCTCATTCCTCTCCGCGCCGCTATGTGACGTCCATGAGCGGCCAAGAGGAGGAGGGGGGGCCGCGGATGCGGATGCAGTCCGCGCGAAGTGTCGATAGGCATGGCGGCTTCAACTCAAAAAAAGGCGACGGTTTCAGCTCCCGCCTACCGGCATCTGCGTTTCTCGTCCCTCTCGGCACTGGACGGGATGCAAGCTGTGCGATGGCCGGGCGAATCGGGACGAGACAGCCCCTCCCCGCCGCCGCCCCTGGCTTCATTCAGCCCGGGCTGGCACTCTCGCAGGCGCGCACCCACCGCCTTGTTCCGGAGCGCGCCCTTTTTTTCCTTACGTACCGCACGTAAGAGTAATCATACGCAGTAGCTGCCTCCTGCACCCTGCGCGAAAGGGCGGAGTGGAGGCGGAGGAAGAGGAGGGGGAGTGTGCATGCTCGGACACCATGGAGGGGGGGGGGGGGGGGGGGGGGGGGGCTCCACCTGAACACAGATTCTGATATTTGAATGATAGAGCTTAGAAGGAAATCAAACGGGCATCCGCACTAAGATGTGCAGTGATCCGAGGTGATACGAAATCTAAAGTCCCAAGACTAATCTCTCAACAGATAGCATAGAAGTTTTATGAGCGAGTTCAAGCCTTAGGTTACGTGTAAAACCTGAATGTGGGGCAAAGCGAAGGGCGTGTCTAGGCAATATCCCAGTCCATCCATGTTGGGGAGCCCAAGGGATCGAGGTGGCGCAAAATGAAGACATCGCGACGGACATCTACGATACTTTTGCATGCGCAACAAGATAGTATCCGTACTAGGTGTAAAGATTGAACCTTGGGACAATATAATTGGGCTCGCGGCGACGCACACTCACGTTCCAAAGAGGGATTCTATAAAGCTCGGACCCGAAGTCTGGGGGTTCTTGCGACTAAAATGAAAAGGCTCTTGGAATGCCCTGTAGTAGTGCACCGTACTGAGCTCGCACGCGATTTTCATCTCCACTCACACATCAATGGCCGATCTAAACTGTGGACAGACTTGCCCCATCCAATCGGACCATGGGGGGGGGGGGGGGGGGGATGGCGCGCTGGAGGCGGCCCGCTATCGGATTTTCGTATGCAGTACTGCAGCACTGCAGCAACGGGATGATATGGGTGGATGACATGGCGCATAGCGTACAAGAATAGGGACGAGTGAGAACAGGAACGTCGGCGGTGTGCCAGGCCGCCTGCCTTGCCTTGCCTGCCTCTGTTCCATCAGCGGCGGGTGAGTCACAAAGTGGCGGGGGTCATGACCACCGCAAAACACGACGGCCCCCCGACGGGAGTGACGAGAATCGGCGCAAACTCAAGCAAGCAGATGGGGGGGCAGAAGAGCGAGGCCAATTCGTGATGCGCCGGGCGGCGATTGGAGCGCAGCCACGTCTCTCCTTGTTTCGCACGCGCCCGCCCTCCGACGACCGCCCAGTCAGGCCTCCCCGATCACCCTCCGGTCATAGGGGGCCCCCCAAACACCGCTGTTTCCTCCCATCCAAAGGAAAGACGAGAATCGTGCTATTGGCAATCAGCGACTGTGACGAGCGTGTGACGGGGAGCCGCCGCGCCATTGGGTGACTTCATGGGGGTCGCGACTGGCGCGGGGTGTATAAGTCATCCGCGCTTCGGACGTGGTGGGGGATTAGTAAACGGCATGGGTGGGATAGGAAGAGGGTTGCAAATCGCGGGCGAGGCCCGTCTGACGGACTGCTCACTACAGCACCCTACTTGTTGATTACGAAAGACAGAATACGGCCGTGGTTACGAGGGTCGGCCGTTCTGGCTGTTGGGGATACGGCGTCTCAACGGAACGCCGATGGTGTGTGTGTGTGTGTGCGTGGGGTCTTTACAACGGCCTATCTTGACGGCGTACGTTGGGCCTCGGGGTGATTGGCATGGCCGGTGTCGAGGCTGCTGACAAGATACGATGCCGTGTAAGACGAGACGGCGGCAGCGAAAAGGGGGGGGGGGGGGGTAAGTGTCTCTCCCTCATTTCTTCGCACTCAGGGCTGGAATGCACGATAGCATCGTGGGGTCGCGCGCGCATCTCCCGACAGAGTCTCGACACCGCCTCTGTAGCCAGCCTGCCGCGTGGCGCCGCTGGCGATGGCACTGGAGATGCGAGATGCGGTCGCGGCAGACCCAGGCCGTGGGGGAGGGTAGGGGATCGACCGCCAGACACATACGGTAGTAGGTATTACATGCCGCCGCGAGTTCCCCGAGCCCGCTCGGACGGGGCCCAGAACCGTCCGGTGTCCCCTCGGTCATTTGTCACTTGTTACTTATCTGCTAGTGTGTGTGTGTGTGTCTGCATGTTTCTTTTCCTTCATGCCCGACCAATTCGTGCGCAACACCCCCTCCCCTGCGCTGCAAGGCCCCGGCCGGTCTAGACCTGCAGTGTTCGACCCCGACGGGTGCCATGTGCGTCCATCGTATGCGGGTGTGCGTTTGGGCATAAGGCGGTGACGGAGGGGGCGGCGGGGTGTGAGGAAAAAGAAGAAATGGTCGAAAAGAAAAAGAAAAACAAATCCAAAAGCAATTTGACAGCGCCTCGCAAACAGGACAGAGCACGCAGTATACAGCAAGCAAGCAAGCCAGCAAGCAGCGCCAGCATAGCAACGCTGCGGGGCATAAAGCAGTTTGCAGACCGCCTTATCCGTGGGCGCCGACGGGGCCGACTCCGGCAGGGGCCAGGTGTGGTGGAAGAGTTGACAACCAGTACTCCGTACACACATCACTCAACGACCGGCAACCCCCACGTTCGTCATTCGAGGTCTTTCCACGCAGAGAGAGAGAGAGAGAGAGAGAGAGAGAGAGAGGTCCCGGGAAAACGGCGTCCCAAAATGGTTCCCGGCACGAGTGGCGCGGGCTTGGAGCGAAACTAGCGCTCGCGCTCTCGACGGGTGGCTTCTGCTTTGGCCTCCGGGGCTCTCCGGGGAACAGACGCTCGCCAGGATATCAAAAATAAAACGTGACGGCGCGCCTCGCGAGCGCGGACGGGTGTCGCACGGATCTTACCCCCTAACTACGAAGGAGCGCGATCCGAGCGCAGCAGCGGCAGCAGCAGCAGCCCGCCCGCGCCCTCTCTCCCAGGCCAGGCGATATCGAGCGGGAAGAGGGGGCGGGCGTCCCGACGTTTGAGGAGCAGGGCGGCGTGGTTGTCGGCCGTCGGGCGCCGAAGGAATGATGATGATAATAATAATAATAATAGGCAAGGACAGCAGGAGATGGCGACATGGGCGAAAGCTCCGTCGTGATTAAAGTGAGTCAGTCAGGCGTACGTGGGTATGTAGTGCATCGTATACAGATACGAAGGACACGAAGGGGTGGTGAGATAAGCCCGGTCCGGGTGGCCGGTGAAGCCCACGCCTCGCACTCTATTCGCATCTCGCCCCGTCTGTAGAGGGACTGTGGTGGTGGCGACCTTATCTCTGGCGGTAACGGCCGTAAGTGGGAGAGCCAACCGGCTTGCCACGTTTTTACCTCGGCAGGATCTAATACCAATACGGCCTGGGTGTGGGGGTCAATCTCGCATCTACTACTCCGTACTCCGTACTCCGTATATGTACTACCTACGCACACGACGGATGAACGGTGCCGTCTGATGGTCCATCCGCGACTCCTGGCAAGTCTGACAGTCGTATCCCCCTCTCTTGGGACAGACCGGTCCCCAGTGTCCGGGATTTATTTCCTGATTCTACAGTACCATGTAACTGCGCGCAACCCGTTTCCAGCAAACCCCCTCCTCCCGAAACTCGAGGGACGGCCGGATGGGACTCCGGGTCGTGGGCCCCCCCCCCCCCGATACGACGAATGCGACGCGACCATTGTGTCTTTTCCCCCCCCTTCTGTTCCCACTTTGCTTGGTCTGGGCATGCCGAGAGATCTGTGGTTGAGAAAGCAAAGAGGTGAAACAGATCTGTTTGGCTGGCGCGGGGCGTTGGTTGCACGGCAGGGTCGCAGAGGATAGATAGCGTAGGTGCGTAGGTAGGAGATTGCACGGCACAAACATCCGTACATACTATGTAGTAGTAGGTAGTTCGTCGCGCATGGTTTCACGGTTCCTGGCGCGCAGGAATAGATCAGCGCGGGTATCCGTACGTACGTACGGATGGTGCACAGCGCTAGGTGCTGAACGTGGCTTGAACAGCCTCCGGTTTCAACCCGGCAACGGCCCAGGCGTGTCGTTCTACCCCGGGTTTTCTTTCCTTCTTTCCAAGCCTAATCCGGCAAACAGTTATAAATAAATAAATAAAGGAAGAAAAAACAAGTGTCGGCAGGTTTGACCTCGGTCAGCACGACGACATACGCAGGAAAAGAAAACGTCATGCGGGAGCCGCTCGTTGGGGGTCAGTGCCCTGCCCCAGAATGACGGCAGACTGGAGAAAGAAATGGGGGTTTGGAGTCCCCAGTCTTGGCCATGCG